TTTCCTGGAAACAAGATGACAAATCACACGGGACATAATTGTGTGCGTTTCCAACGATAGCAAGCATTTTGCATGCATTTGAATACATATAATCAAGATTTTAGACATTTTAGTAATGGTCTCAGAATGGACACGTGTTTTAGCTATTATTGTGATTTTCTGCTGCAAACGGATGATTGTGATTGCAGCTGGATTGGTATTTATATTGACATTGCAGCTGAAATTATTAGTCAATTCATCAAACAATAAGAGGAAAATATATGTTTTCATTTCCAAGGAGAAATCGCCTCTTTCCAACTTGGTGAATGTCACCTTGGACATTGAGAAACTTTGCATGAGGAGTAAATCAGACCAGCAGAGTGGACACATGAAGCCCAATGTGCCACATTCTGTGTTTCAATCAGAACTCCTTTACGTAGGTCCACATCACCCTGCCTGTAGCACAACCGACCGACTAGTATTTTCTATATTTAAGTCTTTTATTTTTAGGAGAGAATATCCTCCCCCCTTTGCTCTGCTCCTTGGCAGCGTTGCATGTAATCCTGCGTGTAGCGCCGATCGGGAACGCGCTCTACTTTACTGTGATGCCACCGAGGTCAGGAAGGGCTTTGCTTCAACAAGCTGCGCGTCACATCTGCACAAGTCATCCAAAGAGAAGCCAAACACGTATAGTGCATGTGTAGCATCAGCTCACAGGTCAGACACTGGAAGTTTCTCCCCCCTCTGGCATTTGTTGTCTCCCTCATCGTCTTATCATGCCCTCTCTCACATAAACAGTGTGCTGGTTTTAAGACCTAGAAACGGGCTGTGGGTAACTGCCAGAGCCACACGTTCTGAACCTGACATATCTGTTTTTATTAATCAAAGTCTTCCCCTTTTAAGCTTGACCTTTTCCTGTTTTGGTATGCAGAAGAACGGTTCATTTAATGAGTGAATGTGTGTGCATTCATGGTATCAATGAAAACATTTTTTATTGACTGCGTTGCCTCAGCCACAGTCCTTGCAACCTAAAGGGATTACTGTTGCATTAAACATCCGTGGGGCTTTTATTGGGACTGCAGCTTCTGTTTTTCTCCTTTCTCACTCCGGTTACTTTTGGCTTTGAGACGCTCTGCTCTCAAAATCCATAAAAATCCACCGTTTCCCATAAATTGCTGAATGAGTTCACACTGTTAACAAATGAAAGGAAATCCAAACTGAAATGAAGCTAAGTGTCCATGCTGAGCTTTTAAAGTTGCTGGCAGCCGGGCCGCGGAGGAAAGACCCGTTAGCGTATGGAGAGAAACTGTGACTCATCAATTTATACACTGTAAGTGGTCATTTCACCCAAGTTATTCCCATCGCATTTCAGCAAGCTCTGAAGAATACGCTCAGAGATCCGTTGGTTCTGCTAAAATGCAACACGGCCTTTCATTTCTTTACCCTTTTTCCAAAAGCGGAGCAAAACTGACAGGGTGAAAGAAAAAAGGAACATGACAGTACAGGAAACGACAGACCGGTCGGTTTTCTCTTTCTTGGAAAAAGGGGAAAATGCAGGCCGAGCGTCAGGTCTCCACCATCTTGTGGCTTCCAGTGCTCCGCCAGCATCCATCAACTGTAGTTGGCCCCACACACACACACACACACACACACACACACAGAAAGTATTTGTCACATGCACGCTGGCAATAACCCCTTACATGTAGATGTGGTTAGGGCATTTAGATTGGACTGGGGCCCTTTATTAACTAACAATTATGAGGCAGAAGAGCTTCAAACCCAAACCCAAGTTCCAACGTCAAGTGCAAGAGAGGGGAATTTTTTCCTTTCTCTTCCTTCTCTCTTTCATGGGGAGAACAGAATGTACTGAAGGCAGCAGGCAGGAAGAGAGTGGCTAAAGCCTTAATGATATGGTGGATGATTGTAACGTGTGTGTGTGTGTGTGTGTGTGTGTGTGTGTTTTCGGGAGAGAAAGGGAGCAAGCAGAGCGGATGAAACTTTTTTTAACAAAGTTGTACTTCCTGGTCTGTTTGGTGTTGTTAATAAAGACGAGATGAAGCCCCCCCCCCCCAGGTCCTTACATGTGCCAACCTATGCCACCCACAGCAAAGGGACGCAGCAGTACAACAGGTTTGGACCTGCAGATGTGGGAATGTTGATGTTGCAAAGAAAATAACGGCTGCTGCAATTTTAAACCTTGCACCTGCAAATTCTTTTGCCTGCATTTATTTTAAATGGCCAGTTTTTTTTTGTCTGTTTTCTTTCCCCCCCCAGTACATCATGATTATTGCTCCAGTTACCCGAAGCAAAAGTCATACATTTAAAAAGTGAAATACAAAACATACGATGTGTGTGTGTGTGTGTACACACATCTCCAAATAATTTTCTTTTCTCCCCGGGCCCTTGCCATGCACGCCGGCCAATGCCCTGGTTAGGAATGGGCTTCTGCAGGCAGAGGGCTTTGCACAGCGCGTCGGTGGCCTGTTTAAGAGCAGACGAGGCCGAGCGAGGGACTGGCAGTGCCCTGGTTAGTCCATCGTGAGGAATGCGTCTGTGCAAAAGGGGGTCGGTTCCCCCGCTTCGCACCTCCTACCCTCTTCCAGGTTTTCTACGATTGTCAAAGGACACACACACACACACACACACACACACACACACACACACAAAGGAACCCTGGAATTGAGCTGTCTTTGGTCACTCTTCTGCCAGCACACTTCCTCCCCTCCTTTCCCTCCATTCTTTTTTGTTTTTGAACTTGTTCTTGGCCAGACGGCTTCTTACATTTTTTTTGGCCTCATTCATCTTAAAGATGAATAATAAATCAGAGAAATATTAAGGTTTATGAACACATATCTATCTGGGTCATGGTACTAGAAATACTGATTTCCACTCCATCATTCCCTCGTCCCTTCTTTTTCTTTTTCCTTCAACCACCTTTTTTCTCCGGCATCTTCTCATTTATTCGCTCCTCCTTTTCATTTCACTCCCCATCCATCTATTTCCTCCTTCCAACTCATCCCCATCGTAGCTGTTGAGTGAATGTTGATTCATTGTTGAATCATGTTGATTGGTTTAGCAAGAGGCGGGGACCTTAGCCCGAGTTGTTTCGCACGCACCGCCGGCCCTTTTAAAGCGCGCACTTGGCCGTGCTGATGTGCGTGTCTAAAAGCGAGATGAAGGGAGAGATGAAGGAGGGAGGGAGGGAGGTAGCGAGCTGGCAAAGAAATAAAGGCAGAATGAAAGGAGATGCAGGCAGTCGGCCAAGACGGGAGTAGCTGAGTCCAGTGAAACGCCACCATTAACCAGGACGAGGCTCGGCCAGAGCCGAGTTGAATTTCAAAAATGATGTAGGGTCCCAAAACTCGACCTTTTAAGATGAGGAATCTGTTACAGGGGAACTTGAATGCTTTGCTATTGAGTGGGTCAGAACAGAAGGATGAACATCTAGTCTATTGCAGGTATTCTCTTAACCTTTTTCTCTGGTAACTTTGCTGCCTGCTGCAGTGTGAAATGTTGTCATGAAGAATTTGACTGTAGCTAGGTGAGGCTTTTTTTACAACTTAACAAGCCACAGCTGGTGCAACGCTATGCAACCTGAAATGACTTTATTGACTAAGGTGTTTTGGCATTCAAGTCGACAGGGTTAGCTGTTTTCTCCCCCTGATCCCTCGTCAACCCATGTGTATTTCCTCAGCGTTGTTCTCGATGAGAAGATTTCCAAACCACCAGACCTCATGAAAGTAAAGAATAATTAAAACGTTACAGCTAAAATGCTTTGAGTTCACATTGTTTCTTTTTCTAAATGTAATCGTTCCCATATTGACTTCAAAGCTTATTGCCTTGGTTTATGTTAGACAAGACATTTAATAAATTGTGGGAAGAGTAGTTTGGGCTTCTAACACCAAATGAAACGATTTTAACTATTTCAAACTATGCTGGAGTAAACCATAATTGCAAGTTATACCTTGATGTACACCATGTACACGCAGACAAAAACCCCAAAAGATTTACTGCAGTGGTTGCAGCCGTAAAAGTTATTTAATGTAAAGGAAAAGTACAGTAGTCTTTAAATGTGGTGGCATGTAGCGTCAGAGGGGCGATCTTTGAACATGTGGATGTAGACTAAGGAAAGGGAGGCATGGAGCCTGTTGTCAGGGGGTCGATAAGTGATGATGTGTGCAGATGTTATGTCCGACCCTCAGGTCGATTTTCCTTTGGCGGCCAGTGGGGGAAGCTCACAAGAATGACGGGGAAAGGCGAGGAAAAGCATTTAGGAAAGCACACTCCCTGAATCATGCATGAGGCGAACGATTCAGCTGGGAGATTCATAGCGGTCACGCTTAGCAATTATGCTGCTATGTACTTTGTTCTCATCACATATGCTGCATGCTGGGCCCACGGATCAATAGAGATCTATTTTATATATATATATATATATATATATATATATATATATATATATATAGGCAGTCCTATTGTCTGTCGTAGAGTGAAACACTTTTTACCTTGTCTCATGTGACCATGAATGCAGTGTTGTGAGTGCGTGTGATTTTGCAGTTGCCAGGGTGAAGGGTGTGTGTGTGTGTGTGTGTGTGTGTGTGTGTGGATTGGAAGGAGGTCTGTGTTATCGAGATACGCTGCTGTTAGCAGATGCAGACAAGGAAGCATAAATCGATCTAAGATACAACAGCAGTCAGGAGACGTGTGTGTGTGTGTGTGTGTGGGATGGAGCCTGTGCAGGCGTGTTGAAACCCCCATACTCCCACAACATAAAAGCAGGGCCAGCTCCATCTCCGGGCCGGGCAAGGTGAAACGCATGGTGGTTCATTGAAAAAAGAAAGCGGGGCAGTGGGTTATGTTCACTTGATTCACCATGATGATGAATGGTACCTTTGCCACACAATGTAATTTTTCATTAATGAATGATTATCAAGTTTCATGGTGATGCATTTGGGAATGTGAATGACTGTCATTTGCAAATAAAGGATGACTAAGTGTTATTTCTTCTCTTCCTCATACAGATGACAGACCCGTCTGCTAAACGCCACTATTAGGGAACGTCAAAGTCTTAAAGCGACAGTGACAGAGTATTTTCCCCAAGAAAGGACTTGATAACACTACAACACAAATGTAGACCTCCCATAGTCTTGTCATCAAATAATCTGAACAACACAACAAATAAAACACAAAGAATCCTTGAAGCCATGTCTGACCACAAAGACATGACACATCGGCATCTGCGGCACAAGCTGCAGAGCCTCGGCCGAAGACTGGATGAACTGGAAGAAGCAACCAACAAGCTGCAGAAGTCCGAGGACGAGCTACTTGACCTGCAGGTCAGCACTGGTTGACTCCAGACAGTGTTTGTTTGTGTGTGCCTTTTGGAAGCAATGCGTGGAACACAAAGCTACTACGTCACGAGATGAATGAATGGTTCAACGCTGTCTTTCTCTCTTCCGCAGGACAAAGTCATCCAGGGAGAAGGCAGCAACTCATCCCTGCTCGGCGATGTGGAGGACCTTAGGAAGCGTCTCCTAAAGATCCAGGGGAAGGATGAGGAGGTACGCAAAGCTGAGGATCTCTGCCGCACAGTCCGAGAGAAACTGGAGGAAGAGGAAAGCCTGACACAGGAGCTGAAGGCCGAGATTGAACGTCTCCAGCGGAGGATGGCCGAGCTGGAGAAACTGGAGGAAGCTTTTGGGAAGAGCAAGTCCGACTGCAGCCAGCTGTGCCTGAGCCTGAATGAGGAAAAGAACTTGACCAAGAAGCTCTCGTCCGAGTTGGAGGCCCTCAAAGCACGCCTGAAGGAGGTGGAGGGCTCTGAGACGAAGCTGGAGAAAGCGGAGCAGGCTTTGGCTACGGATCTTGAGAAACTCAAAGCATTCACCCAAACCTTTATGAGTGAGCGTAAGAGGCTACTGGAGAAACAGAGGGAGGACGAGAAGATCATTCTGAAGCTGACTGAAAAATTGGAGCACCAGAAGAATTGCCTCGGCCTGTCCGCGGACCCTGGTCGTGCAGATTTTATGAGGTCACGAATTGAAGATGAGCTTTCGTCCACTGGGCTCCTCACAGGTAAACTGGCCGCACGCAAGAAGAGTCTGGAGTACTCGAAGCTGGCGGATGACAACATCGGTCTCGTGAATAAATCCGAGAATGAAAAGAACAGTTCTCTAGAAGGCTCTCAGGATGAGGACAACAAAGTAAAGGAGCTGAGCCAGGAAGTAGAGAGACTGAAGAATCGGCTGAAACAGATGGAAATCGTAGAGGAGGATCTAAAGAACTCCGAGTCCAAAAATGGCGAACTCCACGAGAAGTTCCAGATGGAGCGAAACCGTGCTCGCCAGCTGAACGAGCAGGTGGAGCAGCTGAGGACGCAGCTGTGCGGAAAAGGTGCGATTGGAAGAAATGGAACCGGTAAAGTGGACAAACACGGCAACGTAAGCACCAACATTCGCCCCAACAGCCCAGCTAAGGTCCTGGAGAATGGCAGAGCTGAGAATGAAGAGATTGTTGGGAAAGGCTATTTCAGACAAGAGAAGCCCAAATATAGGAGTGCTGCAACGGTCTCTGAGCCGAGTTCCCCAAAACACAGGAACCGGGAGCTCTCTCCTCAGCGTAAAAAAGAGACGAAGCTGAGGAGCAAAGATCCACTCCACTGCGAGGAGAGCTCTCCAAAAGCGGTGAGGAGACCCCTAAGTCCTGCGCACAAGAGCAGAAGAACACCCAAAAGCCCAGCCACCGCGTTCTCTTTTGATAATGGAGCAAGAACCACAAGACGCGGCAGTGAGGAAAACACGAGAGGAGCGACTTCCTGCTCTGTAAACACATCCTCGAGTGACATTAAGAAAGCGCCGGTTCTTAGCCGCTATCCTCCAGCGGCTAATGTCCAGAAGCCACTGAGGACGGCTCACAAACCGACTGATGGCGACAATAAGAAGAGCAGACTGGAAAAGATTTCAAAACTCTACGTAGGGAGTGATAGTGAATCAAACAACTCTGACGCGGTGCCGGACAGTACCTTTGCTTTAGAGAAGGACGCGGCGTCCGCCTCGGATCAGGAATCACTGGACCAGGTTGAGGAATCTGTCTCTGCGTCTGTCGCCTCTTCTCTGTCCAAAGCCAACGGAGCGGCCTCCAGATCCCACGTCACTCCGCCGCTGCCCAACGACCAGGGGTCGGAAGGTCATTCTTCTGCCTCCGAAACAGAATCTACTGGTTCAAGGCCCTCTGAACCAGAGCCGGCAACTGAGACGACCGTCTCAAAAGTAAGCACTAGGGCCGCGGCCTCCAGGTATGCCAGATACTCCACTGTAAATGACTTGCATTCGGAGGGTTCCTCTTCCAGGAGCTCGTTTGATGAAGAGCTCCAAAGCAGAACACTGTTCGCCGAGGGAGGCCACCAGGGGCCCGCCGCGCACACCGCATCGGGGATCGCCGTCCAGCGAGTGCACAGCCCACGCGAGGGGCTGACGTCCAAAGCGGTCATCAAGCCTGCGATCTTAGAGACCGAAAGGAAAGAGGTGATGGGTTCGGAACCTTTGTCTGTAAACGGCAAACCCCAAATCTCCACCAAACCGAACGTGAGCACGGCTGGTAAAATTACCAGTAGTATAACCATCTACCCCAATGACCCGAGCTCCTCCAGGACGAGCAGTCGCAGCAGCAGTGTGTCTAGTGAGCCCCTGCCGATCAGGGAACGCCACACCTCCACCAGTAACATCCTCATAGGTAAGGACAGTACGGGACGGCAGTCATCATTTTAACAGTGCGGGCGCTATGACACAATTTTATTTGAACTACAATGAGAAAACATTACAGCCAGATTAGCAGTTCTCTCTCTGCTGTGGTCAAGAAGTGATTTGAGCTAAATGCTAATGTCAGCATGCTATCATCATTTTCTTTCGCGGGTATAATGTTTACAACGTTCATCATTTAGCTGTAGCAGCGTCATTACTGCCTTGTTACTCTTGCTGTCAGCTTGTTGCACCTTGTGAAATATTTGAGATCCTTTTTTTGCTCATTGCCAGGCCCCACCAGTGAGCACCTCGGCTGCATCTCCGTCCCGTACGAGATCTCCATTCCCAAAAGCACCTTGCAGTCTTGCACAGACCAGGACTGCACAGGGGACGACCCCAGTGATTTCTCATCAAGGTCCAAACACCACAACACTTCCAGAGTGGAGACGACCACCAGCCACCTGTGCTGCCAACGCAGCAACTTCAGCCCCCAGGCCCTGGACACCAGCTCTGCAGACTACAACGACACCGAGTCAGGCTTCGAAAGCAGCAGCAGCAGCACCACCACAGTCACCAGCTGGAGACACCAAAGACCGGGCCGGCACTCCCGAGAAGACGGTCTATCAGACTTGAAGAATGTGACCGTGAGAAGCACCTGGAAGAACCGGGGCGCCCTCTCAGTGGAAGAGATGGGCCGAGGAAGGGGAGGCACAAGGACATTGACCGACGGGGGGTCCGAGGATGAAGCAGAGGTCGCGAAAACATGGAAGGCTTACCGGGCCACCACCTTTGACACAGACGAAACAATAAACAGCGGAACAGGAGCTGGTGGGAACGCTGAGGCGCTGAGGGGGGTCAAGCCGTCCCCTGCAGAGGTGAGCTCAAGAACAAATGCATGGGACAAATGAGTACGGTCTCTGCACAAAGTTCAGAGGGTATGAACTACTTCATGGCTGCATAATGTTGCTCTCTGTGTCCCTGTCCCAGGTGTACATGCGTAGGATCAACAGTGTGGCCCCTAATAGCAGAGAGGCCGAGGACCCCCTGCTTCGCAGAGGAAAACGCTCACAGTCTCCCATCATGGAAGCAAGAGGCGTGGGAAAGACCATGCCGCACGCACCCGTTACCGCTCAGTCCTGGGGTCGGTCCTACACACAGCAACCACAGGTAGGACAACAAACCTTGAAAATTTTCTTTGCACACACAAGATTTGTTCTTTTGAAATGATGCATTAGTACATTATTATTTATTAAATAAGCTCAAAGAGTTTTATGGTTTTGCAAAGTGTGGCTGGTCGTTTTGCATGCTTAGAGTAGTTGGAGTTTTGACATTGTGGAAAGACGAATCCCTTAAAATGTAATTCCTCCCTTTCTTTTGGAAAAACTATTCCTTGTGTCTGCTTTACATTTTTCTAAACTGTGAATGCGCTATTTCTGCATAATGCGTATTCTAAAATACGCCTCATTGCTATGCAGGTGAAAGCCTTTTACGCACCACTTGGCAAACGGTTGTCTGGCAGATAAAAGTCCAGAAAGTACAACCACAGCGCTGAGCTCCTGGTGTGTCCACTTTGCATGAGAGCTCAGCTTGTATTTTTCCCTGACGCCAGACTCTGCGACTTCAAGCTTAGCACAGCAGTTCTGTAGGCCCCACTCCCGCTGCCCCAGTAAGCACAAAGAGAAAAGGGTGGGACAAAAAATGAGGGAGGATGGAAATGAAAGACCTCAACAGGGGGAAAAGAGGGTTAAGGAAAACCTCAAAGAGAGGAAAGTGGCTTTCATTTAAATGTGCCGCCATAGTCTGTGGCCTTTCCAGGCTATTCTATACAAACATTCTGAAAAAGAAGAGTTATTCACCCCCTCCTTGTGCATGTATTGGATTAATGTGTTTTATGTATGGATTAATCTTTCACCTGTCACTGTGTAAGATCGTATGTTTCGGGCTTACGGATTTTTTTAGTATGGAAAAATGTAATGTAATCACAACCTGCCATACGGCTTTGTCATAAACAAGGAATTGCAAAGCGGGCGATTGAGCCCACTAATTTCACGCACGTTTGCCTATGCGCTAACCTCTGAGATTGTGTGCATAGCTACAATTAATGGAGTGTGACAATTCATACAAGTCTGCAGATCGATGAGGTGAAAACTACTTTACGGGCTACAGTATTAACTTACTTGTCTATTGGTTCTTAATGTATTGCCCATTAGCCACGGTACTGTTTAAAGAGTGGGCTCCATGGCTACAATAACATGAGTCTGTCAGTTTAACAAACTATGCTGGACCAGAGGCCTTGGGGTAAAATGTCAGCGTTTTCCTCAATAAATAAACTGGATGTTGCCAAGGAGACCAACACACATACAAAGTGTCTGCTGTCCCATCTATCACGTTTGCTCCCGTTTGCTTTGCGGGCCGCTGTTTCAAAGCCTCGTTTGGCGATTTAGCCGGGCAACATTTTCGATTACAGCTGTCGCCTTGTTTTTATTTTATTTTTTTTGCAGCCGATGAACAGAAGTTATCATATTTGAGAGCGTAGTCGGCCGTTAGAGCTGTAACGCCCACGGGGCCCCTCCCCCTCATTAACCTCAACAAGCTCGATGAAATCTGTCGACCAATTAGCCTGGACCCACACCGCCCCCCTTTCAGCAGTGACACAGACATAAGGGAAAGGGGACAGCCAGCTGTGCTTTGTCTCTGACGCCTCCCCGCCCACCTATTTGATTCCATCCAAGCGCCGGCGTGAGCAAAGCGCCTTAGGGTCGTGTATCAGGAAGCTCTGTCAGGGTCACCCGTCCTCCTCTCCTTGTTGTGATCCTGTCCCTCGTCCTTAATCATCATGAAGACAAGAGTCCCTGTCCTGTCTCTGATGTGTTGTCTGTTTTTATCAGTTATACACGATGCTATGGGCATTTCCCAAACTCACTTGGTTCACACAGCTGTTTAGCTGTGCCACTCCAATTGGATCGCTGGTATGAAGAAAAATAGCTTATGTGCGAAAAAAAATCCTAATTTGATGCATAACAGGGCTTCGGAGCTTGTTTTGGCTCGCAGCCGCTGATCTCTTGGTTTGGATTTTAAGAAGATTTCAGTGGTCTGAACGGAATCCGTTCCTCAGAGGTTTGGATAAATCTAGCAGTAGTTAGGATGGATTCAAATACACCTCCTTGTCTTCATGCGCGACATGTCTTCCCAGTGATCAGAGTAGTGCGGACTGAAAAGGCGTGATGGATAAATAGTCATTAAGGAGGAGAACACCCTTCTAGTTCCTTTAAGCACCCCGGTGCGACCTGGGGAAGCTGATTGCTTATTGATTAGCTTTCTTCAGTGAACCTCATGTATAAATTATTCGGATGCCATTCATTCAGACCTCTATAGCACAGAGGGACACATTTTCATCTAACAAAAGGTCATGGTTGTTGTCATTTTGATCCAATCCAATGGCTGCTCTTTGACCTTGACGGTCGCCTCCAGGTTGTCCACAGCGATGTTTACAGTGCAACGTTATTCCCACTGCGTTGGCCTCGCTGTAGGGAGGCCAGGTTCCGCCCAGCGGTTCACCGCATTGCTGCAATACAAAGCATCTCAGTATAACTGATTGCAATGACATGTTCTGCAGACATTCATGCCGATCCCCGCGATTTAAATACAGCCAAAGGCGTTGATATTTTTGCCCCGACACACACTTTGTGCCAATCAAACCAGTGGATATTACAGGACGTGGTCCAACGTGGATGAAGCAAACTGCTTTCTGTAGCAGTCACTCCACACCTCACAGTGCAGAGCAGTATTCTAGTGATTTCTCCCCACAGTAGCAGTAGGAAACCTCAGCCTGTACATGACTCAACCCTGAACTTATGTTTGGCTGAGGACACCGGGGCCGATATGGCCGATGAACAGGGTACCAAAACATCCTTTGTTGAGTCCCAAACCAGCGGCAGTAAAGTAAAGTGTGGGATCAGGGCTCGCTTACCGCTCGCTAGGTGCCTCGTGTTTCTAGTTGTAGAGCATCAGACAGCTGACGCTGTGCGTTGGGCCAATGAAAAGATTTATATGAATAGCTCTCTATAAATCGTAACCAATAAACCCATAAATCTCATCACCAAGAAAAAAAATCAAACACAAATTGTACCTTTTTTTTTTTTCCTGAAACATTTCACATGGATTGTTGTCTGGCTGGAGGGGTGATTGAAGAGTTTGGGTTGGCCACACATCAAAATTCCTTTAACATCGGGCGAGAGACCAAGGGCAGACGGATTTAAAGTAGGGATAACATTTCTTCTGCAGACACGCTACTTGTGTTACTTCTTAATTCTGTTGGCCTTCATTTTGTAGGAGAAGGAAGTGCTCTCTGTGTCCTTTGGATATTTTGCATTGATAACTCTAACAGAAAGAGCCTTTTCTCATTAAAGTATTCATACTCCGACACAATTTTTTATCGAGAAGATTGAAGCGACTCTAATGTTCCCTTGGTGAATATAGTGTAAATCTGCAGTTGGTTAGCTTCGCTTAAAGAGACTCGTAAAACGGTAGACCAGCCCACAACTCAACGTTTTACACCGAGTTTGTTGTACGAAATAAACACAGACAATTTAATTGGGGCGCTTTTTAGAGGTGCTGGTAGGTCTTTTTATTAGCCTTTTCTGTCTTTTTGCAAAACTACATCGCTTCTGAATCCAACTGCGTATTAGCACTACACATATGAGCGCGGTACCGATCCTCTTATACTCTCAAAGAAGAAAGTCAATATGTCAAACTATTCATTTGGAATATCACAGAAAATGACTTTTCTTATTTGATATAAAAGTTGTTACAAGATAAGTTAACTTTTCTCCGTCCTACCTATCATGTATTTTATTGTGTCAAATAATCACGCAGACATTAATTAATGTTTCTGATTAAGAGCCTATAAAAGTGGGTTTTCCAGGCTGAAGGCATTCAGTAAGCTGGAGCAGATCTGTAAAGAAAGGAGCTCCCGCTGTTCCAGTCGCTTTCCCCTTCTGTGGCAACTTACAGAACAGCATTCATTACAGCCTGACATTGCTCTTGCCCAAATATTTTCTTAAATGAACTTGTAGCCACATGGGGAAAGGCTCCTTCACACACAGCAGTTAGTAATTTTCCCTCAGCTGAAACCACACATCTTTTTGACATCTTTTTACTTCTATTGAGCCTTAAACTTTCATTTTTCAAGCTTTTTTCTTTTAACTTTTTTTTAAATACATGCCAAATCTTTATTGTCAGGCGTATATTTATGCACTTTTTACAATGAGTTGAACAATGCACAAGCGTCCTGTTGATTGTAGGAGGAACACTGGAAATGCATCACATGGCAACCCTGTAAAAAGCCCCCGCTCTTGCAGCTGTGGCTTACCATAGAAGGAGAATATGCCACTCGGCCGTTTCCTCCCTTCGGTGACTGGAGCAGGAAGTGACCACACTGAACACGCCTGCTTGGCAGGGTTTGCTGGAGACCGATTTCCTGTCTCCTACCCCTGGAGATGGAGAAAGGCAGTCCAGCAGGGCACCATTAAAGACAATTAGTGAGAATGCATTCTAAAAGCTGCATCTGAAGCCAACTCCAACCCACCAAATGTCACTAATTATGGTGCTGTGTTTTTTTCTTTAAAGCTAAAATTACAGGAGCGGGGTGCTGGTTCTGCGTGCTTTAGGAACTGCACCGTCATGGAACTCTCACTTTCGTAGAGCGGGGTTACTGGGGTTATGAGAGGGGACGTGCCACTATAGCCGCCCCAGACTAGTAACGTTGGGTTTGTTTTCTAGTCAGCCCACCAAATTATAAATCTCTCAGCTGGGGGTATGTTTGGGGTTTTTGGTTGGTTTGTTTTCTTTCGCTGGCAGAAGTCCAGCTGGCAGTGTTTCCCTGTCACATACTAGTTAACACAAGCAGCATGTAAGTAACAAAAGTCCAATCTAAATGCCCTGAGCACTTATCACTCCAAAAATACGGGATTGAATGCATTGACCTCTGTAATGTTTGTGTTTCTGACCATGCGAATGCCAAACCAACCAGCTTCCAAATGTGACCGTGGACAAGACTTCTTTTTAATCAAGTCTTCTAACCCTTCCAGGCTGCTGATGGTGCGGAGGCCGTTCCTAACCCCAACCTGAGTCCGGCCTCCTGGAGGCGGCAGATCCCCAGCAGCGACTCCCATCGCCCGGGGAGCCCTCATGACCGGGCGCCAAAGACGACCGGTGCCCCCTCCAGAGGAGAGCTGCGCTCAGGTCAGGGTCAAGGGTCAGGGACTATAGGCGATGGGAGCAGTGCAACGGGGAGCCGACCCCGGCGCCATCATCACTCCGTCGAGCATCATTAGAACGGCTCGGGTCTCAGCGGGACTTCTACAGCAAAGAGACATGTAGGCGACGGGGTGGTTTTAGTCTCCTGAAAGTCATTGATTAACGGAAAGGCTTTATCGGCCCTGTTGGAATGGTGTGTGTGTGTGTGTGTGTGTGTGTGTGTGTGTGTGTGTGTGTGTGTGTGTGTGTGTGTGTGTGTGTGTGTGTGTGTGTGTGTGTGTGTGTGTGTGTGAGTTGCCCTGACACATCTCACAGTGGTTTAATGAGTAGAGTGACCCCCAGTGGGAAGCCCTGCCTTCACTACATGTAACAGCGTCCATCCTGCTGAGGGTTCCACGAGCAAGGCAGTTCCAGGTGAACTGTGGCATCGCTAAACCTGCAAGCATTCCTAATATTTGCCCCAATCCTCAGCAGTTTACTGGGGGGGGGGAAATTATATTTTTTAGATTTTCTTGAGTAAGAAAAGCTCCATTTGAACCTGAGTTTATATTCATGGCTTATTTGCATCTTTTCAGATACCAAACACATTTCACATTTAGTCACATTCAGATCAGTTGCACTGAATAAAACCTTTTTTTTTTATTGGTGTAGCAGTTAAGGTTAATTAGTACCTAGTGACCTCGTTGTTTATGGTATGGTGGTTTCTTAGAGATTATGGACCAATTGTCTATCTATATTTCGTTTTTAAATATAGTTTTATTACTATAATAAAAGATTAAGCAAGATCTTTACCTTCTTTTTTTTCTTTTTCTCGACAGCACTCCAACAGGCTGTCAACGGCACAAGGAGGGCCAAACATCAGTCTCCCATCAACTAATGGCTTCCATCTCCAAAAGTCAACACCTACAGCTTTTATAGCAAAGTCGCTGCCAAACAGTACAACAAACCACAGACCGGACATCGTTACCCTGAGTGTGCTGAGACGGGAACAGCTCATTCTAACTTTCTCTGCCCCAAAAGAGGCGTGATGATGGAAAGACGTTTTTGGAGTTCGCCACAACAGCCCGTGTATCCTCTCCTGCTCCTCGTGTTGGATGTATTATAGTGTAATCCCGAAACTCGACAAAGGAGAGGCTGGCATGTTGTGGACGGCTCCGGATTTCCCCGCGTGGCATTTTGAAGTGAGATTTCTCGTAGGAGGGTCTCGAAACGTTCAGAATGGCTTTCTCAGAGGACCATTACGTTGACCTCAGCGGAGCTGGAAACGCTGCTTCTGCATCAGAACTCCTCCGTCACTAAAAATAACAAAACGGCCGTTCAATCATCATCAGCAGTCCAATGTTTAAGATGCGTTTTCATCTCACATGTCAGAATAACAGATTTATCGCTTTTTAATGTGACCAAAAACAGGAAGCGAATTATCCTCTTTGCTGACTCCATATGTGCATTTTCTGATTTTTCTCAAACATGAATACTCCTAACCATACAAACACATGAACATTTAACATTTTTGCTTTATTTTTTTACCACCACTCTCTGGAAAACGGCCTCAAACTCTCTTTAATTTGGGCTTTTCGATGTCTAGTGAACATTTACATGTTTCTAAATAACAAATAAAAGAATATTGTAACTTAGGGTGTCGTCCATTGCACACACAGACCAATAAACACAAAAATTCTGACAGGCCGGGACCTTATTTATGCTTTTTTGCCATTTCCACCAGTTATTTAGATTCTTTGTAATTCGCTTCCTGTTCTGCATTATCCTTTCCTTTTCTGCTCCGCCATATCAAGAAAAAAAAAAAAGTAGTTTGCACGCAATGAAATGCAATGCACATGTAGAAAAAGAAAATAATGGGGGCATGGGGTGTGTTGTTTATAACCTCAGACCATGCGACAATTTCCATGGTGCTTTGTTTTTACAGCTCTTGCAATTTGTCCTCGTGCGTGTGTTTTCAGAGAGCCGTGGCCAACAGGGGTTTCTGTTTTAACTGAACGTTGGACTTTGGATTACCAGCAGACCTGGCCTGGCAAGGACAAACATTTTTTTGTTTTTGTTTTACGGCGCTGTTGTAAATACTGTTGTACATGCCAGCCAGTCATAAGAAGAAACTCCTAATCACAAGGAACTGGCCGTATGCGACTGGGTTCGCCGTGCGAAATCTCCCCAGCTTGTCTCTGTTTCTTATTCCTATACAGGTGTATTATTTTTGTTACATCATGAAACGTAAATATGCGGTCAGTATGTTGGAGCAATTTCTGAAAAATGGGGGTGCCATGAACCAGTTTCAGAGTGGCCGGTGAATAAGATGAGGGGAATTAAACCGACTTTCAACACGCTGGACTTTTAGATTCAACATTTACTGCAGGACGACCGGCGATGAACGTTGCTATTGAGCAGCTGAGAACGTCCAATCGCCTGGTGGCAAACAGGACAGCGCCGCGTCTCTGACGGGACCATGTCGCCATAACGTGTGACGCGTGGGGGGAAAAAAATCCGGTTCCTCTTCCGCTGTAGGTTTCAACGCCTGCGTTTCCGAGTCGGTGGCGTTTTTCCCCGTTCTCCCGTATTCTTACCAGGCGCCATCCAGCTGTAGTGTTTATCGGTCTTCATACATGCACAGGTTGTCTTGTGGCGGGGAGGTCTGTCGCCGCTTTGTCACTTTACTGTTCATGCAAGCGAGAGATCATATGCAATCATTAATCTGCGTCACAATGTCGCTCCTCGTGCTTTACATTCAAATCAGGGGGGAAACTCTGAACTTAAAATGTTGGCTCACCTTCAAAATGTACATTTTCATTAATATCTATGACTTTTTGCTAGAAATATCTACAGTATGTTCATCTGTGCCTTGAGATTAATTGAGAGAGATTATACCTACAAATCCGGATTAGGCCCAAATTGTCTTGTTCTGCATATAAATGAAACGTAATACTGATTACTGACTTTTATTTCTTTTCTTTTTTTTTCTACAAGAGCATTGATGAATGGTCACCGTAGAAGTATTTGGGTTAAAGTGCTGAACGAGCGTCTTCGAGGGAACTCCCCCACTGAGGACGTCCGAGCGAGACTCCCGGAGACTAATGTAGTCTCTTTTTTTTTTTCTATCCCGACTTCAAAGTACCCTTTTAAAGAACACAGACCGCACCGCCCCAAAAGCTACATCCTTTGAATTTGCAGCCTCAGAGAGGATTGCCATGTGGCCGCTTCATGGCCCCTGCTTGCTTTCAGACGAACCGGACCCACGGCCCTCGTTCCTCCACCACTCTCCTCGTTCTCCAATCTCTCATCTGGTCAACTTCCCATTTATTTGCCTTTTTGGTATGTTGGAGCAGCCAAGTGTGGCCGTCTCCTTTCGTTCTCTTGACTGACTCCTCCGTTTCTGTGCGTCTTCCCTCTCACGTCCTAAAGGGGGGAAAAGACAACCGGCAGCCAGCAATACGCGTCGTTGCTTCAGACCAGGCTTTGACGGGCAGCGCTCCGGGTAGCCGGAGGTCTTCGGAGGTCAGAGCTGCATCTAATCCTGTCTCTTTTTCTTGACTCAGGGCTTCTAAATGCAGGCGAGAGGAAGGCCGGCGGCTCGGCAGTAAAGTGCGCCTGAGGGATAATTAAAGCCGACGACGGTATCGAATGTCCAGCGCTGAGCTCGTGCTGCCTCGAGGCGCACGTGGTGCGGTTGTCCGTCGGTGTGAGCTGTTATTAATATGTCAGCGAGGGATCTCGTTTTGAAAGCTCGACATGCGAACAGGCGTGTCGTAAGCCCGCGAGAAGCCGCTGACGGACAGACGGGCACGCGTGTCTGTCAAGAGTTTGGCGTGTGCGGAGCCCGGAGACCGTTCCTCCTTTTTTTAACAGGCTGACGTCACTGCGGGTCAGGATTACTCAACATAGCGACTCGGTGATGCAAGTGCGAACACGGATGCCCTCCTCGACCGCTATCCGGCCCTTATTTACACCCGCCCCGCGCCCCCTCCCCATGTGTCACCCATCTCCCTCCCTCCCTCCCCTCCCAGGGAGAGCCCAGCTGTTGTGAACTGAATGTTTTATGACACGTTGGAGGGTTTCCCCTCCCGGAGACCGGCATCAAAGAAAGCAGGGCTGTTTTTTTAAAGGGGGTAAAGTTGAAACTCCGTCCTCTGCTCTGCGTGATGCCTTTCTTCGCTTTCACGTCCGCTCCGTCCACGGGAACCTAGCGGGGCTCTTGCGTGCCAGAACCAAGACCATTTAAGCTTCGACCTGCTATGTTCCGCTGTTCTAGGTCGTATTCGTGGCTCGCAGTGGCAACGGCCTGCGTGGTGTTGACACGGTGGAATGTACTGACCCGTCATCTGGGACCCAAGTGAAGACCTCACAGGTTTCAAAGCTCCTACAGCTCTTGTGGCCCGATGAACGGAGGTTTTGCCGGTTCCTCTCCTGCCTAAATGTTGGCTGTATGATATAAAATTCCTACAAGGACAAGAAGGTGTTAAACCGTGGAGAGTGCGTCTGCTTCTCCTTTTCTGCTAAAATACCAACAAAAGAGGTGTAAATCCTCTTAAACTGGTGTTGTAAGTATAAACATCCGCTATTTACAAGTCATAGTTTATTCCCTTTCATTAAGTAGACTAGAATGTACTCGGTGGAGATTGGAGTGGCGAGGCAGAAATGGCTCTCGGGGTCGGACAGCGGGACCCTTGTCCTCAAAAGCCTGCGTTGTGAAGCCGGGGTCGTGGTGTCATTGGGCGGCGTCGGCTGTAATCTGCACTTAACCAGCACTTAACTTTAAGACCTCATACGACTAATGCCCCTATTGTCCCCTTTCGTCCCAAAAATTGTACCAGTCGGATACGTTATGTATTTTTGCACCAGCCAAATTAGTGGATTATTTGAGAATCATCGAAACAGTCAGAGAAAGGAAGCCGGCGTGCACTCTGCGAATGAATGAATGAATAATCTTTGAGCGATGGCGCCCTGTAAACGCCTGCATCTCGGCCTTCTAGCCTGGTGCCAAATGAATTCCACGGTATTTCCAGTTTACAGTTTGAGACGTGTCAGCGCTCTGATGGCCACCCAGTCTCTCAGCTACTGAACTGAATGGGACATTTTCAATTTGAGGGTTTTCTTTTTTGTTTTCCGTCAGTTGTGTTTTGATTACGTTGTCAAACAAAAGATGTCTTATTTCGGAGGCTATATCGGGTAGATTTTTATTTAAGGAAACTCTTTGTAATTTTGTAAAGTGGGCCTCATTATTGAAATATATTAAGTATTTGTCCAGCTTGATTTTAAGAACGATATTTTTCGCATCTTCCTCATTGTTAATACACTCCTGGAGAGTACTTTATTTGCGTTTTGTTGTTTTAATGCAAGACATTATCTCCCGACCTGGCGGCACGCTACGGATCAGAGAGAGAGACGGAGAACCCGGGTGGTGTCGTATTGAAGACTGAGAGGTGTGTTTGATTCGTTGAGCGGCGCTGAGTGGTTCCCCGCGTGTCGTCAGGGACCGTTCAGGCTGCCCGGTTCTCCCTCGCTCTTTACTTCAGGGTTCGTACGGATTTTCTGTGCTGTACGTTTTGTGAGTGCTGCCAAAGAGAGAAGGGCGCAGAGCCCAGACACACACACACACACACACACACGACACTGTGTGCGTGCGTGTGTACATAAACACACAAAAAACATAATAGGAATTAAAAAGAAGCTGTCTGTAACTGGATTTCTTTTATAATAACCGGCCTGTACAATCACCTTTGGTTATTTTTATTGCTAAGTTTATGTTTGTTTTGTTTTCAGAAGGAGACTGACAGAAAGAGGTGTCAAACTCAAAACTGTATGTAACAAAATCAGATCAAATGGGTTTTTATGGTTTAATATTGCTTCTCAGTGGGTCGGCAATGCCAGGTGGACTGTGTGGGGAGGCTTTTTTTTCTTTTTTAGACTTAATACATTGTGCATGTTTTAACTTTACTGTGGCTGGCGCACTCTGCATGTAGGTCTCTCGAAGCTGCCAACTGTACAGCAGACCATATGTATTCCAATAAAAATAAAAAAACAACCTGTTTGTAATACGTCTCCATGTCGGAACCTGTGTGTGTGTGTGTGTGTGTGTGTGTGTGTGTGTGTGTGTGTGTGTGTGTGTGTGTGTGTGTGTGTGTGTGTGTGTGTGTGTGTGTGTGTGTGTGTGTGTGTGTGTGTGTGTGTAACCAACCATGTATGTTAATCGCTTTCATGCTTTTCTGCTGAACAAGCTCAGCAAGTTTTGATTTGATAGCGGTACACCCAGTGCGTGTGTGTGTGTGTGTGTTTGTGCGTGCAATCTTCTGGTTTTTACCAGCGAGCTGACGCTAAATAAGCAGGCGGACAAATGAGGCCACGTTGGTCAGGTACAACGAGGGAAACCACAAGCTGTTGTGGAATGCAAAGTCAGCACACACAAATTTATCTTAAACCGCCCCGACTCACTTTATGAAAGCCACCAATTCCGAAATGTATATCTACTTCACACACATCTAGTTTGATTTTATCTGACTTTTGTGTGAAGTCTGCTATCCAGCAGTGATGCATCTTTTTCTTTTTTTCTGCCTCAAACTGCCAGGAAGTTTTCAGCATTTCCCAGGATTGTTTTTTGTCAGACGCCAGTGAACAAGCCCGAGCATGTTGAATTTGGCGACTTGGCCTTCATGTGCAGGTGGTGAGTCAAAGCAAAATGTTCTCACTCTTTCTTGAGAACCTGTGACTGCATCCTGATGCTCCGCAGCACTTCATTCAAACAACTTAATACACAAATCCTCCTCCTCTGGAATTTTAAAATTACAGTTGCAAACTTATAGTCCCAATAGATGTCCAACTGTATATATTTTTCACCAGTAAATACAAAAACAATAGACAAGCAAAAGATCAACTCCTCATTCACGACACTTTTGACATTTTGCTTTCACCTTAGGCCTTTTTTCCCATTATTTAGTTTTTTCTATTTTGAACCCCAAATGCCTGCAGTCTTCAGGCTTCTTTCAGTTGCGAGAACAGGCCACAAGAAAAATAGAAACCTCATCAGCTTTGTGGGTCTGCATGCGTCAATCCAGTTGAGTCCGGGGTTAACGCTGTCTAACCCGCTTGTGACCTCACAAGCGGTTGGACAGCGTTAACCTGTCCCGAGTTCAGACGCTGGGAGGTGCTACCCTAACACAGGTGGGGGCTTGTTTGGACCCCGGTTCTCCGGGGGCTCCGAGCCAATGCCCGACCTGAATTAGTGCTGTGAAGTCAACCATATAAATGACTCCGTGGCACTCCCTGCCATCGGAGGAGAAAGATGTTTCACTGCCTAAAACAGGTGTAGGAAGGACTGAGGGCTGTTTAGTTTGAGCCTGCAGCTTTGGATAAGTTTGACGATTGTTCATGTCGTGTGGAGATTTATGTAATTTACTTGAGTATTAGTACTGCTTGACATTCATGTTTTTGGTCATTAACCAAAGTACTGATGATTTTCATTGGAAAAGTCAGCAGAGTCGCTACGAATTTTCATGACAATCAAACCGTTTTCATTCCTCGCCGACCAACTAACATTAGACCTAAAAGCCAAGCTGCTAGAATGGCCAAAATAAAAACTATACTGACTTGAAATCAAAAATATTTGTCACTATCTCTGGATTTATTTCAAATTCAATTATGGATAATATCCAAAATGCTGGCAGCAGTATGTGGGCAGTTGTTTGTGCCGGTGTAACATTCCACCCCACACCTACAAATCCCATGAGATGTGCTCAGACGTGCTGTGGTCTCTGAAAGGACTTTAATAACTGCCTATTACACCATAAACGTCTCTGCCTTACCTAACCAGTTGATGTGTGCTGGAGGCTATTATGAAAAATAACCTCACCAGTTACACGCTGCTCTGAGCCAACGGTGAGATGAAAATATCCGCGCGCTGCAGCCTAAAACCCCAGCTTGAGTTACCGTGTCTCACCAAACATCTCTTCTTTTGGTTGCGTTAACAACTGCATTTCTCTCCACAGTGCATGGAAACAGCAGCACAGAACCCTGAAATACAACTCCACACGAAAGCTCATGGTTTACCGTTTTAACCTCCCCTCCATTCCTCAGATCCCCCACCAAGGGCCCTCATCGCTCCCTCGGCCACTGTGGCACAGACCCCGTGAAGGACCACTGGAGGGTCAGCTGTGTTACGGTTGTAGAAGTGCTGCTGCATTCACACCAACTGTCACTTTTAAAAAGAACACGCTGAACTCCGATGCAATTCATGACTTATTTTAATAACAGAAAAATTGTCGATATAAAAAAAAAAAGTGTGACAACCATAATAAAATAAACTGCTATGGCAACAAAAACATTCACAATTCTTTAAATCTTTAAGTTTTTCCACTATTCTGCAACTGTAAATAATAAAGTAAACTCAAGAGGCATACAGCTACAGTACTTAAGACAACCAAGACGAGGCCTTGAGACTGTCACGGAGTTTGACATCTGTCTTTTACAAAATATCTGGCTCCAGGTTCTGCGTACTTTCTGGATTTAAACAAGGGCACATAAATAGACGTTACGTTTTGCAGATATGCTCACAATGAGATCACATACACTCCAAACATGATGCCATGCTGTGGAAAATGACATTTCTAAAGATGAGTTATGACATTACTATGTAGCAATTCTTTACACGTGTGCCTAGTCATTGTAGTGGGTGGCATGGGTGTACAGATCTGTAATGCTCCACTTAATCTCAATTTCACACCATACCTAAAGGACAGAAAATCTATTTCCTGTGTGTCATTACTAGAGGAAAGGCAATGATGCAGAGTGTTGTACGGTACTCCCATGATCTTTCACGTACAGAAATATCAACAGTTTATGGGTAAGCTTTTATTTTCTCGTTAACTGCTTCAGTTGGTCCCACAGTCCTGAGCGGAAAGGAACTGGGTGAGGCAATTTCAAGCGCTGGGGGTGGGATGAGCCTGTTGAGGGTTACTGGCAGCTGTGGGAGTGGCCTGCCGGGGAAGCGTGTACATGGCCCCCAGGAACTGATCAGCGATGCGTCCGGCCTCGCGCAGCCCGCTGAGCAGGGCGCCGTGGACTGTGGCGGGGTAATTCCTGATCGTGTGCTCCCCAGAGAAGAACAGGCGAGGGACGGGCTGAGCGGAGGGAAAGCGTTGAACGATGTTGAGTTGTGCCAAGACAATGAGGAATTCAAAAGGGAATACGGGAGTGTGGTAGTAAAACTCATCAGTCAACACATAAAGACGACAGCCAAGGATTTTGGAGTTGTTGGCGTCCTTACCTGTGAGGCTCCCGGGATGGCGGGGCCCGGTGTGATGGGCTGTGCCATCAGGTCGTAGTCGTTACCCGAAGAACCTGCTGCCACGTACGAGTAGGAGCCCCGAGCCCAGGGGTCGGCGCGCCAACGGGTGACCACGGTTTCCTTCGGCTGCCATGACAAACAACAAAATATTTCTTAGCAGGATGTTCGAGGGACCTGCTAACAGCTGGATCGTGAACCGCTCCGACGCTGAACCCCATTTCAAACCATAAGCAAATTATTTATAATGACTGGTGTTTGAGACGAGGCCAGAGCCTTCCACATGTGCTCGCTGTGTTGGTAATGGGGGTAAATTCAGGAACTGATTGGACATTCCACTCAAAGTAGTGGAAAAACCAGAGAAAACCGTAAATAAAACCAAGCACTACTTTCCTTTTAACAACAAAACCGCATGAAGTTGTATTTGGCCAGTTTTGTCGAATCGTATGGACATTGTGTTTGAGGGTAATAAACTATTTGGGTTAAGTTAAAGAATAACTCAAAGTGAAAAGTCTCGGCCAATATCAAAGTGAACACTGATGCTTTGGATATAACGGCGCGGGAGGGGTTTTGTCATAGATGATTCACAGATGTGTACCTGCGGCACCGCGCTGCTTCCAAATATTCCTTTGAGGATGGCCAGGCAGCGGCCGACAATCACGTCATCGCTGATGTTCTCCATGATACCCGCCGCCTCTCCGGCCATCAGAGCTAGTAGGATCGGCGCTGAAAAGGAGCAATTTGTCACGGAGACTTATTAAGAGAAGCAAAGGGAATAAATATATATTTCTATATATATTCGGACAGGTAACATCTCAATGCCAAATCCTCGGCAGTGTGGAAATGAAAACAGGATCTCTTGTCACCTTTGTAGAGGTTCCAGAAGAGGAAGAGTTCGCCGCGACTCGCTGTGGTGGAGCCGACGTGACCAAACAGGTTGACGCTGGGATCCCAGAACACGCGGTCGAAGCACAACACCACCTACGGGCCGGGAGTAGCACCGCATTCAAGGTCAAATCAATCAAAGTGGTTGTTTTGATCAAAAGCCCCATGGCCGCCGGCTCAGCACATTTACTGCCTTCATAGATACGAGTGTGTGATTGCTGGAGCACCATCTGCTGGAGACTGTTGGTAGCACATAGAATACTGCATTATTATGCAACCTATGTGCTGCAGTAGATTTAGGGGATACACTTCTCTACTGCAGATGATGCTCAGCGAGCGCGAGCTGGTGGGCCCGTGTGACGCAGAATGAGGACTGATTACAAACACACGGGTATAAAAGCAACTTTTGAAGCTTCTCCGCCCCTTTTCCACATTGCCCGAGCCATCCTCATCCCACTCTCCATCCTCCGCCTGATCCCAAATATAAACTATGTTATACAATATCGACGTACACAGTGGGAATGTGAAGGTCAAGGAGAGTTCTGTAGAGTTTGCTTGACAGCAGAAGGCAGCGAGCTCCGCTCCAAGAATACTGAGCACCGTACCTTGTTGAGGTTGCCGAAGCCCATCCTCTGTATAGCAGAGGTCTTCCACTCAGGCAGCGGGGGAACAAACTGCACAGCAGGGGGCTGCTGCTTCAGCACGCCAAGCGGCAAGGTGCACAGCACAGCGTCACACTTGTATATGAAGGTCTGGGTGGTGGAGCGGGTGTTGACAGCGATCACCTCGCAGCCTGGGGAAAGAACATGCGAGGAACTGTTTAACACACGTTGGACGGCCACATTGCCTTCCCTCATGATATCAACAAAAAAAACAAAAAGGAATGTGTGGCCAAAAGCGGCAGAACAAACGCGCACACACACAGTCCTGTGCACGTACCTGAAGCTGTATACCGGACCTGCCGCACTGCTGTGTTCAGTTTGATGTCCAAGCCTTCAGCCAGGGCCACAGGGACACATGAATACCCATTCCTCACCGTCAGGTGGCTGCCAGTGAACTCAAAGTCATCATCCTGTGGATAGAGCCACGGCACGGTCAACCTCCTCACGCAATAAAGCACAACGTCTCATAGTTGAGCTAGCGGGAACTTGTTAGGAACGAGTCTGGAAGAGGCCTTGGGGGGGTCTTTGCGATGCAAGGCCATTGTCAGGACTAAATAGTTCTGACGTTGCGAAGCGGGTTTGTGTATATACCTGATCCCAGTGCTTGAGAGAAAGGGTGGAGAGAGGCGTAGCGTTGGCAAACTCCAAGTTGGCAAAGTGCCAGTCCAGGATCTGCCGATCCCTGGATGACAGATAAACGTCACTGTGGGAAAGAAGGGAAGAAAAGCAACACGGTGATATGTACTGACAGCTATTCAGACGTCAGAGCCACAGGTTTACTCAAGTGAGAGCAGAAGGCGATCTTCTCAAGTGCCAGAGGACATGCGCAGCTAAACATCTGTTGGTAATGGCCTCAGAGCTCCAACGCCACTCCAGCGCATAGGCCAATATTGCTGGTCTACATTACATTACATTACATTACATGTCATTTAGCTGACGCTTTTATCCAAAGCGACGTACAATAAGTGCATTCAACCATAGGGTACAAACTCAGGAGAACAAGAAACAAGAAAGTGCAATTTCCTCAAATAAGCCAATTTACAATTTGCTATAGATGAGTGACGTTACAAGTACAATTTAAGTGCTAAGTGCTGGTCTAGCATAGTTAGCCTCGATAGCTCCTGATTAGATCAATTTAAAAAGAAAAGATGTATTCTTGAGACCTGCAACAGGGACATTTCAAAGTAACGTACAGATCCAACCTGCTGCCTCTGGATTACACAAAGGGCTTCATGTCGTTATCTATTACATTGAACAACTTCATACGAGAGGTATGACCAATAAATGCATCATAGTATCATATGTCCACTGTCCAGTACTAATGACATATATATCGTGATGGTGTGTAGTCAGAATACATTGTGATCCGATAGCGATTTAACCACTGAACAAAAACTTTTGCATTTTTAAAACAAATTGGGAGCAAATGGGAACCTCTTGGCCCAAGGGTTGCATACCTGGGTGGGTTGGCCTCCAGCTCCTGCAGCTTCTCCTCCAGCTTGACCTGCATCTCCACCAAGTCGTCATACTCCTACACAGGGCGAAGGCCGACAACCAGTTAGTAACACAGCTGGGAAGTGCTGATGCAATGACCACTCTTTTGATTTTTGAGAAAGGACACGCCGCCTTGAAAGAAAGGGCTGACTCAACCTGTTCACCAGCTCACCACAATAACCAACTACAGCAGAGAGTAAATAGTCTGTTAGATGACAGGACACCGCTACCTCCATCCGAGACTAGAAGACAAACACCCTAACGGCGTTACCAAGCCGGCAACCTCACCTGGGAAAAATAATACGATAGGCAAGAATACTGGGATATAAGGCAGCTGAAATACTCACACAGCCTTAGAATCTCGTTATATGTCACGAGCACACACACACACTTTCTAAATTTTCATTCTGTCTTTCTGAAAGAGGATGTGTATAGAGACTAGGGCTGCACGGTATATCACGGTATTGCTTTTTCAAGTAAAACACATTAAGTCATTGACCCCAAAAAGGACTGCGGCTACCCGACCAGCTCTTCGCCGCTCGCTGGCCAACTTGCTCGCAACTGCCCGGCGGGTCAGCTTGTGAGCGTGTTAGCTCGTTAGCTTGTTTGTGGCTGCTAGTGTTGCCACCAGAGGCTCGACAGACTTTGCAATAAATCATTTTCTGATTGATTTTCTAAAACCAAAAAGGCTCCAAACAGACGCAGCTCCTCTGTTGGGGACAAGTTGTGTTGGTCCCTAGTCTCTTTTCCGTGTTTTCATGTAGCAACAGAGTTAAGTTAACGTTACTTCTGGTTGTGAGCTGTACCCAGCATGCAGTTCGGCGGGGTCATTTTTATAAATGTACAATTATTAGTGTTACTAAGTTGTTTATGTGTCACAAGCTGTTGTGTCGTATTGTTTTACCCCGTTAAAGAGTGTTTGTTGTGGGTTATTCATCGTTGTTATAAAGTTACAACCATGACTCAATCTCAACACACATAAGACAAGTAGCTACAACCGCTATGCGCTTCGTGACGACGTGTAAAATAAAATCTGCCGCCTGGCAAAGAGCAACACCAGTTGTTGTGGCGTAACACCATGAACGGTACGTGAGAGATTCATACAGTCTTACACCGTTTGAACCAGTATACTGTGCAGCCCTAATAGACACAGACAGTTGGACCACCATTCAAAGTCTTGGAAGTGTGTTTTTAGACAGCGGATGGGTAGCAGACAAACACCAGCTGTGTTTAAACCAACTAAAACCTCGTCCTAAAATACTCAGTCGCAGAGGTGATCCGTCTGAGGGGCAAATAAAACCGCAGAGTTGACTCTAATAATACATCCGACTGAGGCATTAAACCACTTAAACACAGCCTGTCTGGTTTACGAGAGCTCGGCATTACAATTCTCAAGACATCCACCCAAAAATATCCTTAATCCAAGCTGGTACCTTCGCATTTTAACACCGTTACAAATGTTTTGATCTTCAGAAAATCCTCCTAATGCTTCAAACTACACTAAAGACGACGATATGATGAGGCAAGAGCTCGATTGTTCTTTTGATCACATTTCCCCCTCTGAAGCGGTGCGTTTGCTCACTTTGCAGAGCGCGGTGAGGTCGCGGTGCTTGCTCTTCACCAGGAACTCGGCTGTGATATCTCTCGGGGGTTTGACTTCGCTGGCCTCTTTGTACTGCTGATGGAGCTCCTTAACCCGTTCCTTAGTGGTCACCATCTGAAAAGGAGAGGCAGGAAAAGAGTGAGGAAAGAAAGAAGACTGACTCGACGGTGGACCAAAAAATAAAATAACTCTGGGGTTGGTTGTGCTGTTAAGACTAAACCCCTGTAATCAGCATCTGGATGAAATCCCTTACTCTGGCTTGAATTGCCACTCAGTCGTCCTTGCCTGACATTTTACAAATCAGCTCAAAAACCAGTAGGGAGCCTGCTTTTGTTAGCATAACGACACTTTTTCACTGCCAGATCAGTCACAAATTTATGTATAGTCAATATATTAGAGCCCTTATTGAATCAATCAAACAAATGTGACACTGTACAGAATACTTCTCCGTACTGACAAACCAATCAATAGAATTAAATGTTGACAGTCAAATTTCTGATATCTTTCTTGCTATAATTTTTTTTCAATTAAAATTTATTTTCGTTTCAAGATTTCCCTTTGAGTCGTCTTAAGGAAATAGCTATTTTGTACACTTATTTGTGTGCCCGACTCAAAAAGATCAATACCACTTACTGGCAAAAACCTGCACCCACCTTATTAAGAAGATCCCTCAGGTCTTCCTGAGTCTTTACAATCTTCTTCCAGTGTTCTATCTGCTCATCTTTTACGTGCTTCTCCTGCAGCCTGCACACACGGACACAAACCCAATATCATTAGCAGTGTTTATGTGTCTCTGTCTCTACTTTGGATACAAATGTGCAGGACACACGTGTCACCATGTGTAGAGTTGACCATACTCACTGAATGACCACCTCCAGGGCCTGACCCAGAGACACCGGCTTGTTGTTGAGGAAGTTAAAGTCCAGCTGGTGGCTGAGGAAGGAGGTGGCTTCCAGCAATCGGTTGAACTCTTGCTCCACCATCTCGTCTTTTTCTTTCGGCACCTGGATACAAGGTCACAGATTATATATTGTTTCAGTTACTGTGTCATAAAGTTCACCATTGCTCCAATAAAAGCAGAGGAAACATAGACAACCTAAATAAATACGTACACTTGTGCATCGTTCCCCCTTGAGTGGTCCACCAGCAGATTAACATGGAGATTGAGAAGAGGGAGAGACAGAGAACATATGAAGTAAACACAACTTTAACCGCAAACAGGTTTTTTTTACAAAAATAAAACATGATCATTTAATTTGCCTTTTCCTGCGCAGGAGGAAACCAGTTACACATGATTTACTTCAATGGAAGTTGCTGCTGCAACTTGACAGACAGCCCAGAAATGAGAGGCAAATACACTGTTTATTTCCACTTTAATGACATTAAGCTTTATGTGTTTTCTGGCCTGTTTTGCTCTGAAAGGAACTGTGCCTGTTGATGAAGTGCATTCAAGCAGTTAAATGAATCCTCCATTCGGTGTATTTTTGTGGCTTATGAAAAGCCAGACTCCTGCCTGAGGACAACCACAGAACTTGGAGAACAGCTTTAAACAAAGACACATAGCACTTGTATGCCAAGAGGGAACTCTTGTGCATTAGTAAACATATTCTGTTAAAGGAAGTAAACAAAACCAGGTCCTGGTTTCAAGAATGTCTAAAGCAGCTGTAAACAGAGGTTAGCAGTCCTAACATGGTTAAAAATGGCAGTATGATTGAAGCAGGTGGATATTTTTGGATTCTACTTTTTGGTGAAAATTCCCAGCTTGGGAGGATGGCGGGACAGAAGACAACTCAATTGATTCCGTAATGTCATTATACTCACAGCCTGGCCATTGGCTTCGTACAGTGGACACTTCTGTTTGATCTTGGCCAGCTCCATGTTAACCTGCTTGCTGATCACGGCCATTGGATTCCCTCCTGAGCGAGTACACACAATACACAATGACACAACATAAAGCTGGACAACACCCTCTACAGGTCGTCTCTTCTAACTGTAGAAACTGTTACCTCACTTTGAGCAACTGCCTCAAACGTACATGTTAATGATGATAATGTGTCACCATTAGACACTAAAAGGTTTATAGGATGCTTTGGCGTATCACCGACTTGTGAATTGACTTGAGGATCGGAACCTTACCGAGCCCTGTGACCACCATGGCTCCAAGATCAGCTACATAGTTGCCCTTCCTAAATGTGGCCACTCTGCCTCCGACACGGTCCTGCATGGAAACAGCAAAGTAACTTTAGATCACGCGATTAGTTGTCATCTAAAAACATGTATTGTATAGTGTGGCACTAATCTAAGAGTGCTATCAAATTAAAAGTTTTCTAGAATACAGCGAATTCATAGTCACAAAATATTAATACCAACAGCAGGTTAAAGACGTTGGAGAAAAAGTACACCTGAAATAAATAACAGCTGATAACTGATAGAACCTGTTGATGACCTACCCTGGCCTCCAATACTGTGACATCCATGCCGAAGCTTTGCAGCTGCCGGGCTGCAGCTAGACCAGACACACCTCCACCGATCACTATGACCTTTCCCGTTTTCTTAGCTGCAACAACAAACAAGAAGCACGTTAAGTAGGTGTCCTGGCGCCGCCAGGGCTGTGCCCGTTCTTGCCACCGAGCCGGAGTTGCAAGTAAATATCCAAACCGCAGACAATTGTTTCTTTACAGAAAAGATTCATTTTTTGGGGCCGTACTTTAAAGACATCTTTGGCTTCGATCTTTTACCAGTGCAACGAATGAAGCGAACTTACTTGGTAAGGGCTTGACCCTCTTGTAAATGCCAAAGTTAACGAGCCCGTGCCTTTCTAAGTAGCTGTGTATTCTGTGAACCAGCACAGTATCACCTAAAAATGGAAAAATACAATTTCAACTTCTGCACAACAAACTCACTGTGAAAATAGAATTAAAAAAAATATAATTTCTATGTAATAAAATAAAGTTGAATTAAATGTCTCACTGTTATATGGAGCTTCAAGTTGCTGTGCTGTGGCCTCAAATGTTAGCTGGATTTTAGGGTTATCCAGCCAAAGTTGGAGCTGTAAGAAGTTCAGATAGATTAAGATTCTATACTACACTGGTTAAAATAATGCTCCTTAAATCCTTCATTTTTAAAAACAGAGTAATGCGTCTACGCTGGCACTTACTGTACGGTTGCGGATGTAGAGGAAGACCTTCTGGGTCTGCTGGGGACCGCTGATGATGTCGGGGAAGCACGCGGCCTCCTGGGACGTCATACGGTCATGAGGAAGACGGCTCTGGAAAGCAGCCCCTTCCACACCTAAAAGTAAATACACACATCACGATTCTATTAACAGAAGAACAGAAGATTCATGTGCAATAAGCTTTTAAGAAAAAAACTGCAACTTTCAGCAAAAGATCTGGCTGGTTAGAACACATTTTACGTTTGTTTTCTCAACCAAAACATCAGTGTCACTCCGCTGCTTTGATATGATGGATCAAGTTTCCGACTGACCAGACGGCTCCTCTGGTTCACTGTCATTCTCCTCCTCTGGTGGTGGAGGTGGTGGAGGGATGACCTGCTTCCTCTCTTTCTCCGCCTTGGCATTCCTCTCCTCCTCAGAGTAATATTCGTCCTCAGACAGATTAGCCAGGCTTTCGTCCATCTCGCGGTACTCCACCTGCAACGGTTGGCACAATAAAAGCAACATTAAAACCAGCATTGCAGTATATTTGTTGGTGTGCTCCCAGGTAACTTACAGTAGAAGTGCCAAAACCGTTCTGTTGAGAAAGAAACAAATACCAAGAACATCACGCAGCAAAGACCATGAGACATTACCTCTGTAGCTAATTTCCACTGGTTCACATATGCAAGAGAGAACCTGCGACTTCAGACAGAAAGCAATATTGCACCTAAAGCTGTATTGATCCTTGAAAGGAAAACAGATTAACATTAAAATACAGTGACCAGTAAATACTCATATTCAGTCATTTCAGTTTTGGCAGCTTCTTTTCCTCCCTGAGCGAGAGGCTTCACAACCCTTAGATATTTACTTTTGCTCGCTTCCGACGACTCGTTCGGCGAACTTCAGCTGCGTCTTGTTCTGCCGCACCAGGGCCTGCTTGATGGGGCAATGGGGCACCTCCAGGCTCCCCACTTGGGGATGACCTTTCCTTTTTCTTTACGTCCATGGGGCCTGCAGCTGAGGCCGATGGACCAGTCTGTGCATCAGAAACAGGGGCCCGATCGCCTCCCGTTGCTCCTGCGGAAGATGTAGTGGAGGAGGAGGAGCCGGCATCTGACTTCTTAGTAGACAGCATAATGGAGGATGTTGGAGGCCTCTCCTGAACAAAGATGAGACAGGTAATTGAATTAAATCCAGCAAAATGAAACATTCAACAGCCCGAGGGAAATGGTTGAAATTAGACTTTTCAAAATAGCATGATTGATGAAAAAAATATATTTATTATTTATATATATAAATAAGAGAGAAAAGATGACAATTAAGTGTTATGTGTGGGTTGTGTCTGCTGAAAACTTGAAATTCATATAATAAAATACAAATTTGAAAACATTTGCAGCCTTTCCTACATTTTGTCATTTCGAGATACGAAATATGAAAACTGACAAAACGCATGGCGAAAGTCAGATTCCCTCAGTTACTAGTTGTTGCAACACAACACAGAAATATTAGTTTACAAGAGTCAGCTGGTCATTTTTCCCCGCTGGAGGCAGTGAAGGCCCCTGCAACAGAAGGCTACCCACCACCACAGTGCCTGCAGGTCGAAGATGCTTCACCCACAAATGTGTCCCATCTGCATTGGGATTTAAGTAACGTTAGCTAACTGTGCATGGATGGTATGGTTTATGAAATGAGGGCGCCATGGTTACAGTAACCGTGTCTTGTTTTACCCATTTCTCCGTGCACCTGGTAATATCCATTCAAACACTAAGAAACGAAGACAGAACCAGAAATATGGTTACGAACAGGTCCAACTGTACAAAAAAAAACGTTGGCCTTTCACATAACATCCATTGAGATTTTTGTAAAAACATTGTTTGTTTGTTTTTTTCCAGTGACACTGTACAAAAAAAAGTCAATCAAGCTGAAATGTGAGTCACTGAAGCTCACTGGTTACTCGGGATAAATCAGAATATCCACTTGTATATTTCAATCCCGATGTTTACTTAAATTATCCATGAGACAGTACCTTTTGTGCCAAGACCGTGAGTAGTTCACGATTGTCCCCCTGAACAGCTAACGTTCGTAAGTTCCCTGTAAAGCTAGCACCCGAATGCTAGCTACCGCTATCAACGTTAGCTTGCAGTAGCTAACGGCAGCGTTGTTCTGGACAGCTAACGTAACGTTCAAACGGGGCAAATGAATGCGATGTTGTATTACTTTCACGAATGTGCAGCTAAAGATGTAAAGAAAACCAATACCCGATAGCTTCCAGTGGTATTATCTTTCAAACGTAGCGGTACATTACGAGACAATGCTATGCTAGTCAACGCCGCTAACAATGCGACCTGGCTAGCACAAACAGTGGCAAAGCAGCAGGTGCAACCGAGAGAAAAAGAAACCGCCGGGTTCGCTCTCTAATGGATATGAACTGATACGCTGACGAATGTGAGGGACACTCCACTGCATTAGGGATTAGCATTTAAAGCATTAGGTAAATATTAAAAGTATGAAGATTACCTCTCAGTCCCCCTAAAATGTCAACACAAAGACGGCACAGTAGCAGGTCGCCTCTCAATGAACTCTATCGTGATTGGTTGATCAAAAACGTTACCCAACACCACGCAGCGGAAGGATTGGTCGTAGTAACTGTCAATCAAAGTGGTGGGCAGGGATTTAATACTCAAAACCGGTGCAATGGATCTATTTGTTTAGGTACCTCGTGTTATTAACAAAATAGTTGTTTATCGGGAAACCAATAAAAGTGAAAACAAACGGAGTCGATGTTTTCTTCTGTTGATCATCGAGGTTAATCTGACTTGGTCGACTCTGCGTTGCGTCTTCCCACAAAGTGACGTCATTTTAAAAGAAGAACAGGATGGGCAGTTGGACGTGAGACAGGTAAAGGTGAGTGTCTGTCGTGCCTACTGACCGAGGAGGCATACCGACGTTTTGTTGACTCCTTTGTGAGCCGACTGCGCGTAAGTAACTCAAATCCAAAGCTTGAATATATACATATATATTTGGGTGCCTTATTTTAACCATTTCACTTTACCGGTGAGCTGCGAAGTAACACGTCTTTCCGTGTTGCTTCCGGCTAGTTTGGTTTTTTTTTTCGCAGATTGATATTTCCGTGAGTGTATATGTGGTGTGAAACCTTTCACTTGGACTTGGTTCATCTGTGTTTCAAAAAGTAGCATTAAAAGTAACCGCATCTGCTACATTAAGTTGAATTTAAAGTTATTCGCGTCAGAAGGTCAGCACTTAAAATGAGTTATACAGGGCGTTTCATTTCATATATGTGATACGAATATTTTATCACGTTAAGATAAAAAAATGTACTAATTTATAATCACGTACAAATTGGCGAGCCGATAAAACAATCTGTGCAGAAGAACCAACGATGGCGAAACAAGCGCCGGATTTCGCGAACCGGCCCGACAACACAGCCTTCACGCAGCAGAGGCTTCCGGCGTGGCAGCCCATGCTCTCTGCTGGCATTGTCATCCCGGGATTTGTCCTCATCGGCCTGGCATTCATCGGCATTGGCGTCGCCCTCCTAGTCACTTCACAGAGCATTCAGGTGTTCGAGGTATGACTGCAAAAAAAAACAAGAGATGGTTCCACTGGATTGAAATAAACTAATCTTAAATTGAAATATTCTTAAAGACTGTTGTCTCTTTCCTACACAGATGGACTACACTGGGGTTGGAAACAACCACCCGTGCTTCCACTGCTCCGACCCGAAGCCAAAGCCGTGTGTGTGCAAGCTGAACTTCACCATTGACTTTTTCTTAAAGGTTACATTGGAACTTTGCACAAACGTGGTCCCCCACACACGCACAAATGGTAATGAAGTTGAACTTTCATCCTGGTGCTGACCCTTGGCTGCGATGGTTCTCCTCCACAGGGTCCTGTGTTCTTTTATTATGGTCTGTCAAACTACTTCCAGAACTACCGAAAGTACAGTGTGTCCAAAGATGATGATCAGTTGTCTGGAAACCTGAAAAACTTTGAGGTGAGTTAACGAGATGGGATTTTGAAGGGAATAAAAGAGAACAATCTGGTTTCAGCTTGTGAAAAAAAAATTTAGACTTGAAAGACATACTCAGTTTAATACAAATATGCCATGTTTTTTTTTAATGCTGTTCTCTGCATTGCATGAAGAGTCCCAGTGACACCTGTTCACCCTATCAGCGTGACAATAATAAACCAATCGTACCGTGTGGATCAATAGCAAACAGCATGTTCAATGGTAGGTAATGACGTTTTAAATGATTCTGAATGAAGTCTATTTGGGTTGGATATATTAAATCTTGCATTTGTTAAATAGATACCTTTAAGCTGTATCAGAATGTCAACGCGACAATGAAGCCGGTGAACTTCGATGGCAAAGGGATCGCTTGGTGGACCGACTACAACATCAAATACAGAAACCCCGATACCACACCCCTGAGGAACGCATTCAACAGTAGGAACCAACTTTTTTGCAGTAATTTATACTTTGAATTTTATGTTTGATGAATCATGTTGGCTAATTTCAACTCTGGGCCTCCAGATACTGTGAAGCCTATATTTTGGCCCGTACCTGCTTACGAGTTAGACCCCAAGGACCCTGCTAACAACGGCTTCATCAATCAAAACTTCCTGGTGTGGATGAGGACGGCGGCCCTGCCAGATTTCAGGAAGCTCTATGCGCGAATCAATGACCCTCCTTATGCGGAGGGTCTGCCAGCCGGAAGCTACATGCTGGAAATTCAATACAGTATCTTTTTATACACGTTACAGATTGTGGTTGAATTTAAAAGGCTTAAGAAGTACGGGCCGCTATGTTTGCTTAGCGCGAGTCCTCCGTAACTAGCCATTTTTTACCCTGACCTTTTCTTGTCATCAAGCAAATTGTCTCCGTAAAGCTACAACACCATTTAATGGGCAAAAATATTGGCAACTTAAATCCGTCTTGGATGTTTATACATTGTAAGGTTTATGCGGGGCAGAGTGTTCTTCCTCTAGGCCCCAAGGGCTCTGGAGGACCGCGTGTTCCCTATAAATGGAGTCATATGCTCTGATTTAGGGTCTGATCCTGGATATAGCTATCAAACGCTGTCCCAGTGTTTGGTTTACTCATTTCTGGAGATAAAGCTGTGCCCTGATCTAGTGTCTAATACTCCATTTCAGGAGATACTTCTATTATCAGCTGTGCCCCGATGTAAGGTCTAAATATCCGAGTTAAACTCCGTATTTAAGCTAAGCTGAGGATGTTGCGCCCTCACAGCCCCCAAACCAAGGGTCTGAATGCCCGAGTTGAACTCCAGGCTAAAGCTAAGCTGCAGGGGGTGAGCCATTGACTCGGCCGCCTGTTTGTTTTCCGCCATGTTACACCAAAAATGGTATGTAGTACTCAGACTTGTTTAACTGGTTGGGTGTGGTTGTGTTTACCCCGGCAGAGTGAACACAATGACTCAGGTGTTCCTTGAGTTCAGAAAATACAAGTCAAATCTTCCGACAAAAGTAAATTTGCTAGGCAAATTGTCCTTTGGATTTGATTTGAGATATTTACATAAGCTTCAGAGGGACGGCAAATACACTGTTGCTAGTTTGAATCTCATAACTAAAAGTAAATTCTCATTACGTTGATCTATTTTTTTCCCTTTTGTTTCCGCCATGGCTTTCTGTACGCATTGGCAATCTATTAATAGAATATTGAACTTTGGTTCAGTTGTTTTAATCCTTCACAGTGGACCACAGTTTACGGGTTTGTTAAAGTCAAATTATCAATAAGCGGTGAACTGATTGCTTTGAAAGGTCTGCGCCTCAATAAGCCAGTATTACACTGCAGAATTCTTCAGTTTGGCATTATTTTAAAGCTACTCTCAGATGTTAATATGTTGGGTGAGTTAATATACGCCAACACCCTGAAATAAATCCTTTGGACAACAACAACAAAAAATGTAGATGAGTAAATAGTTGGAAACAATCAAAAACGCCAGGCTGTTGAAAAAACTGATCTTTTATGCAGTTATGTATATTCAATGCATTTGTAAACCTGTTAACACAAGATCTTGTTTCCATTTTGGCTGTATATCCTTAACATTTTGACTCTCAGACTATCCTGTTCTGGCCTTTGGCGGGACGAAGAAAGTGGTGTTCAGCAACGTATCCTGGATGGGTGGCAAGAATGACTTCTTGGGCATTGCATACCTTGTGATTGGTACACTGTGCGTCTTGATGTCCATAGTCATGCTCATTGTCTATGCTAAATTCAAGTTTCCTGAGGAAGACTAAGTTGTGGACTTTTCAACCCTAATTTACACAACATTCTTAACCCCCCCCCCCTTTGTTTGCACAATGGCAAATTGAGAGAACGGTATGGTGTTCAATCAAAGCGACCTGCTTATGAGCTCATGCTATTTTGCACATTAAGATGCTCCGAAGCAGAAGCCTGGTGTAATTTTGTGAGACAAGGTTTGACTCTAGAGTTTCCCCATGTCTGCAAAAGAACATTAAGAAATGAGGCTCTCCTGATAAACCTGGCAAGTTAGCATAAGAAAACAGCTGTTAGAAGCCACTCTAAATGTGTGCTCTTTACCATCAAAATGAGCTGCCTCCTCACATTAGGTCAATAAGGTTAAAGCCATAGACTCCTTGATAAGCCCCCTAATACTGGACAATGCATGTATAGTTGATTGTACGTAATCTGTAGTTGATTGGCGAAGAAATTATTCAGTCAGATGTGTAAATTCTAACAGGCTGTGCAAGCTACTTTTTTTACTTGTGTTTTCAAAAGTTTTACTTCATGTGGATTTATTTAATAAAAGAACCTCAACTATTCCTGTGTTATGACATCTAGGTTCTACGGGCAGCTGTGCTATGTTCTTTTTAACCACCAATGCTAGATTCCATGATAATGTCGGTGTTCCATCATCAGGGAACTTTTTATCCCCCCTTCTACTTCTTTATTGTGACTTATGAGGTCTCTAGTTTCTGCTTTAAGCCCTTGGACGATCTTCTGCAAGCTTTTTGGCCCAGGTGTCTTTTCTGGACTAAAGTCCAAGCTACAGATGTGTTGGATGTTTAGGTTTATTACATTTGTAAAATAAACAAATATTTTACATATTGTTTATTTTAATGTACCAGTAGCAGGGGTCCAAAAAACGTTAATTCATATTTTAAGGATTTTTTCCGACCAAAGCAGCATGCTTATCATAAAATCATTTGCTATGGTTTATTTTGCAGCTAAATCATTTAGAGCAAATATTTTCCATCAATTTAGACAGTGCAGTATTCTGACCATTCTGTACTCCCCACTGACAACAATAAAATGTGTATTAACTTTTTTTGCTCTGGTGTGACCATTTCAGTCTCCATGGTGACAATTCCTACGCAGATTCAGCTGCTCATTTCAAGAACGCACACGTACGTTACCATTCACTTCTAAAACAGTTGAGTATTGTACAAGCATACCACAAATTCAGACACACCCTCTCAGGACTCTTCCATGTCAGAATACACAGTGATGTTGTGCATAGTTTCGTTACAGCATTCCTGTCCTGTCCTGACAAACATTCATGTGCTCCAGGTAGAAATTGGGGTGTGGACATGTCATGTCCCTATAAACAATGCAAGTAGCCAACAGAATTGCAAAATAAAAGCTTCTGATTTCTGACTGACAATAGAAAAGTGCTGCGGCCTGGATGTGGATCTGCCCTTCAGTTATCTGACTTTGTAAACCTGTCTTTAATCGGGCTGTATGGCACAGTCCCGGTCCACTCCCCTGCAGGAGCAACGTCGGATCCCTTGATTCATTAGCATCTGAAACCAGAAAGCTCCTTTCTTTGTATGCGCCTGAGAGACCCTGCAGCGTTCTTGTAAACCCAGTCCTGGCAGTAGGTCGCCACCTCCTGTGGTCTACAGTGGTTGGTGTAGGGGTTCTATCCAGTAAACACAGAAAAAAAGTCAATTTCGTGGTAAGCCTTCAAGGCATAATTGTTCCGCAGAATGCAATACATGAAATAATCACTTAAATAATGCAAATATTACAACATTACAGCTACAGCACTGCATGACAACAGTGCGTCATCATGCGTTTTTGACCTTTCAGTAACGGGACACAGGGCTGCTCTGTCAACATACCATAACCGTCTTCTTGCTCTTTCTGGTTTCTGTTGGCGTCCACAATCCGGGGCGACTGTGGGGGAGTGGAGAGCACGGTTGTCCTCCATCCGAGGGTTGGCGGTGCGATCCCAGGCCTCGCTAACCCGTGTGTCTCCTGTGTCCATGGCCAAGACACTTAACCCCAATATTACTCTATTGTTAGCTGTGTGAATGCTACTTCCTGATGGGCAGGTGGCACTGTGTATGGGAGCCCCTGTCATCAGTCTATGAATGACATGATGACATGATGAGCATTAAAGCGCTTTGGTCGGAAAAGCGTGATTATTAACATTTAATAAATGCTGTTAAAATACTCTTAGGGATTTAAGCCAGAAGTGCACCCCTAGTCAGGAAATTATAGTACGTGTAATAATGTTTAGTGTTAGAATTATAGTTTGTGTGATGTTAGATATTAGTTATTACATTAACATGTTAGAGGAAGTGAATGCAATTTCAATCAAACACAATTCATAGTCATTTAAATCATATAAACACTGTACACATTAACATTCTGTCACAATGTGATGTTAAAACCTGGGGACGGATGCCAATTGCCGTTCTTTATGGATTTCTTCCAATGTTATCCCCAAAGAGGGTTTTTTGGGAGTTTTTTCTCCTGTCAGGTAATAAATGAACAACTTAAAGCGAGGCAGCCGACTGAGGCAAATGTCTTGAGAATTGAACCACAAGAACTGTCTTAGATCTATGATGAAGTGTGATGAACGGTGATCATTAATGATGGGTTGTTGTAATGAAAGTGTACTAGTTATAAGATGAAGACTTAGACAATGTACGCTTTGTTAAATTCACGTCTTATCAGTGGACTTGCCTTCATGCAGGTTGGGAGAATTGTTTGCAGTTTTTATGCACTTTTGACATTTTTACTATTTAGAGTATATGGCTTGCTTGTATATGCTGTTAGAGTTGAAGGTATGTGAAAATATCTGGACAAAAATCATTCCTGTCTGGAACATAATTTCCATTCAAATGCCTCCGGCAGCCACAAAGCTACAGCGCATTAGAAAACATACCTAACCTGTTCTCGGTGGACACAGAGCTTTCCTCGTGAGAAAGGCGTAGCAGCAGCAGCGCAGTAGGTTCTCTAATCCCTCAGTGCGCCTGTGCAGTCTCCCTTTGTCTTTGTCCCTTTGTGGACTGGTGAGTTGTTTGTTTGGTTACACTCTCACACTAAATTTGCTTTGTCATTCTGATTTCTTAATCTACGCGACATCTCAGTGCATAAAATGTGTGCGTGTGCACAGGCAGGGATATTAAAAGTGCATTACACACAATGATGTCCAAAGGAAAATTTATTGATAAACGTAAACGTGAGTACATTGAGCTGTGCAAAAGCAGTAAAGAAACATGAGCACCTTGTCCTTTGTATAATTGGACAAGTTTATTAAATTGTGACAGACTCAGGGAAACTATTGGAAAATCACCATAGTTTCATGTCAGTTACAGTTCAAGTAAAACATTTGTGTAGACAAAGACCTTTATCCATTTGTTTTCATTTTGTGATTTTTTTTTTTTAAATCAAAGATAACTGCTATGCTTTTGTGACAAAGTGGACAGGGAACAGGCAAAAAATCCGTAAACATTTAAACTAAACTTGATATAACTGCAAACTAATCCAAACCACAGCAGAAAGTATGAACATATTCAGTGGTCTTGACTTGTTGTTATACTACGCATGTCAAGGGATAGACGTTTAACAAACCACACATATCTTTTAATGTTAGGTATTTGAACTACCAACTCATTATGGTGAAATCGTGATTCTATCTTTCAGATGTGAAGTTTGGTTTGTTCTGACAGATCTGGACGGAATCAATCCGTGAATCTGTAGAGCTCCGGCTGATCTGTCTTTGCGTGGTCAACAACTTGGTTCTCGAAGAAGCTGTCTGAGTAGTTGAGCATCTGCTCCACCGCCGTCAACAGCAGTATGTTAACATCCTCGTCCAGCTCCAGCTCCTCGCTGTAGCTCTTTACCAGCAGCACACAGGACAAGGGGATGCCAAAAGACTCGCTCATCTCCCGGGCCTGAAAGACGGGAAACAGACATGAGTTAAATTGTAAATTTTGCCGCAAAAACAAGACACTGACTTCCTGAGCATCTTAACGGGATGACCGTTACCTTCCTCTGGAGGTAAACACTGCGATAAACATTCTTCAAGTCTCCTGCCACCAGCGGACAGGCCTCGTCTACTTTAGTCATCAGCAGAATCTGAGGAATTCCTATAAGAGAGCAGAAGAAACGGTAGTAGAAAGTACCAAAAGATATTCATTTTTTATTTTGTGCTGTATGGTGTTAGTTGGTGTCACAAATGAGACTTTCCTATAATAACCTTTCCAACATTTGTAAATAAATGGTGGCACCATAATAAGAATATTAATACTGTACTGCTAACCCATGGCGTTTGCCTTTTTCCGGATGGTAGCAAATTTGTCCAGCATTTTTTGGGAGAGGAGGGAGATCTTGCAGGTGTCAACCACATAGACCAAACAGTGAATAACATCATTCAGTGTCACTTGCTGCTTGAAGCCACGAGAGTCCACCTGGAGCGGAGTTAAGGGATTCAGCTGTGGAGTAAATAAAGCAGAAGCATGATCCTTTGTTATTAATCGACCAGCAAAGCCCTCTACATTTCTACCAGTAGATCAGATCAGAGGAGGGTATTTAGGTGGATAGTTGAGACCTGGTAGCGATCCTTTATGTGACCTCTGAGGATGTTGAGCAAGTCCTCAATGTTCACACCAGTGTCAGCATTTTCCTCCAGTCCCATTGTGTCACACAGGATCAGAGGAACAGCTTCACCACGTTTCCCTGCCTTGATGGTGTAGGTGCGAAACTGCAGGAGCGACATTATTGTAATTTAATTTGTGATCAGGCTGAAGCAAAAACAATGGACACAGTTCCCCCTCCGCATATCTGCACCATATCACAAAGAATAGAAGTTGTGCCGGCACCTGAGTGGTCACACTCCTCCCCGCTGTACCAGCGATGGCCTGGCACGTCATGTTGCCTCGAAAAACTGAGTTGATTGAGTTGAAGAAGGTCGACTTGCCGGCGCCGATGGGCCCCACCAACAACACTCGGGCCTGTTGGACGGTTTTAATGTCAGGCTCGTAGCTCAGAATGGCCTTCATCAACTGCTCCTTTCTCCTGGAGGGAATACAAACGAAAACATGTCAGCCTCCATACATGTTAGCTGGTGATGTCCCTGTACTTACACACCTTGGAGTACAGTTCTACATCAATGCAGCAAAGTGAAGAGTTAACCCGCTTTGAAAACAAGTTTTTAATTCATTTTGCCGAAGGTTGCCAAAGGTTTCTACATACTCCGCAGTCCATCGAATGTTCCTCCAGGGTTTGGCCAGGAGATCTCCCAAGCCTGCATGGAAGTACACATTAGTTCATTGTAAAATGGCAGAATTGTTTGATACAGTTCACTTTGATAAAAGGACGCCCATCTTGGTGAATGTATTGTATGTATTACATTAATCAACATGCATTAAAAAGTCATTTAGTCAAATTTCCTTTTAAAGAATGTATGGATTAAAACCCATCCTTATCCCCACACACCTTCAACTCGATACACTTCAAACTCATTCAGGGCCAGGTCCTCTCCATGCATCTCTGCAGCCTTAAAGGTGAAGCTTTTCCCCGGGTTGGACTGGATCTTAGCACCGTCAGCATCCAGGAACACCAAGGCATCATAATTTGGACCAGCGGCGCCGTCTGTGAAAGCGCACTGCCCGGTGATACCCGCCACCTTCAGCGGTTTGTTTCCTCCTGAGCTGATGCTGTAGAGGAAGGCCCCTCCATCGTGGACTTCCTGTCCACTCTGGCTGTAGTCCTGAGAGGTGTAGGCTCCAAAGACAAACCCGGCGTCATTGTAGGCAACGATGACAGTGGGCCCCTGCCTGTCACAGCGGTTGTGAAAAGCCAAAGCAGCGAACCCGTGGACACTGGCTTTGTAGAGCAGGTGTAGTCGGACATGACCCAGGAGAGAGAGCAGCTTCTTCTGCTGATCTTCAGACAGGCTCGAGGTAACGGCAGTCATGACAGCGGGTAGACTGTCAAAACACACCAGGTGCAATATTTAGATATGAGGGTGGAGTTTTCTAATAAACCATCCATCCATCCATCCATCGTCAAACCGCTTATCCTGCACACAGGGTTGCGGGGGGGGCTGGAGTCCATCCCAGCCAACTTCGGGCGATAGACAGGGTCTATCTGTCTATCGATTCATTGCAGGGCTACACAGAGACACACAACCATTCACATATCTACACATCTACGGGCAATTTAAAGTCCCCAATTAACCTGATCCCCAGAGCATGTCTTTGGACTGTGGGAAGATGCAGACTCCACACAGAAAGGCCACTGGGCGGAATCGAACCCAGGACCTTCTTGCTGTGAGGCAACAGTGCTAACCACCACGCCACCGTGCCACCCCTAATAAACCATACTATTCCTAAAAAAAGCCAAAAGGAAATATGTCCAAAATCACATGAAATCACATAGAAAATGGTTTTCAACAAAAGAAATGGGTTTCAAGTGTGATGTCTTACTATCAGTGATCAAAATACCAGTACAACAATGTGAAAATATCCCATTTTAAGTAAAGAATTTAACATTAAAAATGACTTGAATGCAGAGGTATTATCAGCTGAATGTATCGGTGTGCATTTAACAAACTTAATGAATATAAACATAGTATACCACAATGTGTCTACATATTTATTAGGTCCTAGTATATAGACTTTATACTCCTTTTATTTTTATTTTTGTTTATCACTATTATAAATGTATTTATTACTGTACTTATTACTGCTCTTGTTGTTTTTATGTATCTTGTGTGCACGGGTCACTTTGCTATCTTATCTTAACGCTTGACTGTGACATTTAAGGTGGCGATCCGCGTGTGATATAATAACATGAGCTTTACTTGTGTTTCCTACCGGTTGTCTAAATAAAACCAAACCAATGATAACAGTCGATGCCTCAAACTCACCTGCAGTAAATATCCCAAAGGTATTTTGATTAAATGCAGCAAGTCGCTTCAGTTCAGTTTATTTTCTCCGTCGAGCGTAAAATAAAAGTGAAAGTGCAAAACGGTTATTAAAAAAAGGAAAAGATCCCTATGACTGTAGTCTGCAGTACACCAAGCAGACACTGGAATTTTGGTGCAAGTATATGCTGACATTTATGGTATTAAACATGTAACCGGAACATGAGCTTTACTTTGTGTTTCCTACCGGTTGTCTACTTCAGAGATGCTTTATTAGCATCTAAAATTATTTAGATTGCGCTTAAAATAATCGAATGGTTAGTTGCATTTTGACCGCGAAGACTTTGAGGAAACTAAAAAAAGAAAACAGGTTATTTGTCCTGGTTAAAACGATTATTACAAAATGGAAAATGCATCAAAGAAAACGCCAAACGGATGAAATGAAACCAAACCAATGATAACAGTCGATGCCTCAAACTCACCTGCAGTAAATATCCCAAAGGTATTTAATTAAATGCAGCAAGTCGCTTAAGTGCAGTTTATTTTCTGCGTCGAGAGTAAAATAAAAGTGAAAGTGCAATACGGTTATTAAAAAAAGGAAAAGGTCCCTATGACTGTAGACTGCAGTACACCAAACTGGAATTTTGGTGCACGAATATGCTGATTATGGCAATAATAGGACTTTTACTTGTAAATTTGTTTAGTAAAAGGTTTCATATTCAGTATTATAGAAGTTGGAGAGGTCTTTGGTCTTTGCCTGGACGTATTGAGAAAAGTATTTTTATTGCAGTTCAAACGTTGATAAATTATCTTTTTGAACTTGTAAAAATAGGACTTTTACTTTGGAGAAATCTCCATTTGTACAGTAAAAGTATTCTTTTTTTTTTACAAGAGTAGTCACAATGTTCCTGATGACACATACTTCAGTCATTGTCCATAATCTTTGATTAAATTGCTTTTATTCCGGTTACTTGTTTAATACCGTAAAGATCAGCATACACGTGCACTAGAATTCAAGTATCTGCTGAGTTGACCGCAGTGATTGTAAAGCCCTTTGCGGGTTTCCGTTCCTGTTGAGCATAAAAAAGGAAACTGGTAAAATAAGAGTGAAAGATGGAAAGAGTAAGTCTCCCTCAAGGATAATTCTATATTCTAAATTTCATCATGACTAAATATTTTGATTAATGTGGCTCCTCCACAATAATAATAATTAATAATACTGAGTTATGGGAATAATAATAATGGGGGAGATTGAATTTGATGGTCGCCCGTATATATCAGAACTAGAATATTCTAAAAGGATGACGTATTGTATGTGAGGGAATGGGATGATTGGTTAGTAGGATAAGTAGTATAACTTCAACAACTCAACAGACACCTTTTAATGGTTATGCACATTCTTTATTCATACATTGGTGCCGGCCCCACCACACACATATTTTGACATTGATACGGTGTTTATTACTTAGACAATTGCAAAGTAAAAGGTTTTAAATGTCCATCCCATCGCCTCGCTCTCCCACAGTGCTTTGCTCTATGTCTTCATGAATATCATGAATGAAACCACATAAGTACATAAAGTATTTTATACATGCGGGACACATACACATTTTCCCATTGCTACCTTGGGGATCAAGTAATTGTCATGATTACAGTTCTACTTCATTTCCCATTGCTAAAAATCATTTAATCTGACAACCTTTTGCTGAAGGGTATAATAAAAAGAAAATAAATATGGATTTACAAAATAAAACAAATACCAAGTATTGTACAAGCTAAGATAACAATTCAATTTCAATCTATATAATTCTAAAATGTATTTTAGATAATTTAGAGGTTCAGAAACAATACTGCATTTTTTTAAGTATATGGGATTGATTCATATTGTAGAAACTCTGTATGCTACATTTGCATGAACAATTTACATTTACCGGAATATGAAACCATCCAGATTAGGACAAAAATTAATTTGTAATAATCTAGTACTAATTTCAGGGAAAAGCAGTTATATAGTTCCAGAATAATTCCCTTTTATATGTGTTAAACTCTATGCTGGAATAATAAACAACTATTGACAAATTAAGTAATTTCAGTTTCTCAATAAGGATCACTTAGTTCAACATATGAATTCCCTCTAATTTATTCAGAGCACAGCATGGAAAGCTGCTATTTAACTCACATAAAATGTTATGGCGCGAAAATATTGCTCCAACAATCGTCATCATAACAACAATCTGTACATGTGATCACTTTTATTTTCTACCTTTTGTTTCACAAAAGCATTTGCTGTCAGATTCCTAATTAACATGATTTTGAGCTCCTGTAATGGATTGCAATTACAGTGACATTCTAAAGAGGTGGTTGCTGTAATGCTATTAAACTAATTCCCTTACTCTGATCCCTTTCGACAGATTTGTTTTTGATCACCCCCATTCAATATCCTTAGATTATCACTCAACATCCGATACGTTGCATTTCTTCAGTTTGCTCTGCTGAGATTACGAGGTCAACAGTGAAGCCACTGAGGCACAATAAATTTTGAATGAGCACAGCTCATCTCGTGTCTGCTTACAGTGCTCACAACAAACACCTGACGACACAATGTGAGATCTTCAGGTACAACATAAAACTCTATTTTTACGATACATACATCGTCTGTGCAAATGTATGTGCAAATGCGGACAATGTTTTCCTAAATAAAAGTGTGCACACTGTCATTTGTAAGTATCGGGATAAGTGAGGTCAACGGGTAAATGTGACATTAAAAGCAGCAAAATGGGCATTGGAACGCAGCAAACTACTAAAACCTTTCAGTCCTGAATGCATTAATAAGACAAGCTTACACAAAGTGATTTTAACCCCATGTTTGCTATCTGTATTGATTCATCTTTAAATTACAGCTGTCATCTGGATCCACATGTTTGCAAGCCGACATGCTTTAAAAAAATCATGCAATAATCCCCCATGAAGGGCCTTTTGGTGCAAGAGAGCCCACAAATACGTTATTTACCAGGAAGGGAATCGGTGAGAATCCCATGTTAGTTTTGTTTGTGCAGAAAGTGGCCAAATATTCTCTGTAGTTCCCCATGACATCTACTTCTTTCTCTCTTTTGCTCTCTATGCAGTCGTCTATCCTTCAGATCACCTTCACGGTCCTCCGCTGCATCCTTAGGTCTTCAAAACTCTATCTTGCATGCTGGGAAGGTCTCGTCTTGCATCGCAACAGTGCTGTTGGATCCGAGCACGGTGATGCCCAGCTCCTTTTGTCTGTCCAGGGTCTGTTGGTACCACTCCTGCATTGGTACCGATTCAAAGGTAGGAATCAATGTCACCTGGGAATAGATGAACAAAATTTAGTATATTTATCTGCAGTGTTGCTTACATTTGACTCCCATCACTTTACGTTTGTCAGTAGCCGTGCTACAGTCTGCAAGTAATTCACTTGCACACATTAAAAGAAAGGTTCACCATCTGCAGGGAATCATAAATTGGGTCCGGTTTACAGGCTCCAGTTTCCAACAAATATTCTGATGAAATAATTCACTGCATCAATAGAGTGCTCCGGGTCCTAAAAGAGGAATTTATAGTTTTGCATGTGTCAAATAATTACTGCATTCACAACATTCACAATTTAAAGATATCTCAGCAATCTCATGCTTCTACTGCCCAAAGCTCATAACCATAGTTAATGGTTAGACAGTAGCCGGATAAAATATATCAGTCAATGGCTTCAGTTAAATTATAAGCATTGCTACACTGTCAGAGGGGGATCTAACGGTCTCGTTCTGTCCATCCCAACTACTTCCTGAAACCGTTGCCATTCTCCTTCCATCCACCAGATGTCCCCAGACTTTTTCTTCCATCCCAGTCATCTTACTCGCCCACATCTACCCCCCCCCCCCCCAATGTATTTTGAATTTTAATATTACATTCTCAACACAAATGCTGTATGCTCCTTGCTTACCTCTTTGCTATATCTCCATGCTTTCACTGGTTATCCCGTTTTTAACGTCACATTGCAATGACTTGTGGGTAATTCCCTTGGACAAAGGGCTCAAAATGTCTGCTAGAGAGCCCTCAAACACTCGACGGTGTGACAGTGAGACAGCCCTAAAGTTATTAGCCCGATCACGCCTCAGAATCCGTGAGTCCGTGAGTCCGTAAGGGCGAGACGGGATGAGGCCAAAGTCCTCTCACAGTCACCTGAGCTTCCCCGACCTTCTGTCTCTCTCTCATTACCTCTACAGATATTTAACCGGCCGTTGTTCAATCCCTGCCAGTTAGTCAAAATTGCCATGTTGCATTTTAGTATTTGGAACTAGACACTGGAACATTGCTTTGTTGTTTTATCTTTATCTTATCATTTTGATTAGAAATTCTTTTGTTGGCTGTCAAAGGATCATGGGAGCTGTAGTCAACAAGCAGAGCTTAAGTTTGCTTTGGAAGGGTATTATGCCATATGAGTAAACCACAACATCAAGTAATACATGTGTCAATGTACAAGAATCTAGTTGTGTGCATGTTTCTACCTGCATAGTGTCAGGCCACGACATCTTAGCATCCAGTAGTGCGTCCAGTGTATTCCTCATTAGCTCCTCCTTCTCTTGACTGTCGCCACTGATGATGTAACAGGAGGAACGAACGCATCTGAAGAAGTCCACACTGACTGTTGGAGAAGAGGCTCCAAAGGGAATATAGGCCAGGTCCACGTACACACTGACCTCACCATCGCATGTAGACTTGGCGTCTGTGACAGGGGAGTGAGGAGAAACTGCTGATTGGCTGCACCAATGCAAACTATTGGACATGTGTAGGTCTGCAAAGTACGAGGGGGAAAGGAAAATGTATTGAAGAAATTCAATAGTATTTAATAGGATTTATGTTTTAAACCTCATTTTACCTTATTTTATTACTTACAAGTGCTGTCTTGTTGTCTATTGTTACACTGTCTACTGTCACGCACCAAACGCCAAGACAAATTCCTTGTATGTTTGACATATTTTGGCAATAAATGTTTCCTGATTCCTGATACCTGTATTGGGAGAGGATTTTGCTGGTGCTGAGCGGATGCTGGAAGAAGGCGTAAAGGTTGAAAACACATTCCCCTTTTGGACTCCACTTGTCCTGATTTTCCCTGAGCCAGATCTTTGGGAAGGCTCGACAACCTGGCAACAGAAAATCAAAATGTTTTTGTTGGTTTCACTTCAGCCATGATAATGAAAAAGAGCAGAGTTTATAATCATAATAGCATTAAAATGTAACTAAATACAAATGTGATTCCTTATGGCAGGAAGACACAAAGGTTGATTAAAGCTACAATAATAAACATTAATATTAATCTATATGCTAGAGTTGTTGCAATATTGCTCCCAGTTTTGTTAATGATACAATCCCAAAAGATGAGTTGGGTATTGGTTAGTACAATAGTCTTTGCACTGACATACCAAATATCAACTTATTTACTTTATCGAGAAGCAGGAACAGAAATTTGGACATATTTTACACTGGAAAAAAGAGACTTTCAACAGTATTCAACAGACCTGTATTAGACCGATACTGGCTGTTTATTGAAGGTTCTGGTGTCTTAATGTGTTAAAAATCCCCTAAATACACACATGAACTCATGCACCTTATTACATAGACGTTTCTTCTATATAACAGAGACAAACTCACAGCTGGAGCTTTTCCCCGCATTCCAGTGGCTTTTGCTTTCTTCCTGTGGGCGTCGGATTCAGACTGAGGAACGGGCATGGATGTGCCCGGATGTGGGGGCAGGGGCGGGCTGTCCCTCAGAGGGGCTGGAAGAGGGTCCGGGGGCAGACCCTGACTGGAGCGGAGATTATGCGGAGAATTAGATGGCTCGCTGCTGGAATCATTGTCATCTGAGTCCAGGCATCCATCTGCTGTGGTGGACGGGCAGTCCTCCGTGCACACGGGGGCACAGGACTCACTAGGAGATGAATCCTTGGGGTTGTTGTTGCCGTGATGATGCGGAGCGAAGGCTCCTCTGGGGGGCTCGCTAGCGCCAAGGCTGGAGTCAGGCTGTTTGAGATGCTTGAACTCGCAGGGGGAAACCAAACACAGATCCACTTCGTGAGTTGACGCATCAAAATGAAGTGAGTTTGGAGCCGGAGGCCGTCCCATCTCTGAACCTGGTGCTAAAGGTCGGGGAGGCTTCTTTGTCGGTAATGACATGCCAGCAAAATGGCCCCCATTGGAATGGGAGTTATGAACACTGTCGTCCCCATCCTTCTGACTCAAAGTGGTTGGTCCATGCTCCAAGGACATGGATAGTGACTCGTCTACTTCTGTGGACTGAGGTGAGCTCACCTCCGCCGGCATGGAGTGTGTAGTGGTGGTGGTGTTAGTGAAGGAGGGAGAGGGGTCAGAAGGTCCTTCTTTAAATGAACCCAAAGAAAGGAAGCTTAGTTGCCTCTCTTTTGGGAGTGTTTGACTTTCTGGATTGCTTTTGGGCTGCCCCTCATTTTGCTTGGATGCTCCGTCTGGCTGGTTGATATCAAATGACTCCAAGTTACTCATCTGAGCCTGTAACTTGCTGAGAGTGGCCCTATTGCACCACACATCATCTGGGGAAAGACAGTAAGGAGTGTGGCCCGCACTGTTGGGCCGTGAATCAGGGGAGGCGGGCTCTACGGTCTGCTCGTCAGGGCTGACAGGACCCTGGTTCTCTGGAGAGGAGCGGGAGGGAGGGCTGTTTCTCAAAGCCCCGTCCAAGAGAGTGTATTCGGTGGGGGTTAAGTCAAGCGGGACTGTGCACTCGCTCTTTGGTGCCTTGTTCAGGGGAGCGGGGAATCCCACAACCTTTTCTGGTTTGGCAGCACTCGCACTATGCACTTTCTGCAGGTCTACATCAGCTTTCTCTCCTGACCAAGTCTTGCCTTGCGACCCATTATCACCACTCCTTCCTCCCATTATCTCTGCAGCCTCTTCAGCTGCGATACTCTTCTCTTTGCTCACACCTCCAAAGCTCTTTTCATTTCCTGACTCGCAGCTTTTTTTCTTTGTCTTATCTGCTGTTTCCACCTGTGCCTCACCTATTTCCGTTTCCTCCCGGAGCCTGAGAAAATCCTTTGTCATATCCTCAGGGGTAGACAGCTTGGAGCCACAGGGGTTCTCTTCAGACTCGTTCTCTGGTTTGTGGTTATGCTCCTCTGTATCAAGCCCCCCGGGATCTGGGATTTCCAAACGACTCCCAGTGTCAGGTTTTGCCGCAGTGTTTCCATTTACTTTTTTGCCGTTATTTACATCCTTTCCCGATAGTTTTCCTGGCTTCTTCACACCTGTTTTGGAGTCATTTTTTGCTTCCTTTTTGAGCTTAGTTTTATTCTCATTCTTTGGTTTGAAAGGGAGAACATCCTTTTCACCCTGATGGTTTCTCTTAGCACCATTCTCCTGTTTAATCCCGGGCTTCTCTTCCTTTTTCCCATCCTTCCTTCCTCCTTTCTTTGAGGTATTGTTCTCTGACAATGCTCCTTTTGGCTTTCCGCCTTTGTTTTTGATTCTGGTTTTATCAGCATCTCTTGAAGTGACTCCATTTAATACTTTTCCTTTTTCCCTAACCGGTACCTCCTTTCCCTCTTCTTTAACTCCTGACTCTTTCCCATGTTTGTTTGTTTTCTCCTTCCCCTGTGATTTGCCAGCCCCCTGGTTCTCTGTCCTCTTGGTCTTTCCGTCCTCGCCCAGTCTCTCCATGTCCCCGGTGGTCACTGAGGGTTTCTGGAGGAAAGCCAGCCCCTTAAGCTTCTCGAGCCCCAGCAACAGCTTTTCCTGTGGGGTAACGCCCGGAAACAGCACCCTGACCACCTTCTCCTGGGGACATGCTGGGTGCCACACCAGCAGCGCAGAAACTGAAGCCAGGGTGGTGAGAGGGAGGGTTTGGGATTTTGTTGCTGAGGATACTGCGTCAGGCCAGTTATGCATGAGTGTCTGGTACTCCTGGCTGTTTATTCCAGGGCTGAGGATGTATAAATCCAGCTGTCCCACTCCCATCTTCTGGAACAGGGTTAGCGGTTCAATGGGAACCCCTTGCGGGCGAAACAATGGCTGTGGTCTGATGTCTAATTTCTTCAACAACTGCAAGGTTAGGGCTGCCTGGTGTGTGCTCTTCTGTACGTTGTCCACACCTGACATGGGAAGAATACAGCTTAACATGATAACAATTGCTGAGATTTACAATAACTTCAGTAGGTTTTAATGCATTACTCACAAGGCTGTAGATCCACCTGTAGCCCACTGGGGGCATTAAAGAAGACTACTCCCAGCTCTGGGGAGATAAGCCTCTTAGATGTGTCATCTGTTCAGATAGAAGAGTATTAGGACAAAGAGATTGAAGGCGAATTGGAACGGGAAATGAGTGAAGGACATTTAGAAAATTGAGAGGATAATGGCATCTCTCAACTACAATTCAAAAAGAAAATTGCCAAAATGATTCTCATGTAACACCCCATGAATCAGATTTCTTCAGACTTCTTCACAAATCGAATTTATAAAAGAGATACTTCCATTGAGCTTTTCTCATATGCGTATACCCAAAATGGGCATCATCTTTACATAGACTGTACATTTTCTGAAAGACATGTAAATGTCTGATTCAATAAAAAAGAAAAAGAAACAGCTATAGATGACTACACAGAAACCCCATCGCAAAACCTCTCTTTAGAGAGGTATTCCTCTGTTTTCTATTTTTCCCCTTTTTAAAGTGTTTAACAAGGGTCTAAAATACGGGTTAATATGTTCCCAAAAGACAAGGCGAATTTGTGTTTTTTGGATTCACGATAGAATGGACTTGACTTCTTACCTTTGATATCAGAGCTGAGCTCCAACTCGGCCACCTTCCTCTCCAGGAAGACGTTGACCCCAGGGAGGTTTTCTGTCCCAATGTGCGTCATCAAAACTGCATCAACTCGGTCGAGGTGTCGGACCAGCTTCCAAAAACAGGCCTGAGAGTCCGAGCCGCCATCCACCAGCAACGTGAACCCGTTGACGGCAAAAAAGGCACAGTCGCCGCGGCCAGCAGGGAACACGTAGCAGCAGGGGCGGGACAGCTTCAGAAAGCCCACGGTGATGGGCGGAGGCAAGAGGTCAAAGGGAGATGGAGGGGAAAGAGTACCAGAGATGAGGGAGGTGAATTCCCCCAGAGCCTCCATGGCAGGCAGCACCTCTGGGGGATTGATGTGCAGCTCGAAAGAAGCCTGCAGAGCCTGGTTCCCAAGGAGAGTCTTCCTCCACTGGCTGGTGCTGGGACAGCTGAGGGTCAAACTGAGTTTGGAGGAGGAGGGAGAGCTCTCTCGATCTACAAACTAAGATCAGAGCATTTTCTTTAGATACCAGCCGGGCAAATGTTAATTAACGTCAAATTAAAATTGAATTCATTCATTAAAATTAATAAATACGATATCAGTTGATACTTAGATACTGAGATTTGTCAACGCAAATTAACAAAACATATTGTTTGTGACACTTTTTCTCTCTTTTACTCATATTTTTTTTTGCAATGATAAAAACAATACTTGCATCTTTAATATCTGTATTTGTAGCTGTATGTTGAAGATTATATTATGCACCTGAAAAGCAGCAGAAGTGAGTCAGATGCTCGTACCTGCTGTGCCAGTATTTGGTTCAGTTTCTGGGGTGAGAAAAGTCCTCTGTGAAACAGCAGGTCTCCACTTTCCTCTGAACTCTGGCCAGCCAAGATTAACAGCTTATGGGCCGATTCCCTGGACAGCAGAGTGAATACCTGGCCAGGCCAAACAGATGTTAAGATTTAAAAATAAAAACGTACAGTGTCCCTTCATTCCGCATAATCAAATGAAAAAGAGAGGCTTCAGAAAGATACAAGGAAAGCGAAAACAGTTTAATGAGCATAAAACGTGTAACTGTTTAAATCCGGTATTTATCCCATTTGAGTCATCCAGGACATGCCCCTCACCTCTGAATGAACCTGTTCCTGGGATGGACTGATCAGGACCTGGGTGTCCAACACTCTGTTACTGTGGCGCAGACACTTCTGCCCTGAAGGAGATGACAACAGATAAAGTCAGATCTGTGCAGGGGGGCAAATAAGAGGGGGACCTCGAAGTCAATTATAAAAGTGCACTGGGATAACCGGGAGGGTGATTGACTCCTTCAACAGAAAAAGTGGAGAGACGAAGACTGGAAAAGCTGAGTCAGAGGGACTGTACGAAGATGAGACGGCAATTTAGGTCAATCTGCGGTGAATATCCAGTCTGAGGAAAACTGGATCAACCTTTGAGGACACAGAGGCTGACACAGCCAACTGGAAATGAGTACCAAATTTATGGTAAATCATAATAATAAAGGGCTGTCCTTCCTTACTGGCTCACCAGTTTGTGATGCAGTGGCATATATGCAATGTCAAACCTCTTTTTGTTCCAAGACAATGTGGAAAAATAAAAGAATTGTTTTTTCTTGATGAGACTTCATTGTCTGACTTACAACTGCGTTATAGTTGTTACAGCCATTAACCGGTTAGCTTAGCACAAAGACAGGAAATATTGGGAAATAGTCCGGTTTTTGTGCAAACATAACTAAATCTGCCCAGCAGTCTTTTAAATATCATTAGTTAACAAGGTGGTTATATGTAATTTAATATGTCGTAGAGTTGTTATGCTATCCGCTTGCTCCAGCTACATATTTACCTTAAAATTGTTGATCTTTTCCTAACCCTCTAACAAAATGCCTACTCCCTTTATTTTTACAAAACCCCCAAATAACATAAGGCTCAGGCATTGTTAAAAGATCGTTGTCCCGTGCTAATATCTAACAAATATGCAACCTTTCTGGCTGCTATTCGTCCTCCCTAGATGGAGACATGTCTGTTCCTGTCTGTGTTCATCACCTCACGGCTCAGCTGTAACAAAACTGTCTGACTCTGTCTGCCTTTTTATAATCAGTTTCTGTGGTTGCTCTGCATACTAAACGGCTGCATACAGAGAGCGAGGTGGCACAGCTTGGTTACATTCTCTATTGTGTTTTGTCCAACAGTCCCACCCATGTTTAACAATCACTCGACTGCGCCTCCACTTTCCTTCCTTCCTTCTTTCCTCGTTGACCCCAGACCAACCGAGCTGTCGAGTTACCATGGGGACGGGGCTTCCTTAGCAATAGAGGGTTAAGTTAACTTCCTGTTGCTCACCTGCACCCTTGAAAGATGCCGTGTGTTGGGAAAGAAACTCTTGGAGATAGAGGTTCAGGTTACAGGATTTTAAGTCAATGTCCCATGACTGAATACCTGCAGACATAAAAGATGTATAGTCATAATTTGTTTCACATTCTGTTTCAAGTCAAAACAACGAAACAGAGGGAGTCCAAATATTCATAGAAGTGAGGAAGCAGTATGTTTTCTGGTACTCAAACACCAGTGCAAATTCCTCAGAGGCATTTGTGTGGGTAAGAGAAATATGAGATATGTTGATGCAATGTCATACATTTAAAAATATTAAAATGATTAAATATCTCAAATTATATTTTTTTGAAGCAAATCATGGAAGAGAGTATTGACGGTCTTGGTGGAGATCAGGTGTATCCATTTTTCAAGATTTAAACATATTGTTATTTATTTTCCCGGTGTTGGGGTTAAAACTGTTTATACATTAAACAATTTTTCTACAATTTAGCAAAACTGTGCCAGTAAATTAATAAGGTAGAATTATATGATTGTATCAATAAATACTGAAAAGTCACAGCTTTGTGAAATGATTCATCAAGTGGACATTGAGTACACAAGAGATAATAACCGATTTGGTTTTAACTTACACTACTCTTTAGATAAATAAACAATATAAGCACAACTTGAAAAATGCCTGAAGTCACATTGCTAAAAACACGGCTTATCTTCTTAGATCGTGAACAACTGACATTTGGCACTATGCAATGTTTACAGGCCTAAATAAGATATCAACATGTGTCCATCCATCTCGATTTGAATGCAGTGCATAATTAATATTCCCCCACAGCCGTTCGCTTCCACAGTAAAACGCACTCTGTCGATCCTCTCCACGGCTACATTAGCACACAAAGGTTACGGCTCATCTTTTACAAGTGCCAATTCGCACTGCATCATTCCCCCTAAAGCTTCTCCATATACGCAACGACATAACGTTACAGAGGCGAAAAGACGAACCCCCCCTCGCTGCTCACTGCTGTTGATTCTAATGCGCCCGGAGGGATGAGGTGATGCTGATGGTGGACTGTTGCCAGATGACGCATCCTCGATCAGTGGGGTGAATCAAATCACACAAGCACTGCAACGGGCTCAGTGTAGCATCGTTAAGGAGGAATCATTCGACGACGGTTTGGAGGCATCTGAATATTTGATCCGAGTGTAGAGGAGGAGGGGGGGCAAAACGGCAACAGCTGCATAAGGCGTTGACACTAACGTACCTCGTTCGATCTCCCTGTTGATGGGCGCCGTCTGTGTGAGGGGAGCGCTCCGTCCTGTGATGATGAGCAAGGAGAATTTATGGGGGCTGAAGTCGGGGTTTGCGGTCGCAACGCGCTTCGACTCCTCCCGGACCTCCCTCTCCGGCAGCCGGCTGGACGCCATGTTGGAAACTTGCACAATCTGATGTCATTTAAGAAGCCTGACATCGGCTTTTTATTAGAGACAGAGGTGACAGCTGGTGCGCAGGATTGCAGCCGTGTGTTGAGGGACGTGTAGAGCTTGAAGTATAGGTGGCACGTGGAAAAAACAAATCAATTTATTATTTTTTATTTTGTGTTTTTTCGTTTTGTAATTATAATCAAAAGAAATTTCCCAACAAGGGATTTGTGGGGAATAACAATCATCCAGCTTTGACCTTAGGTTGTGCTTATTTCTGCGTCCCTCCTTCACCGTCAAATAAACACAGACATGGATGGATTTAATTTAATTTATTGACCTGCTTATCTTACAAATGTGGTTAGAAACCGTTGCTTGGGTAGCTCTCATTTCTCCCACCCTAACAGGAACAATAAACTACATTCAAAATATTTCACAAGATGTGAGAATCCCGCACAAATAATTTCCAAGATGGAAGAGACAGTTAAATACAGTATATGCAGAATATTCAAAACATATTATAACATTTTAAATGTATAAAATCAAAAGATCTTTTATTAATTATATATGATTAATTTTAATCACCAACAGTACAACAGCAGATTTGGTCAAGCAAAACTCCTAAACTCTACCCATATATTTCCCTTTACAAACATTTGAGAACATAAAAGTTACAGGAAGTACCCCGGGGACAGCTGCACAGCGTGCCAATGCGCGCACCTTTACGCACGGCGCACGGCTCTCCGGCGTCACACTGGAACGATAAAGGTTAAATAAATTCATAAGAAATGGGAAAATGGGTTGTTCACTAATGTATTTCAATGGTCAGGTCAAGTCAGAAATGTGTGGATTTACATTAAACAAAACAATTATAAACAGGACAAATCGTTTAACATAAGAAATCACAAAATGATTCTATATTTATATATTTGTAGATGTTTGTAGAGGTTACGAATTCACATTTTTAACATAAATAGCGAGTTTCTATTTATTTGTCAATAAACTATCCAGGCTGTTTCATATATATATAATATAAACTTACCGAAGGCAGCCAGCCAAGCTTTTTCTCCAAGGGCATCTCTTTGCTCCTCAGTTTCTCCAAAACCTCTTGCAACGCGTCAATCTGCCAAGAAATGCCCCAACGTAAAGAATATTCATAAAGTCAATTATACTATTAAAACGTATGCTGACCCATTTACTATCCAATCTCCACGTAAAGTTTCTCACCAGCTCTTTCTCCTGTTGGGTTTTCAGGGGGAAATCCAACGAGCGCGTCTCCAGTGAGGACTCTTCTGCGTGGACGAGCCAGAGGGAGGCGCAGCAGCAGGTGGCCGCCAGGAGGAGAGCTCGAGTGCTGACCATGGTGGCGACACAAAAAGTGCAGCAGTCTTCTTTTGCGAGTGGAGAGAAGTGGGATGTCTGCGTTTGCTGAGTGGAGGGTCGGAAGGCTGGAGAGTTTGGGTGTCTTCTGTTCAGGAGCCCCTCTTTATAGGTCCTTTACGGCTGCTGTTGACATCAGCCACCCAAATATTCATGGAAGGTTTTGACACTGGTGACACTGCTGAGCACCTTTTGTATCTTGGAGGAAGGAACCTGACAGGATGAAATCAGTGAAGGTTGAGAGGTGGATTTACATTTCATAAAACATATTTGATCATGTAATTTATTTGCTGAATGGGAATAAACCCATGTTCCAATCTTATTTCTGTTTTACAACTTAACATATCGCCTGCAAAGTAAGCCTTTAGTTAAATACACATCTGAAAACTTTCATTGAAAAACTTGTAAATCTGGATATAATCAACATAGTAAATAATGCAAGACAATTTTAAAAAAGAAATATATTCTTGACTACCTTTTTTGGAAGGTGACCAAAAGATTGCTGCCGATCTGTTATCAGGATTCAATTTCCCAGGAATAACCTTTAAACCTTTCAGCAATTTGTGGCAAGGCAAGCTTGTTTATGCGCCAATCTTGTGAGAGACCTCATGTCAATGACAATTCCTCCACCTTATTGATCCCAATCTCTTACTCACTCATATTGAGCAATCTGTCTCTTGAAAAAGACAAGGGTCTGGGTGAAAATAGGGTAGGGGGTCAATATCTAAAACCTTTCAGGTTTTAGATATCTAAACCTTTCAGGTTTTAGATATTTCAACTCATGGAGACTCTTTCAGGTTGAATAAAAACAATTGAAATGTATATGTAAAGATTTTGGTTTGGGGTATTTGTGTTTAGGCACATAAATTCAATTACGGTTGGATTCAAATTATTTATTTTAATACATGCCAATGAAACATATGCATTGGGATCTCATTATAGGAGTTTATCATAGCCGTGGGTCCACACTCTTGCTCCCTTTCTGACAGGTACAACAAAAAGGAAACCAAAAAATTAGGTGTTAACTGACTGAGGAAAAAAAAAAAGAGCATGTATAATATCTTCATATTAAGCGTGGGTTCAATTAATTGTCAAAAAACAGATACATAATGAAACCAAATGTGTGAAATGGAGCTTTGTATGGATTTACCGGTAAGTGGTAACATTTGATGTGAAATGCACTTATTTGAAATGTTTATGTATGTGTGTGGAGGTAATGTTATTGTCCATTTTCTCTCATTTTACTTAAGACGATTCTTAATAGCACGTTTCGTAGATGCTCACTCCTGCCGCTGGGGGGCAGCAGCGCACTGAAGTGCAGCTCCGCAGGATCACGGTCAGGCGACCGGAAGTGAACAGTGGAGCGGCTACGAGCAGCTAACTCTGTCTCTCTACTAACATTAACAAGTTGCCTCTATCAGATCGCTCCTACGTTTTGTTCTCCGCGTTGGGTTTGGAGCAAAAGCAACAATGTCTGAAAGAAAAGTATTGAATGTAAGTATGTGAACACTGGGCCTCGCTCGCAACGCTAAAAACACTCAACGTTAAATAAAAAAGCACGCAGGCTAACGTTGGTTTAGGAGCTAAGGTGTAACTGGTGTTAACAACTTTGTAACCATAGTGCCTTTTTAGGTCTGTTTCAACTGTTTCCCAATGTTAACTGTTAGTTTTATTACGTGTTCCGGTTATTTAGTACTGAAAATAATGTGTTTCTCTTTCTCCCACAGAAATACTACCCCCCGGATTTTGATCCAGCCAAAATCCCAAAACTCAAACTCCCTAAAGATCGCCAATATGTAGTCAGATTGATGGCGCCGTTCAACATGAGGTTTGTTGTGTTCGTGCTCCACACTCGTATTGTGACACAGGCTTAAGGAGGATCAGTTGTGTAAATGCTTGGTAACTCAATTAAATTGAATGATAGTTGAGTGGAGAGTGTTGGAAAGCAAGGTGAGCTGGCAGAGGAAGCCAATAAATTAAGTATTTGAAATCCAAGTTTACAACAATATATTTGCAGATATTGCTTATATACAAGCATACAATTATTCCTTTATTGTGGCCACACTGCAGCAAGACTATTAAAGGAGTCATTTGGTCATTTTGCATACTCCTCATGACTTTTCTCACAAAAGGCCTCACTGAAGACCTTTTAAATCCAAACCTGTTAATGGTGTCTCTGTATTTTTAAGTTAACCGAGAATGTACGAATCCCATTGAGTTCTCTTGGTAGATGGGTAGCGTTGCTTGCTGCTAATCACATGACAGATTTGTCATGTGTGCTTGCTTGTTTTCTGTTAAGGCAAAAAAACTATTTCTCATAGTTTGGTTGCATTTCAAGGGAACCTTTTTGCTACCTTCATAGTGACCAACACCTTCTAGCCTCTGTAAATGAGCAATGTGACACTGTTCATCATCAATGGCGCTCTGGTTGTTTGCAGGTGTAAAACATGTGGAGAATACATCTACAAGGGGAAGAAGTTCAACGCACGCAAAGAGACCGTTATGAATGAGCTGTACATGGGACTTCCCATCTTCCGTTTCTACATCAAATGTACCAGATGCCTTGCTGAGATTACATTTAAGGTGAGAGTATTTCATTCACTGATTGTAGCTGTGGATTTGAATGAAACAATATAAACAAGTACATGCTAATATACGCAATATGTATAACTGTGTCTGTGCTATTTTGAGAAATAGACATTTCCTGCACTATGCATTGATACATTTCTCACACTCTCTTATGACATGTTGCAACTATAGACTGACCCAGAGAACACAGACTATGCAATGGAGCACGGTGCAACAAGAAACTTCCAAGCAGAGAAACTGGTTGAGGAGGCGGAGAAGAGAGTCCAACAGGAGAGAGAAGAGGAGGAACTGAACAACCCCATGAAGGTCAGTGTTCAAAGATAATCTACTGTTATTATTTTCAATTTCCAACTAAAATGAAGAGTTGATGATTTCTCATTCCCCTAAAAGGTGTTGGAGAACCGTACAAAGGATTCAAAGATGGAGATGGAGGTGCTGGAAAACCTGCAGGAGTTGAAGGAGTTGAACCAGAGACAGGCTCAGGTGGACTTTGAGGGAATGATCGACCGGTACAGGGATCTGGAGAAAAGAGAAAAGGAGAGGGAGAAAGAAGAGGACGAACGGGAGACAAAGTGAGTGATGGAGGTTGATCTAGATGTATACATTATAACGATTAGTTTATAATTGGTAATTAAAAAATGGTACATCAAGTGTACATTTAAGTGATAAAGTATTTGCTCAAGGCACGTAAATATCACTCTAGACCTAGATTAGGAATATGAAAACGATAAATAGCAACTTTGAGTTGCTTGAGTTTTGTTCTATTAATATCAGAGGGAGTTCTGAGCAGTAGTCATTAAAAAGCAACAATTAAATATGAATGTGTGTGTTTCACAGAGAGATGTTGGATCGTGTCCTTGTGAAAAGACTCAGAGACTCTGACTCTGATTCAGAGAAAGAAGAGGAGAGCTGCAGCTCGCAGTCAAAGGAACTCGGTACAGACAAACCAACTGATATCCTCACCACAGTCAAACCCACAGAGGCACAGGTACGTACGTACGTGTGACCATTCACATCCAACTATGTTTGTCGCCTACACATTTTCAAGTATCCATCAAGGTTTCCAGATTTAAAGTTAAAAGCCTCAAGATGTCAGTCCTGTAGCCTGTAATTTTTTGTCTGAGAGCTCAATATGTCCTCTTGTTGCTTCTTCTGGTTCCTACAATATTCATAGCAGTAATATGGCCAAACGTTTCTATTGCAACATAGGTCAAGTTTTTTAATAAAATTAAATAGTATTTTTACCCATAAGGTAAACACATTCTAAATTATTCTATACCCTTGTGTGAATAAGTTAATTTGGGTTATTATGTGCTTTTTTTATCAATTTAAAGTAATGCTGGATTGCATGTATACAGTGTTTACTCTAATAATCTAAAAATCTATCAGAACCTTAAAGAAACCATCTTGGCAGACAGTTGTAGATTATCCTGCTGTTTCCACAGGGAACCTCTGCTGGAGGAGTGAAGAAGGCCAAGGTGGAGAGCTGGGAGAGGAGTGTGGGGACGCTGGGCAGTAAAGGGGCACTGGGCTCCCTGGTCGTACGGAAGAAACCCGCAGCGTCTGTCAACAAACCCGTACCCGTGACAGCCGCTGCTGCTCCCACTTCACAAACCGGTAACACGGCAGAATATCTTATACCAAACTCTTTTTCTAGATTTTCTCTTCTAAAATCTTAGCTATTAGTTAGTTAATTGATTTGATCTATTTCCTTCCTAACTTTCCTAACAATTTTTTGTACATTTTCAGGTTTCTGTTTTCTTTGCTGCTTGTTTGCTTCATCCATCAAACGTTTGAAAAGAATTTGGATTGAACAACTAGTGTGTCACTTGTTTTTCAGATTCAAAGGCATCTACGACTGACTCCAACAACGCCTCCAAGCCTGTTACCACACAAAATGGGTCATCTTCTCTCAGCCTGCTGGGGGCGTATTCAGACAGTGACAGCGAATGAATAAAAGATGCTATGGGTGTTTTTTTTATTTGAATGACGGGACACACAATTGTATAAATGATGCGTGACGAAATACAATGCTATTGAATATTTTGCAATTTCTGTATAGAACTCAATCATCTGTAAACCAGTTTGTGGGTCTGTCCTATAAATAATATTTCTCTAAAGAAGTGACTGATGAAAAGTAAATGTGTTGCTGGGCACTGATGTTAGTCTGGAATTTTAGTCTTGTGTAAGTCATTTTTGCCCTATTACAATTGGGTGTATGTTATAATGTTTATTAAAATCAGTTTAACTTCAACCTGTTATCCTTAACCTGCTTTGATATCTTTCAACGCCTCTCTTTTGACATCTTAATTATTACCCTGACATCAGAATATGACTTTATTTATACTTTCGAGCTGTCTGTCTTAAGGCTGCATTCGTTCATATAACGCATCGTTTCATACGTCACATCGAGCAGGTTTCACAAAGCCCCGTTAAAACATCAATGTCGGCCAAACCAAAAGCTGCCTCCCGAGGCCCCTTTAAGAGACCCGCCGTGCTTGCGAGTGTTGTGTCGGGGACCGTCCGCGCATCGCTCCGTGTCGTCTGGGCCCGGCTAACGTTAGCAGACTGGCCTGCTTGGCTCAGACGCTTGAACGGATTTCACGGATAATGTTTGTTTTTTCGGCCATATAAACGCTAACGACGACACGCCGGATGCTGAGCTGGAAGACGTAAACCAACCGCCGCCGGAAGCCGTCCAGGCGGAGAAAGAGGGTGCGCGTGAAGAAGTAACGTTAGCAGGTAGCTGTTGGTTGACGTGAACGGTCGTTAGCTTTGACGTTAGCTGCTGTCCAGCAAATTTAGCTCTGGCTTATTTAATCGCGCATTGGCTATAAATTGTACTTCCCACATCTCTTTAACCCTTTACTTGCAGTGTAATAACATAAGCGGCACGTAAAAACGTATGATTAATTGCTTATTTAGCTTGGTGCTAATAGGTTTCTTCTATCCTTAAGCTAATGTTAGTATTATGACTAACGTTGATTGGTTGAAATCCTCTATTTTACCCCCTGATGCTAACTAGCTATTGTCAATGGTGGCTTTGATTGGCTGATTTAGCAACCAGGCTAGCGTTGACCTTTTGTTATCAATAAAATAGCTAACGTTATTTTTTTTGCTGGACCTGTTGATTGATGCTAACGCCATTATTTCTGAAAGCGTTGTCAGTTCTTCGGGGGATTCAACTGTAGCCAAGAACGTATCCTTTGGTAAAGTAAACCAAATGATCGTGGTTAATATAGGTCTGCTTTGCTTATATTTGCACAGGCCCAATTCAATGTTATACTTTCCGCATTTGGCTGGTACCGCATCAGTTTCTTACGGTATCAACTTTACTCAAGGGCCATACAGTTTAATTAGCAATTATTGGGTCACTAACAAGTAACCTATACGTTAAAATTTACTGCATTTGTGAAGCTGATTATTGAATCAGATTTCATCGACCGCCTTATGGGAAATAAACATGTAGACAACATGCAGAACTGACCTTGAGCTATAATCAACACTGAAATGTGGTGCTTTCTATTTGCCGCATTATTTGTAATTTCATTACTATGGAATTTCCTCAACTGTTCTAAGTTATCTGTCTGCCCCTTCATACTCAGATCCATGGCAAAGTGGTTGAAGGACTACCTAAACTTTGGCACCAGGCGTGACCCTCCACAGCCCCCGAGGCCAGATTACAGTGAAAGTGAGATTTTGAGGGCCTACAGAGCTCAGAAGGAGCTGGATTTCGAGGACCCGTATCAACACTCTGAGAAGGAGCATCAGAATGGTGGTTTCAGCCCCCGTAGCGCCACAGTGAGCCTTCCCTCGTTCCCTGCATTCGGTTCAGTGCTGCCTAATGGTGTTGAGGTAGGACATGCATCTTTATACAACCATGCAGGGGAAGTTATAGAGGTATACTTTTTAACATTTCAACTTTTGTTTACATGTGCCTTGTTCCAGGTGAAAGTGGTGTCTCCCAAACACAGACTCATTAAAGTGGACTCTCAGGAGTTTGGCTGCTGTAAAGTCCCCCTAACTCCTGTGACTACTCAAGAGGAACCTGTAAGAACGGCTTCTATTTGTGTTCTACTTTACATTCCTCTGGCGTTTCTCCTTTATTCCCTCCATCCATCCTTTGCTTTGTCTTTATCTCATCGATCTTACTCATTTTCTGTCGCACACTCATTGATTCACAGGCAGATTTGATTAGCTTGTAAGATGCCTATTGTTACTCTGTCCCCAACAAGGTGATTCCTTCTGCTCCAGCGGCGTTGGATGCTGACACAGACTACTCTGATCCATTTGATGTTTGTCCAGAACCCAGAGGCAGGCAAAACTGGGAGCCCAAACCTGCATCAACAGACTACTGCAGCTACATGGAGCCATTTGAAGCCCAACGGATTATCTCAGGTTTGTTTTGAGTTATTTTTCTCTGTCACATTTTGGTGTTGTGGCTCCACATTATTTTTGGCAAAGTTTAAAAGTCCTTGTTTATTGTGCAGAACTGCAGCACAGCATGATGAACAACAGGTCTGGGAGTGCAGATGGCGTCCAATTGTATGACAACCCGTACGAGGAGCGGCCTCGACCCTACTACCGAGCGGCTCCAGCAGCACAACAACAAACGCCGAGGGTTGAGTTAGGACTTCCAGACAGCAGAGAGAGCAGGCTGCCTCGGGATGATGAGAGGCCGGCGGATGAATACGACCAGCCCTGGGAGTGGAAGAAAGACAACATATCTAAAGCTCTAGCAGGTAAGCTGGCTGTGTCATCATATCCCTTTCAAATATATGCATTATTTTATTCTATTCTTTAAACGAACGTGCTGTGTATTTCTTTCCGGCCATAGTTCAGTTTGAAGGAGCTGAAAGGGAGCGCTCCCGAGCTCAGACGGAGCCTACCCGACTCACCAAGACGGGCACCTCATCGTCCACAGTTGACTCCACCACGTTCCCTCTGATCGGTGACACACCTCCTCTCCTTGGAGAGAGAGTGGATCCAACTATGCCACTGGAGAGACAAGTGTAAGCGAACGTCTACAAATGTCCAAAGATGGTATTTTTAAACGCCTTCGTGCCAACGTAGTGTTTGAGGATGAACTGATGTTCAATCTGCAGGTGTTCATGAACTCTTCTGTTCCGTGGTCGTGTTTCCTCCTGCAGGTGGTACCACGGAGCTCTGAGCCGCTCGGAGGCAGAGAGTCTACTGACTCTGTGCAAGGAGAGCTCTTACCTGGTGAGGAACAGCCAGACTTGCCGGAACGACTACTCTCTCTCACTCAGGTAGAGACTCCCGCTCATACTCTGACTCCTGCTGTATTTCAGATGAAAATCATTAGTGTCCCATCAGCATTTTAAAATGTTTCCTGTAATGCTTCATTTTAAGCTGCAATGGATCCCCCAAAAATCCTCCTTACTCTTGATATGGTTTATCATTGCACTCGTAAAGGACTGTGTTTGCAAAATGATCCCATCCAGTTTTTGTTATATGGGTATTGTTATGTCTTTAGTGTGTTTGCTTTGAGACAACTTTCACTACCGTTTTCCAATTTATTTTCTATGGCCCAAAATCACAAATTTCCATCACAATAACATTGTGAAAGTGGACTAGCGATATCTTGTAAATGGCAAATCTTTAGGTTGCCTCCACTTAATGCTACAGTACTTGGCGTTTCTTGTTTGTTTTTTTTATTCTTTTTTATTTAAGTCTGGCACATAATATTATACCAGACTACAAACCTAAGAGATGCATTGAGGATGAAATAAACACACGTGTGTGTGTGTGTGTCAGAGCATTATCACTTTTAAAACCCAAGGTTACGGTTTAATTTCTCAGCAGGATTCAAGCAAGGACATTTTTGTCTCATAACGAATGTGTGGTCTGAAAGAGCCAAATTATTCCCGTAGCTGTGTTTGATGAGCATTTCCTTCTTACTCTTGTCAGGAGCTGTAAAGGTTTCATGCATATGAAGTTCACTCGGTCTGCAGAGAGGCGCTACGTGCTCGGGGAGAACAGCCCTCCCTTCTCCACCATCCCCGAGGTCATCCACTACTACACCACACACAGGCTGCCCATCAGAGGAGCCGAACATATGTCCCTACTGTATCCGGTCATAGTGCAGACCCTCTGACACTGACCACTTCACACACTCTTTCTCCTGGTGCTACTGATTACCATAGATACTCAATATTGACTTATATTTGTCCAATTTTCCTACATGCCTTTTCACTGCCGTTCTACCTGAACCGCCCGCCCGACATTGGACTGTTTGGTGCCCTCTTTTCCGTTTACCATTTCACCAATAACTACACTGGCAGCCGAATAAGAGCTCAATGCCTCGTGAATATTCGCCTGTGACTGGTATCATCACTGAAATCCTCTTGTTTTAATTGCATGGACCCCCGAAATTCATTACTTATAGGTGAACAATATTATACAGAATCTTGCTTGACATTTGAATCTTTTACTGTACAGCACAGATATACCACACTGCCAGATCACTGAGAGGAGACTAGTGGTGTCTTTGTTTTTGCTGTTCAGCCCAGGCACCAGTTATCTCCATATTAATTTGATGCTTTAATGGGACAGATATGAGACGTGATAAAAACAGAAAGTACTGTTTTAAAAGTGGTGCAACTGCAAACAACACGAGCCTTCAAGTGTTCTCTACAATATCAGCCAAACGCTACACATACTGTGAATGTTATATAGCTGCGTATAACTTCACTTAGTAGCAGACTCCTGCAACACTACTTTCGAGGATAATAACTACAGTATTCTATTAAGCTCGTGGCTTTGTGATCTTGACTATTTGCTTTGGTAGGTTATTTACTGTTGTGTTTTATAAGAATTGAAAAGTCTTTTGAAAATAAAGGTGTTGGTTTTTTTAAAGATCCTGTGCATTGTTTAATTTTCTGTGTTCCGTGTTAGTCGGTTGATTGTGAAATGGGCATTTCCCAGCATATAGATATACATACGAACCATAATACCAAAAAGAAAACTTCACATTTTGAGTGATTAAGTGGGAAATACCTGTGCCCCAAAGAGGGAGACATGAGATGATCTACAACAGAGTCACCTGATCCCTTAGCAACCAGCCGGTGTCTGTGGCACCACAAGAGAACAGGAACAGAACAGGTAACAAGTTGGTTATTATCTAAAGATAAATTATTGTCTCTGCTATTTGAAGCATGTTAGATCTACAGATTCATTTTAGTGTGTGTTTGGGTTCTCACGCTTATTATTCATTCAGTTTTATTGTACCACGTTGTATTTGATGTAAACGTTAAATCAAATCAAGCCTGCAGCTAGCGGTTAAATTACCCATAAAATTGATGTTGTTTATAAGTTGTTGAACTTATAAGTCCATTGATTGATGGATAGCAAATTGTTTATAAAAAGATAGATAGGACGTATTGAAAATGCATCACAGTGGGTAACTAAATACTGTATGAAACCATAATACAACCCACATTAGCATCAAATAATAAAGTAAGCGATTTGCTTTGAATTATCATCATGCACACTGTCAAATATCCTGTTTGTGAAGGTTGATTACGTTGCTCTGTTTACCCACATCAGCTTCATCCGTTTCCATGGCAACTCAGACGCACAAACTCGCTCAACCCAAACCCGACCGACTCACCTTCCCAGACCGGTAGGCTTCGCTCATGAGGGTACCAACTTTTTCACGGAGGTCTTTTCTTTTTTGAAAGTGACCAACGGCCACAGTCCCTACTGCCAATTAAAGTTGCTGATGAATACACTGTTATGAAATAGTTTTATTTTCAATGCCACCGCAAATAGAAATGATGCCACGTGTAAGATGAGAGCTCTTCAACTCTCCGGTGCTACGAGCGGGGCGAACATTAACAAACTCGGTCTTCTCAGGGCAGATGTTTCCTGCTATTGTCATAACACAGTATTTGAAAAGCTCATCTTCCTTAAAGCTTTGCCTTGTTTAGCAATGAACACGACCACTTGGTAGCTCGCTTTGGTGATGTCTGACCTTGGAGGTGCTTCACCCGTGTCTTTTGTACATTATATTCCTTAAACAAAATAACAATCTAATGGCAAATTAGACGGACACAGTTCTGGTGTTTTGATTAAAAGAACTATAGTAATCTCCATCTGTGCTGGAGATTTCGGCAGCCCTCGTTATCAACTTTGTGTAATCATGACCGTTGAAGCCACACGGTAGAGAATAGCATGTTGAGGTTGGGTGATTTTGTGTTTTTTTGTGCTGGCGAGCTGTAAATGATGCATTTTAAGGCCGAGGTCAGGGGGCCGTATAAAACCTGATGATTTTCCTGCTGGACTTGCCTGGCTGGCACCCCCTGTCTCTCCTGTCGCTCCTCCTTCTCTGATAGAGCTTCTTTTTGATCTTCCAGTCGTTCGGTTTACTGGCTGGATCAGCTGCCACGGGAGAAAACGGGATCCACCAAAACTGGTACATCGCTCTCTTTCTAACTCAACCGCTCCCTTCATTTACAAACTTGCCCTGTGGTGTTTTTTTGTTTCTCTTTGTAATAAAGTGCACTGTTTGTCTTTGTAGAGTTAACGCCTCGCTGGTCGGAGCTATGTAGAAATAAAAAGTTCTACACTCAAGTCACGTAAATATACAACATTACTAATGCATAATGGCTCACTGCTAATGACAAACTATTAATGTATGTGGGATTTACTTTTCAAGATTCTTTGATGGCATTTTTGAAAGCTGCTTATATTTAACCTGCTTTTTTTTATGGAGATTCATTGCAGTCAGTTTTTCACTAGTCCATCAGACTGCTACGGTTACTATTTGCTATTTATTGAGACTCACCGATCACTCACATATGGGCTTCTATATGAGAATACACTTACGTTTGTAAATAATTGGATAATTGGATTTCCAGCATTGTCAGGACTTCATTCTCTTTAATTGTATACCCTTGTGTTTTTATGGTGTTCCTATCTAGATATACATGCTCTCTTCCTTCCTTCCTCCATCGTAACTTTCCTCTCATAATTTACACCACCTTTTCCTCTCGTACTCACACCAAACGCACCTCTTTATGACATGTTTCCTCTCTCACTCGTGCTTTCAATTACTCTCTTCCACCGTTTCCTTTGTCCCGCCCCAGACTTTCTCCCACATGGAAGGTGAGTGAGCGGGCTCTCCGCGCCATAACATCCGACCGACTGCGTCGTCTGGCTCAACCCCGTCTCCACGCCGCTGGCTGGCAGCCGGAGCACCTGCAGCTTAATCCAGTGAGTTGACGCAAGCGTTTCCCGATAAGCTGCTGGCCGTGTAGAAGATGGTGTAGCAGCTAGCAGCGTTTCAATTATGCAACCTGCAACTTGTTTTAACTCCACATTTAACGGTAGGCCAGGGTTTTGGCTGCTTAGGAAGTCTGACAAATTACATCCAAAGGTGATGTCAGTCAGTCGCTTATTAGAAGCAGAGGTCTTTTTACCGTTTTACACTCTGGTTTCACAGGTTTTGCCTTTTCCTGGTTACAAGTCTTAGCATTTGTTTTTTAAAAATGTTCCACTGTTAACTTTCACATGTCTTTTCAGCTTGAAAACACAAGGTAAGACCTCAACTTTAAAAGCGTGTTAATGTATAATGTCTTTTCAAGTTTAACATTTACTACATGCAGTATGAGTCAAAGCAAACCTCTAGAACATAATTGGTTAGACTTTCCTGAGACTGCTTTGACGGCTCATTTATAACGCGGCCCAATGCATCCAATCCTCAAGACTGCATTGAAACACATCCAGTTTAATTTATTCCAAACAGCCCATGTCTGGCATTGTGTGTGCGTGTGTGTGTTAATATATTCTCATTCGTACCCTGGAATGGGGTTGTAGTTGAACAGGTTGACGCAGACAGCAGCCCCCACTTCACGAATATGCCAGCTCGCCCAACCAAAAAGAAGGCCGGTTGTGGACGGCTGTGGCCCAAAATCTAAAGCTGTAACCATGAGCCACAAACCCTGTAGAGCTTCAGCACACATAGAGCTGCTTGCCAGTGAGTCTTCCAAAGTTTGATCTACTGCGGCATGGTTTTACCTGCCACCATAACCCTTAACCCTTTCGTCGTCTCAGCCCCTAAGCACGACCACCCTAAGTTCGAAGGAGAGCGCTCGGTGTGCTGGACCGTCTCCAGAGCGGCAAGAAACTTCGTAGCCAGCGAGAGGCTTCTGGAGCTGTCCGCTCCCAAAGAGAGGAACGCTCTGTTTGAGGGATACGACCCGTACGTAGTCACCCAGGCCGCACGCTCCGCCTGCCCCTCACCCCGGATACGTCGGCTATGTCTGCCTCTGCCTCGCAAATGTTGCACAAACCGGGACGGATGAGGTCCGGTCCCCGGTGACGTGTTTTGTGTCTTTTTCACAAAAGTTGTTTCCATGTAGACAATAAAGTAGTCTGGCAGCTGGAGCTACTTGTCTTATGTGTGTTGAGATTGAATCATGGTTATAACTTTGTAACAACAATGAATATCTCACAACTATGGGGCGCCGTTTGTAAAATGGCGCAGGTTCCAAAATTCTGCGCAGTTTTGCTACATTTATCATTATATGAAAAAAAAGCACAACAATATTCATATGTCACTTTTTCAAACATTTAGAGAGCATGTAAATTCATGCAATAACTTTTCCAAGGATAATGTTTGGCAGTAACACAAAGTTACTGAAAACGTTAACTAAAAAAATAATGTTAAATCTAAATCTAAATGTTAAATAGAAATAGAAATTGTTAGTTAGAAATTGTTAGCTAGAAATGTTAAATGTAAATAGAAATGTCTGTTTTTATATATACAGATTTATTTTTATTCTGTCCATTATGTTGTCAAACAATGTTTGACAACATAAAATAGGGTCCAGGTTAAAAATGACCAGAAATTACGAGAATCGTAAAATTGGACTTCTTAAATTCGATGTCTAAACATGTTTTTTCTTGAGGTTTCATTGCAATAAAGAACAAAAGAATATCACAAGACGAGTATCACAGTTGGATCATGAGGGGATTTGATTGCCGTCGACACACATTCTTTTAACGCTGTAATAAACAGAAAACACAGGACGGGAAATGATAACATGCAACAATAAGCAGTTTATGAGAAAACACTACATTTTCTTTGATTGTGAGCCCATATTGTCCAACCAGAAAACATCTGCTCAGCAGCTGGAAGCAAACGAGACCAGATCAGTTGTTGTGAAATAGAGACGGATACAGTCTCTAAATACGTCCCGTGAATCCTCCTCATCTCCCCTCTGCTGTTAAATAGCGCCCTCAGCTGGTCCCAACGCGGCGGTGCAGCAGAGTCAAGTCATTTGGAGTCCTGTGCATGTGGAGCTGCTTCATGCTTTCATCCGCAACTACACAACAAGTCACTGAGCCACGGATCAGTGAGACACACCAATGGAGTTGTGTTTGTTTCAATATCCAATATTCAACATCGATAACAGCCCTCGAAATGAGTCGTTTTCTTCATTTCCCTCTTCAGAAAACACAAATCAGTGATCTATATACACACACGTGTATTGCTGTTTGTGATACTAAACTAAAACCTATCCCATTTGGTAGAAACAATGATACAGACTATATCCTTTATAAACGTTGTTTCTGGATACTATTATTGGTAATTGAGTGTGAATGTTTTATAACGTTTGTTAAACAATGTGCTACTATATTTAATACCTGATTCAGAATGAGCTGTGAATGAATACTAAGCAATTTAAATGAAGAAAAAAAACGTCTTCCCCGTCTTTTTAAAGTAATGCACACCCTGAGGTTTGTGAGGGCCTGTTTTTGTGTTTTTATTAGTGAACCCATATGTGATTGTACAATTATACATACAGCCCATTTAAGATGTTCCTGGCATGGAAGTCCACTTTACACTGAGCTATTGTTTTATCAGCGTGTCTAACTGACAGAAACGTTATTTACAGAACAGTTATTTCCAGTTTGTTTAGTCGACAGGGTGTCAACGATGGACTTACAAGTTCCTCAATAAAACAATGCATATGTTGTGAAAGGGTGGATTAATAAATGATTTGTGCTGCTGCACAGTTTGTGTTTCCTGTCCCTGCACACATTCTTTAGACAGTAGATTTTATTCGGTATGTTTGTAGCTTGTGTATGGAAGCGGTGACTAATAACATTGACAATGTTTCTTCTGTGTATTTAGTGTCCCAGTGTCCCTTGGCGGTGAGAGCCAGCGTGCACAATAGGACCTTAAAACTGAAGCAACTGAATTGATTTATTATTTTCCCTCTGTCACGTATTGGTAAGTCACATGGTGGAAAGATACTATTATGTCTTTCAAAGTATGTGTGATGTTCAAACAATGTATATTAAAAGTGTCATTGTTTACTTAATATTAGTTTTACCTCAAAAGAGTTTAGTGTATTATCTCTTACTTTCTGTTTTCTTTGGGGGGGGGGGACCGTTTCCATAACATGGACATAAGTAAGTGGTCGTTATCTATCAGAAGATAAATACTACTCTGTTGCCAAATACTTTAACCCCAAATCGGGTAAAGATTTGTGGGGCGCCTCGGGCGCAGAAAGACGCGCCCCTCTGTGCGTAAAAGGGCAGGACGGACGGGACGCAGCTCCAACGCAGCGCAGCCACGCGCACTCCGCGTCTCACCTGGAAAGCAGCAGCGCGCAGAAGCACCGACAGGCGGACCGGGGGACAGGTACGCGCAGGAGAGGAGCCGGAAGAACAAGCAGGTCGAGTCCTTTTCCCCCGCAGTCACTCCATGTGCTTCCCACGTTACAACGCCGCCCTTTGCTTCTTTTAAAAAAAAAACGCGATTTCTCTATGAGAGTGAAGCGGCGTTGGAGAAAACATGACGGAGCAAGGAAAGAAGTGGATTCTGATCGCGGTGGATGTTCTTTGTGTCTTTGTCGGTGAGTGACCTCTCCCCTTTTTTGGCAATATGGCTGAAACTATGATTGTGTTCAGACCGGAGGGCTCGTGTGTTCTGTGTTAAAGTGTGTGTGTGTGTGTGTGTGTGTGTGTGTGTGTGTGTGTGTGTGTGTGTGTGTGTGTGTGTGTATTGTATGTGGTTGAAACAAGACTTGTGAGAAAATGTGCACGGTGACTCGGATTGCCTAACATTCACACGCGCGCGCACGCGATATTTCTAGAGATATCACAGGTTGCTTCATGACAGTTTATAATATATTGACACTAGGAGTTGATTACAAGGATAACTTACTCACATTTATGTTGCGTAATGACGCAAAAACCGGAGGAGAGTCCCATGCAGTGACATTTATCATTAGTCTCTATCTTGTTCAAACAAGACAACCCGAGTCTTTCCCAACACCGGGGAAGAATGCTCACTCACTTTTCCTCTGAAGTCATCTGGGTCAAAAAGGACTCATCCTACCTCCCTATCTGGCCTCATTGTGTCGATTTGCTGAGGCGACGATACACTCCCAATCCGATTGAGCTGTCTTTTTTTTGGATTGCCCAGAGGTCGTGTTTGTTGGAAGGAACCACAAGCTGTAGTTTGACCTGCGTCTTTTGGTTCTGTTTTTTGGGGGGAATTGTTTCCAGTTATTGATGCTTTTCCTGCACATTGATGGTTTTTCTTCGCCCCCCCACACTGTGGTGGTTAGATGGAAGATCATTGTCATGAATCTCTTTCTCTGACAGTTAAAATTGTGCGTGCGTGCGTGTGTGTGTGTGTGTGTGTGTGTGTGTGTGTGTTAAGAAGCAACCCTTTGGGGCTGTTTTGTGTCTGATGTGTGTAGAGGAAACAAAACGGCGTGTCGCAACTTGCCTCTGGACTCCATGGGAGGACACAAAGTCCATTAACAGACTATACATCTCCCAGCTGTTGACATCTGCTCACATTGCTGACCCCACAAGGTCAACGGAGGCTGTAGTTGAAATGACGAAGGACATGAGAAATGTTCATCTCCCCACTGAGTTTATTTTATTTTAGATGTTTATTCTTTCTGTCTTAAGGAGGTAAAACATGGGGCTGAACGGCCACTTGCTGCCGTGAAATCTCTACAAATAATATAGACGTTTACAACATTTGTTGACTGATGTGTTCACTGACAGGGAGGAATGATAATGACCGTTCGGCTGTGCAAACCCCCGCTACCCTCACAGCGCGTGCTCATGTTCCAACGGGTTCACTGTCCGCGCACTGCATGTACTTTTTGAGGGAGAAAGGAAAAAGTTAAGGGCTCAAATAAAGAAATTGTCTGGTGAGGGGAAATTGTTTTAGACGTAATTAGCTGATTGAGTCATATTTTTTTTGGGCTGTGACAAAATAGCTGAACTTGAGTGATGGTTCATCATGGAGTAGGCTACAGTTGTGAAATAAACAAATAAATTCTTGAATGACTATTTAGCTGACTTGCGTATTCATCATCTCAGCGACGTGTGTCAGAGATGATGAATTGTCCATCATGGGGGAAGTCGGTCATCAGCCCCGAAAAGGTGGGAGTGTGGTTTTTGATTCACCTTTTGGATCTGGGTGATTAAGATACAATTCTTTTTGTTTTTTACTATTATCATATTGGACATTTCCAGTTAATTCAATTAAAACTTGCAGCTGAATATATATATAAAGTGGTAATGAATCAAATATTTTGAAAACCGCCGGCCTCTATGAGTACAACAATATCATTTAGGGATCTCCATCTGTACTTGAAGACGCGCTTAAATATTGGAAGATTTCAGCTTCTCATATATCAGACATTTCTACCTTTCCTTGTCTTCCATTAGTACAGTACGGCTACTTTTGTGTTGGACAGCGCATGTTTGGTAACATCCTCAGGGGCTCTAGGAACTGCGATGGGTTTTTTTTCCCCCTTTTTGTTTTTAAAGACCATCGAGAAAATAATATACACATTAACAAGTAACAAAACTAGTCATTAGTTTCAACCCCAAACAAAACCATTAGAATGAGTCAAAAAGTTCATTTCCTCGCTGTAACATGCAGACAGATAACAGAGCGTCTGTTTTTACATTGTGCGTTATCAAATCATCATATCGTGCTACGGGTACATTTCGCATCTCAGTCAATTTATCAAGTTAAAAATAAGCCCCTATGTTCTTCTTATTGTTTTACTTTTACCCAACCAATACAATACTTTCCTGTTTGTTTAAAGGAAGAATCAGAACTGTATTTTATTGTTGTTTATTCACTAATGATGTCTGCCGCTAAACTCCTGTTGGTTGTAGTCAGAAATATTGCAGACGCAGGTGAGTAATCCCCTAAAACTTGAACGCAAACACCAGTCGTCTGAAAATTCACAAGTGAGTCAGACGGGTTAATAACTTCGCTCCCACGTATGCAAGAGCTTTAATGTCGACCTCTGCTAGAAAATATGCAATGTAAATCGTGGCTTACTTACTGTTCCCACTTTAAAGACAGTCTTTTAATGAATAAAAAGGCAACCAGTGTGAAATACAAATCATGGAAGATGATTAGTATTGTGTTGCAAATGTTCTAAAAAGTGCTGCATTCATGAATCTGGTGATTAGTTTGGTCTAAAAATGGCCAGCAGCGTGCCGGAGGCAGAAATTTGTCTTTTGTCCTTTTCAAAAAGGAAAGCACTGGACACGCACACCAGTGGTGAGCGGTGAGATGCTAAACAAAGAAAGAAAAAGATTACGCAGTCCAAGGTGGCGTCTTAAAATTCCATGTTTTATCAATCCAACAGTCTAAACCCCAAATATTCAGTTTACTGTTGAAGCTTTAAAGAATGAAACCTAATAAACTGTCAAATATGCGCAGATTAATGTTCTGTTGATTCAATCAACTCCATTTGAAATTGACTTAATTTCAGCCAGATATAAAATGGTCATTTATGAGCTGCAGTGGTACAAAGTCATTACAGGCTTTATGTAACCGATGCTTCTGCATCGTTACCCCGTGTTTCTCTCTGCTGAGTGTTATTTATCTGCCACTCTTACGTGCTGGAGATGCACCCCCCCCCCCCCCCGCCACGTGTGCGCACATACACACAGACACTAACACACAGCGTCTGGGTGCCAAATATGTGTCAGTGGATTTGGAAGCGCTGGCTCTTGACCTGGCGTTCCTGTGTGAAAACGAAGAGGAGATGCAAAGGAAACGTGCGTATTTCTGTGGGTTCGCTTCTTGTAAAACAGAACATTGTGGAGTTGAATATATTTTTTTGCACGGTTTCAGATGTACTTTTCAGGCTGTGGGTTTTGTATTACAGAGGAAGTATTTCAATTATTTGTTTTTGTACTGTTACTTTGCACGCTGCAGTGAGATATGAGTTTGTGAAGGATTATTTTTTTTGGGTGACTGACTGCTTCAACATAACAAGTATGAGCTCATCAGGGAGGAAGTATCTCAACTGAGGACAACCACACTGTCCTGTTTAATGTAGGAAGGGTTTCGAACTGTAGAAACCTGCTTTGACCCCCAAGTGCCAGATTCCTTCTCATTCAAGCACGGGCCTTTAACAAAAAACACACTGTTGAGAATTTTTTTTTAAATGAGAGGATTTGGATTCACACCTGCAGTTCCAATAGAATCGATTGTTTTTAAAGACATTTTACACGTTTACTGCTAAAGTCCACAAAGGAATCAGAAACTCGACTCAACAAAGAATAAGGTGTACTGTTTAACAGACACAGCATCGTAACCAGAGTCATCGTCTGATAATATAAGTGTTTTATAGTGGTATGTGTTGCCAGGTAACAGGCAATAGTTGCAGAAAGGGAAAAAAACAAAGTGGTGAAGAAAGCTACTTTTCATCCTCTCTTAGACGTGGGGAAACTCTGGTTTGAAGGGCTCAAAGTAGTGCTGCTTGACCTCTTCAGTGTCAATATACTAAAAAGAAGAAAGTCTCTCTGCATCCAGGACTTTCCCAGGAAACATCCCTGGCCTAACAGGAAATGACGTTTGAGGTTTTCCCCCACAAAATGATGCCCATTAAGGATACTAGAGACAAAGTGCACAAATCCCACATCCATAAACCCCAGAGATGAAGCCAAAAAAAAACTAATGAGTTAACTATTGGTTATCTGAGCAGCTCAGTGCTAGTTACTAATCTCAAATAAAGGACATGTACAACACGGTTACCCGTTTCCTATCCATGTCTCAGTCATTCAGATGAGGACTCATCCTGAGGGCTCAATAACAGGAACACTTTCCACTTCCCACTGGTTCAGAGGTCAAGGTTAAATTTACTTGTGTCTGATCCCAAATTCCATCATGTTTATTTTCTCAAAGTGGAATCGCGGACAAGCTCTCCCCAAATGAGATTGTGAAAGCGTAAGACAATGCTTTCCATTCTCTTTTTTTATCTTCTCTTGGGTTGTTTTGTTACTGCGAACAAAAACCCAGCAGAAATATGTGTGTGTGCCTCTTTAGAAAGGAAGGTTGAACTCATTTCCACATTGTTTGAAGCTGTAAAAGAAAATCAGCGAGATGTAAAACGAGTAGGGTGGTACCAGTTGTTACAGACCACCAAAGGAATTTACTCTTAACATTGTTATTATTCCAGTACTCAAAAGCTTTACTGTGTTAAAATCTTAGTACCTACACTACCACTGGATGCAAAGACCCTGTTACAAGCATACGTCCTTACCTGTCCAACAGGTATCTGTAGTAAACTGTATTGAACGGGAAACTTTGGATGGTGCAGAAGGTTTAAATTTTAATTTCACACGTTTCAGATGAAACCCTCCAGGTTTTCAAACCTGTTTTAGACGGAAAAGCTGGATTTGAGAAAGTAAAGAAGGATTTATATAATGAGAAAGACGTTAAAGAAAAAGTATCTTCAGTTGAGAATATTATTCTCTTAAATATTAACTAAAATATGTAGGGTTTAACTATTTGAAATGTTATCTGTAAAGCATTTTAGACTTGCAAAGCAGTAAGTAAATTACTTTAGACGTGGTCCTTTGTGCTGCGCTAGGCTAACCAAATTCTGACTGCAGCCCCCTGCCTAACGTGCACTTACAAGAGCAACAGATATCTTCTCATCGAACCTTTTGCTAAATGTTCGTTCCCCTATTTAGCAAACTGTTACGGAAGTACTTTCACAGATTTTAAAAGGTTATTTTATTTCTCTAGTTTCTACTATTGCATCTCTTTATGATGACGTCCATTTTATTATCACATGTTGGTAAAACATGTGAACAAACGAAATGCAATAAAGACGTTTAGAATGACAAACACATATAAACAACATGACAAACACAGTATTATGAAACAACAAATTCTGATGAGACAAAATGAACTGAAAACACTGATGATCCACTGCAAGGAAAAGAATCTTGCAGTTTTTGTACAGTTTGTAAACTGGGGGAATGATCTCCACCTTCCAGAAACACCAGAAACACGGCCTATGAAAACATGCAGGCCGTCTGTAATAATACCAGATAAAAGCAGTCCGTCCCACTCCGATAACTCTCCATGGGCTCGGCTCCCAGCGGCTGTTGGAGCATGTTTGACACACAAGGAAATTGACTGATTGTGTGTGTGTTTGTGTCATTGCCCAGCACGGTCCACTCCCACGCTGGCAGCGTGTAGCCAACAGAGATTTGTGTCAAAAGAAACGCAGCAGCCTCTTGTGTAAATGTTATGCTCGCACCCTGCAGAATAAACAATGTTGGACTTCACTTCAAAGAGAAACTGAGAGCATGCATGACCTCCTGGAATAATGACCTCTCGAAATGAGACGAGCAAAGGGGTGTGTGTGTGTGTGTGTGTGTGTGTGTGTGTGTGTGTGTGTGTGTGTGTGTGTGTGTGTGTGTGTGTGTGTGTGTGTGTGTGTGTGTGTGTGTGTGTGTGTGTGCCTACATCTGTCTTTGCCTTCCTCTGCAGTTTTAGTGAGTAAGCGATTCAGGTGTGTACGGCAAAGTTCAATAGGAGGAAATAAAGCATTACATATTCAGGTGTCTGAACAAAATTACACGGGAAGCTATGAAATCAAATACATCTCAGTGTAGCAAAACAAATCTATCCAATGCTGTCAGGATTTGAAACTTTGCTATTCATATAACTTCATTATACAAGTGTACTCTGCAACATCTCTTGCTATGAATGTTTTCCATTCATGCAAGAAACCCCTTTTTTTTGTAGTTGATGGGTATCACATGTTTTGACCCTAGTATTTGTACACATCACACCATGATATAAAAACGTCCGATCTGATGGGATAAAAGCTCCCTTTAAAACCAAGCAAGGAAGCGGCGTAACAGAGGGAGGCAGGAGCTGTGCAATGAGAAAATAAGCTAATGGGTAAAATATCATTAATAAAACTGCTTAAACATTGTGATTCTGTTGGGGTCAGCAGACGCCCCCTCCACCCCCCAGCTGTTGGCTTTCCCCAGTGGACACGCAGAACAGCTCCGGCGCGAACACATTCCCCGCTGTCATCCGCTTCAGGAGTTCAGCGATGAGCTCTTGAAAACAGGAAATGTTGTTTTAAGAGTTTTGAGGGCCCCTGACATCAGTCGCGTAGATTAGACTATTGTCCCAGCTCCGAGTTTAGGAGACAGGTTTATGTGTTTCTGCTGGTGCTGTGCAGCTCTTAATCCTTTGTTTGCGCTTGCAGAGAGAATGTTAAACCAAAATGAACAAGGGACACACAAAAACAATACGTCATTACAAACTTACATTGTTTTTTTTTCTCCCATGCATGTGAATGTGTGCGTTCAGTCGCCAGCTCCCATGCCCTCAGTTGTGTAAACGGTGCCCAGATGTCAAAGGTCATGGCCGTCCCATGCGTTTCCATAGTGACCCTCAATAGATTGGCCGCGACCCTTTTTTGCGGTAAAGTTGATGCCACCGAGCTCTACCGATGACACATTAATTTACTTGGCAGAGTCGGGGCTTTGGCCCTAAGCTGGAAGATTAGTCCATCGCTGTGTTCTTAGCTGCTTCCTGAGCTGCAGCTCATTGTGTTGCGGTTCACCGGCTGAAGGGTTGATTTAATACAGCGCGGATAACAAACGCGGCGTCCCTTTTTAAGTCTGTGATTACTTAGAGCAGCTCTTTAGAGAATTTGACTTTAAATCTGAGACGTTAACACTTATTTCAGGGGTGGAGGGATCGTTTTATCGTTTCCCTCCTGCCACCCAACACTTGACGGGAATTAAAACCTGAGAGACTGTTTAGGATTTCGTCATACGAGCGGAACATTTCAAAGCAGTTCGAATAAAATCCGAATGAGGCTTTGATGACCGTGCCGGTTAAGGGATTAGGCACATAACCGAGGGGCGCACAGGAAGGTGCAGACATCAAAACGTAAAGCTTTTCAATCTCACTTCCACATTTAACTTCAGAGAATGTCTATCGGCAGAGTAGATTCTTATGACTGTCTTAATATCAATGGAATATGACATCTATGCCATACTGTTGTTACTGTTTGTTGATGACTTTCCTACGAGACTTTTTGTTTTTTTGTTGTCTTGTAGCGTCTCTGCCCTCAGCCATCCTGACCCTGACGTTCAGCCCGTACCAAAGAGGAATCTATTGCGATGATAAGAGTATCAGCTATCCCTACAGGAGAGACACCATCTCCCATGGAGCAATGGCTGCCGTCACCATCACCTGCTCCATTGTCATTGTCAGTCCCTCCGGCACACTAATAAAAATAAAACGGACAATGAAAAAAAAGAGGCCTCTACCAAAGTTTTACCTGAAATTCTTTCATTAAGTCTCTTCCGTCCGCTGCACAGATCACCACGGGAGAAGCGTACCTCGTTCACACCAAGCGTCTGCACTCCAACTCCCGGTTCAACGATTACCTGTCGGCTCTTTACAAGGTGGTGGGCACCTTCCTGTTTGGAGCCGCCGTCAGCCAGTCGATGACCGACCTGGCCAAGTTCACCATCGGTCGCCCTCGTCCAAACTTCTTGGACGTGTGCCGCCCGGTCAGCTGTAACGGGTACACGCTGCAGATCAACTGCACGGGCTACCATCGCAACGTCACCGAATCCAGGTGAGTCTCGCCAGCTTCACGCCATCAAACTTTACTTAGCAAAGATTTAGAAGGACAGACAGCTTTTTGGTTTCAGATTGCTGATAAGAGCCGATAAAATATCCAATAATAATATAAATGCATGCCAATTGGATACTTTAAGAAGTGGCGTATTAGTTCTACTATAAATGTGCAATTTATTTCTTCACTTCATCTCATAATTTTGTACATGAATCCGGTTTAATTGCTGTTTTGCTACTCAGGTTGTCGTTCTACTCCGGCCACTCGTCCTTCGGGATGTACTGCATGCTCTTTTTGTCGGTGAGTGTATTTATGTCTTTTTATCAAAGTGACCCACAAGGGACTCAAAACAGGAGGTGGTGGTCGGCTATGAAAACATCATTGTTTCATGATGACACACTTTACAATAGCCGGAATGTGATAGATTCAACAATTGAAGGAGAAAGAGTTTCATAAATAGCACTATTTCGTGGAATTCCACAGTGGAATTTTATATTGTGCAACTGGAAAATCAAATGGAAACCGTGAAATATTTTCCACAAAGAAAATTGGATGATGATAATCTAATTATTTCTTTGTTTGTATGATTCCCATTTTAAAGACCTTTCTTTTCAGACATTTGTAAGACCCTTAGTAAAAATAAAGTTGCAGAAATATCTCGTTACATTATTGAATTTCAGAAAAAGTTTTGTATAGTATGTTAAAGAAAGTCATGAAAAAAAATCTGAATATCTACAATATGTTGAAAAAAAGTTCTTAATAATTATTAAGTCCCACTAACACACTGGAGATCCTTGTTTGTTGTAAAAATACTAAAGCTTTCCAAAGAGTTCAGGTTGATTTGTGATCTAGATCAAAAAATAAAAAGCTTTTAATTAATATTTAAGTTGATTTAAAAACTAGAATGTGTTTGTTTTTTGTGTGTGTGTGTGTGTGTGTGAAGCTCTACGTCCAGGCGAGGATGCAGGGGAAGTGGACACGACTGGTTCGACCGACCATCCAGTTCTTCTTGGTGGCGTTTTCTTTTTACGTTGGGTACACGCGTGTGTCCGACTACAAACACCACTGGAGCGACGTGCTTGTGGGGCTGCTGCAGGGAGCGCTCATCGCCGTACTCACTGTGAGTGCAGGGGAGGGGACATTAGTGCAGAAAGAGACATTCCAAAGTGGCTTAGATTACACGTGTTTTACAGCCCCAACGCCCACAATGTTTAAGATTTAACGGTGCAGATGATCAGAAAACTTCATCTCAAGACTTTTGTCTACTCATTAAGCCCCAAACCTGCACCACCCCCCCCCCCCCACAAAAAACAACAGAAATTTCTAATGTAATTGTTAGTTCCATGAGTTTAAAAGATGATGGACAGCTCTTAGTATCAAAGTTGAGGGTAAGAATAGCTAGTAACTTCCATTGATAACCTCGTGTTTAACCCCCCGTCCAGGGCACAAGCAGAGATAAAGACAAACAATGGAATGGAAATAGTTCATGTAATGTAATCACAAGAGACTTCCTGACTGTATGATTTGACTAAGATTCATCACATTTAACAAAAACACAAACTGCCTGCTGAGGGACACACACACACACACACACACACACACACACAAACTGTCCTACATAGGATCCAGCTATATACCACAACTCTTCCCCTCTTCCTCCGCAGGTCCGATACGTGTCCGACTTCTTCAAGCAGCGGCCTCCACTCTGCACACACGCGGCCGCAGCGGAGACCGAACAGCTGGAGGACAAACCGAGGCCGCAGCTCCCCGACTCGCAGCACGGGAACCACTACAACTATTCTGGACCCGTATGAGCTCTTCAGCGCAGCAGCTGCTCTTCGCTAACTCGGTCCTACACGTTCTCTAACAGCAGCAGCAGCGCAGGACCTGTGACTCATAGAGAAAGAACCCGCAGTGCAGTAACCGCTCAGTAGAAACCCGCTTCACTTGGCAAGTGACTTGCAAACTATAAAAACTGAGATTCCCCAAACCTGTTGGAACAGAAGTTCCCCGTCTGTGCGTTTTAGTTGAGTTTGTTTGTGTGTATGTGTGTGTGCTGCAAAGATACGGGGTTGTTTCTGTTTACACATGAAACAAGTCTGCTTTCATGAGACCTGTCGCAGATTTGTGGAGAATTTAAACCGAAAAGCTAAAGAGTTCTGTAAATTTCAAAAGCAGCGGCCACGATAATCTCCCTGTCCTTGCAGAGTGACAGAACCTCTGAGGCTGAACGTTTTCTACTGTGTTGCTTGCTGCATTCGGAGACTTAGTTTTTACCTACACTGGAGATTATATCTGCCATATCGCTCCACTTTAGTCGTTTTCTTCTCTGCAAATGTTTATATTTAAGTGTCTTTAGAAAATATGCATGTTTAATAATGGACTGCTGCTTTAACAATGTATTACAAATACTTTACTGTGACTTTACAGTGAAACTTTTTGAGCTGTCTTTTTTTTTTTTTTTGTCCTTTATAAGTAAACTTCACAAATAAAAAAAAAAAAAAAATGGCCAAAGAAAAATTGAGACTTTAGTTCACCATATTCATTCATTAAGCCTTTCTTTTTATCTTGAAAATCAAGGGCTGGTAAAACCGCAATTTCTCTTTTAAGTCTGACAATGTTTTCTTCGTCTTTTTATAACATGTAACCTATTGTTAAACTGCACTTAATGTACTTTTTCTTTTTTCCTTCAGCCAGACGGTTGTTTGGCTTTCTCCATAAATATTAGCCTGCATGACGTCTACGCGTGTTTACCTCCAACAGAAGGGAAACCGACATGCAAAGAATGTTTTTTTTGTGATGCAGCAACGGAAATCTCTGTTCAGGTCTGAATAGCGTTTCACTTTGACACAGGAATCGTGTCTAGACTCGTTACTCACGGCTGCTGGATTCCTTAGTGCCAAAAGAATGAGGCTGTTGAACAGTCCGGTTTGGTTTGTTTTGAAGCCTAATTGGTTATACGTTCTAACACAAGACAAAGGATATTGATCTATTTATACATTTGGTCTTGCGAATTGTCCTCATTCACAAAGGACCATTCAGTTAGTATACATTCCAGTGCTGAAAGTTAGACCAGAATACCGGATCATATACACGTTAATATTGTAATGAGACGGACTGCCAGCTGTCAAAGCACTAGTTCAATTTCATTTCTTAATTTAATTGACAACACCCAGTTTGGTTACACCAATAAATCGGCCAGGTAAAGATGAATTAAAAGAATCACCAGTGGATGTCGTCTAGTGATCTGGCGCCATCTAAAGGTGAAGTTGCAGATTGTAGAAGAACCATCTAGAACTGGTCCGTAGCGTCAGCCATTTAAAGAACCGCAGACAATCCTGTTACCCGATCTGCGTAAAACGTTGGTTGTACAGAAATAAATGATACAGCTCACGACCAAGCATATTGTCCCTACGTTAACTAAGCGAGAAGTCAAAAATAAACCAATGCCCCCCGTGTGTGATTTTACGCAGATAATCAGTAAATAACGGCTCTGAATCAAATGTCTTTCTCAGTTTATTTCCTTGCAAGGGAAAAAAGGTCACATCAGCTCAGTAGGCTGCCGAGTAGAACCTTCGTCCTCTCACAACAGGGCCGGGCGGTTCTTATACCTACAGGAGGCCTCCGAACCAACCTGCTGTGTCTACAGCCAGGAGACTGGCATCTTATCTCAATTCTTTTCCACAGCCACACCATCCCAGCACTCACAATCTATGACCTTGTTCACTCAAAGAAACATTTTGGAGGGTTAAATATATTTTTGCCATTACATTGTATTGGGACAATGTTGGGAAAGCGGAAGCAGGGCGGATTGTCCATTCCGGGGTCCCGTAGAAGCACGGGAGCCGGTCTGGGTAAACTTAATGGGCTCATTCTGAGGGAAACCCTGGTTGCACAGAAAAGATGAGACTTCCTATCATATTAAATTTCTGCTAATAAATAAAACAATGTCAATGTTACATATGTGGCCCCATCAGACAACTAACAAATCTATTTTTCAACTGTAAAATGATCAGTTTAGGTCATATTTTCATTTTAGTTTTAAGGATACTTTATGCTGCTGACTATCGTACCTCTGAAATAATTGTCATTTCCCCGATTGCCCCAAAAATCGTTAAAATAGTTTGGGTAGTTCTCATTTAACCAGTACTTCAGAGATGGGATAATTCTGTGATTTTTTCACCGTAGTCAATATGAAAACTAGTAGTTTCCCAATCTAAGTTAGAATTGCGTCATTAAATATGTCATGGTGGTTAGATGAAGACTCATTTCAATGAGGTTAGTAATTAGGGTTGAGAAATTCTGGGAATATTCAATGTTGGAAACTTAATGGGAATATACAGGGGTCCAAAAAAAACATTTTGGGGTAATTTAACTATTTACCTTGTTATGACAAAACATTTGTCATTAGCAGTCATGCAAACATTGAATACAAATGTATTTCTTATTATCACCCCACCCCTCAAAAAGTCATGTTCTAAATGTAAAATAAATTAAGCATCTCAAGCCTCCGGTTCTAGTGTTTTTTCCCCTGAAACCTTTCAAATCAAAGTTAGGTTGAGAGAACTCTCTACATTCTATACATCTTCAAAATATAGTTTTGAACTACGATTTTATTGCTCAGCCTTTCATTTGCAGCTTTTATTTATGATAAGTCGCCAGCTCGTGCTTTTTGATCGACCTGCTAATAATCGAGGGAAAACTTTCGTTTTGCTGGGAGCGCGCTCACGTGTCTGTGCCCATCGGGAATGAAATTCCCTGTGCGCAGGTGTCAGTGGAGAATTGTAAAAAGTAAAATAAAATCATGTTTGTGTGAACATACATAAATCCTACTCTGACGGCTGTAAAGTTGTCTTCTGCATTCATATAAACTTGGTACTAAAATGGGCATGGCTTCAGTTTAACAAGTAATCAATACGCTCTGTAACAACAGAACGTTTTATCTCTACGTTACGTTAACTGCATCCAGGGTCCAGCTGAGCTAGGCTCGTCTTTTTCCCAACTACGTGAAAGTCCATCGTTATATGCTTTAGCTTTAAAAAATAAATAAAAAAAAAGCATAAATCAAAGATTCCTGAGCTTAACTTAAGTTTCCAGAAAATTTACCAGACATTTTCCATCCTTTTGCAACCCTATTAGTAATTATGGGGACATCTTGCATTACTCGCCAACGTGCATGTGAGTCAACACAAATTTTACACACGAGTCCTTCCGATTGCTTCAGTCTTTTTTGCCCCAAAAGAACCAAAGACAAATGAGCACTCTCAATCACGTCTTTTATTTGTAAGGCACCAGAGAAGCTTCCTTACTGCTAAAAGGTTGATTCATTCTCATTAGAGTACACAGTTGCTTGTTTACATCTTTGTATTTTTTTCTTTTTTCGCCCCAGGTATCTTAAAATGAGACCGTGTTCATAAACACATTAAACTGGTTTTTGTTTGCACAAAAGAAAAAGATAAAACATTTACAAACCTAGAAAACAATGTTAAGTGTTACTGCCTACTGAGAGAATGGGAGAAAAAACAGGAAAAAACGACATGGTATACAACATTGTGCCTCTCTTTAACTGTAGGCTTGTAATGCACACATACAACACCAAAAGTCTTCCATGATACACACACGTTAAAAAGCAGCTTTGAAACATACAAAAATGCTTTAAAAATATGTATATTGATATATTCATATGTATACAAATTGGCCCTTCACAGCAAAAACAAACACACATACCATTCATATGTCTGAGTTTTGCCAAAAGAGGTTTTCTACAGAGACTGATGTCAGCATATACAGTGCAAATGAGTAACTGATCGGTTCTTGCACTTTATATATTAAGGTCAAATCTCAACGGAGGGAACGTCCTCACCTCCCCAACACTAGCACAGACAGGAAGAAGAAAAACTAAGAGCACTGAGCCACAACTTAAGTGCCTTTCAAATTAAAATGGAGAAAAAATTAAGCTCCGATCACAGAGCTTCTCAGATGCTAAAAAAAAAAGGTGGGTTGTCAAAGCTCTGGAATCCACTCTCATTGTAGGGGAAGAACAGCAAACATCTGCAGCATACAGATGCTTGCCCCAGTCAGGAAATGAAGAGGGCAGCCGTGAACGTGAACACAGCGCTGCTGCCCCCTGCTGCCAAAATATGAAACATTCCTATTCCTTTAACACAAGGGTTGTCCAAATTCCATTCCAACTACAAAAACACAAAGTATGCATGTACAGTACAAGCAATATACCAAGAGATATTTTACTCAAGAAATTTGTCAACACGTCAAATATTTTATCTATTTTTCCCTACAAACGTCAGAGATGTTGCCAGAAATTTTACCTTGCAATGAGTCAAATCAACTGCAATCCTATACATATTAATATACTACTGAATATTCCAGAAAAGGTTAAAGATGTGTTCCAAATCAGACAGTTGCCCTGGACAAAGTACCTTGAAAGAGTTGCATTCAACGGGGAGATACTACTTCCTCATTAAACTGAATCTTGAATTTGGAAATCCTTGCTCTTGCTGTGCAAAGGATTGTGGGTCAGATAATCACAAAAAACATGGGGGCTAAGGGATATCACATGCGAAGGGATATCATAGAACGCCTTGCTATTTCAGGGATAGTACGTGTCGGGTCATAATAAATTGATTTCTGGTCTACTAAACAGTGTAGTGGTTTGAGTTTTTGAACACACAGTACGTTTGCAGTTTGCAAGCCAGCGTGCTTCTCCGGCCATTTTGACCCACAGTGCTGTGCACATTAGATATATGAGCTGCGGGGTTTAAGGTGTAATGCAGCTCTAGCGTGTAATAAAAAAAATAAAAAAAATTGAGAAAGGTAAAATGTTTTTTTTCTCTTTAGTTTGCACACAGACAGTTATGAGCAGACATTATTTCATGACTTTTGAAGAGTGAACACAGCACATAATCAAAACCTGCTTAGTCCAAGAGCCAAAGATAAAAAGCTAGTTTGTATCAAGCGCCATCCGTCCGTATCGCTCTAAAAGAGGCTACATCCATTATACACAGTTTGTGCTGAGCAATATTGAGCCAAGTAGACAGTATATATTGTATAGAATAAGCATTTAGTACGGAAATGGGGAAATATCTCAATTTTGTTTTTGCAAAGGGACACAGTTATTAGTTCACCAGGACAAATTGTGACTGTGGGAATCTGGTTTAAATACATTGTTTTCTGAGGCAAAGTCTGGTTGAAGTTGTAACGGAGCTTTAGCAACTCACCCTGGACACATTGTCCACAGAGACAATGCAAAAAAAGAAAAGAAATACACACAAGTTAAGCAAGACAGGAAAAGACAGGTGCTTGGTACAGTATCTGTATGAACTGAAGTGCTCTTCTAACTTACAGAAATACAGTACTTTTACATCTTTTACGACCATCTGGTTCTGAAGTTTAGATCCAGGTTAAAGGGTGGACCGGTGTGAGAAGAGGCGGGAGCAGGGTGGTGGTGTAAGGAAAATACTAAACAGGTGTTTTGAGAAATGAATGAAGTCAAATTAAACAACGGGTTTTCTTCTTTCCGACAACATTCACTCAAGCACACAGAACATGTTTTGAATGCCTAATTATCCGATCTCTAAACCAGAAAACATGTCAAAATAAAGTCCATTTTTAGTGATTCATGGTCCACATAATGCGCGTAGCATCAGGAGGTCTATGAAACACTACTCCGGCTCAAAGATGAGTAAACTAACATCTGTACAAACTATTGGTTTTCAATCAAATTAAATCCTATGTATTCAGGATTGAGGTACACCGCTAAGGTAATGCATCCAGTGGCTGGTCGTATGAAAATGCAAAGGGAGGGGATTTATGTCTGAAGGGTTTTAAAGGCTCTTTAAAAAAAAAAAAAGAAGAAAAAAACATCCCATTTAACATCCAACTAAGATTCATAGAACATAAATGAATTGTGTCCCTCTCCATATGACTCAAATCAACAATTTGGAATTCCTAAAAGGACATTACATAAAATGGATGGTGCTGTTGTATGCCGAGTGGAGAAAACAGATGTTGCAAAACTGCTAACTTGGATTGGCAGACGAGCCAGTAGGAAAAACTCTTCAGAAATACAAACTAGAGGCAGATCTGTGTAAGCGACACTGCCGTTAGCTTTTATCCTCAGCGGGGGGGGGGGGGGGTATTTTGGTTAAGCCCAACAACGGTGGTTTACACTAAAAAAATTTAAAAAAAAGAAGAAAAAAAAGCATCTATTTTAAGTCTAGAAGCCTGAACTTAGTCTATTGCCACTAAATAAGAACATTTAACGCTCACTCTCAGCCACTCAGCAGTTTCGTTCTCTGCACATCCAAAAATCTGTCCTCCCCGCATGTCGTCATCCCTGCAGTTGCTCTTCTATATTAACGCTCAGCAGACAGGCAGCCAGACTTACATCAATCTCCATTTACAGTTTTACCTTTTTTTTTTTTTTTTAAACCTTCACCCCAAACAACCCCCTCCAAACCTCCTTGCCGCGTGCCTGCACTAGTCTGACTTGTCCCCGTCCTCTCCCCGGGGCGCCCTCTCCGCGGCTTCCCGGGCCTTGTCTTCCTTCGCCGCCTGGGCCTGGCCATGGGAGTAGTTGGCCAGGATGGAGGAGAGGGAGAGCAGGCCGGAGCTGGAGGAGACGGCCGGCAGGGACGGCGGGGTGAGGCCCAGGGGCAGCGGGGTCACAGGCAGGGCCAGGCCCTGGAGCTGGGACAGGTGCTGCACCTGGAGCTGTTGCTGAAAACACACAAATGGCATAGAAACGAGTTAGTACCTTTGCTTTTGAATGGGTGCTTTTGACTATCATAATAATATGTTAACATTTGGAACAGTTGCAAAGCAGAAAACCGCTAATTGTAATGTCAATGTATAGTGAAGTAAAGTTTACTGTAGCAGAGAACAAAGTCGCTCTGCCTCTGTTGAGGCGTCTTGATGTCTGAGCTTGTCACGCTTTCTTTACATAGACGGGTCGGCCAAGGGTGCACGGCAGCGTGCCTGTTGGCCATCGCAGGGCAGCTCCACACATGTACTGCCGATAACGGCGTCTCAACAAGCACGCTGCCGGGGCTCTGCCAGCACGGTCGCCATTCATTGCACCGTTAGACCCGTTAGCTGTGATCAAGCTCACCGTCTTTAATCTTAAACCTTAGATTTTATTTTTTATCATTTTGCAGGCTGCTGATAACTTTAGGATAACATTGCAACATCTGTTAAGGGAAAACCATTGATTAGGTTTTATTTCATGTTTGGGATGAGACACAATTCCCCCATCATCTGTATCCACTCTGAGGAGAGAAATAGAAACCTCACCCGTATAATGGAGTTCATCTCAGGAGGCGTGACTTGCTTGGCCCGCTCTATGGCGCCCATGACTTGCTGTTGATGCTAGGAACAAATAGACAAGACCCAGTCATCCACTGGACAACCAAGTGCGTTGACATGACCTGAAACTTTGTCACTTATGGGTTGTTTTAAAATATATGAATGAGAATAAAACGTAAAAACATGTTTAAAGTTTGAGTGCATTGAACAATATGACCCGAATGCAGAGTAAACAGCAAAAACGCTTTGTTTACAGTTAAAATCTGCAGGCACATATTCACGCAGGTGCGAACGTCATTACCTCTTGTGACAGGTAAGGCAGCACCTGAGCACAGATGCCATTCAGTCTCTTCACTATTTCCGCCTGGACAGAAGAAAAAAAAAAAAAAGTACGGAAAAAGAGATCAGACCCACAAACTACCAGATGTTGGCTATTAAAAAGGGATTGAAAACAGGAAACAGTGATTACCTGTTTGTGCATTTCAATGTTCAGCCCGTAAGACATTTCATAGTACTATAAAAGAGTAGAAAAGATAACTTTATTATTTGTAGGTATATTATATGCTTTTGTCATGTGATCTGAAATTGGTGTTGGGCTATAATAGAAGCTTTTAAAGCAGAATCAGTTACTTGATGAGTGAATCCAAGGAAGCCACAAAGTCAAACGCAATCTGTGATTAACTACGAACTAACAGATTTAGACAGGCTGTGTGCGATAAACTTTTATACTTACACTGCAACGCTAAGTGACTTTGGTTAGTTTATTACAGGAGATCAGATGAAGATTAACAGCCACATCTTACTGACGAGAGTTATTGCGACACGTACCATGATATAGTGGCGCTGCATCTCTGACTTTTCGGAGGCCAGTTTATCACACTCCAACTTCAAACTGGAATGAAAGAATACGCTTATTAAACAACAAAGATCAGTTAAAAAGGCAAATATATGCGTTGCATCATGTGAAAGAATAGTTTGACATTACGGGATAATTCCACATCTCGTTGTCTTTATGCTAAGCTAAGATGATTGCCTGCTGGCTTTGGCTTCTTGTTTAGAATATAGACATGAGCGATATAATAATCTCGTCTACTTCTCACCAAAAAAAGCGAATGGACTCGTTTCCCAAGATATTCAACTAATAATTTAGATTAGATGACCTTATGCTGAGCCAGAATACAATTCGATTCAAATTCATTCTATTTGCTGAATAAGAAAACCATTGCAAATTCACTAAATATGAAGACATGTCTCTATTAGGTTTTTTGGTATGCTGTCAGACAACAGCATCATGGGTCAAATGAAATGACATTAAAATAGACAATTCAGCACCCATTATGTGAATATCTAGTCAGTCTTGATGGAAAATGTAGTCTATTAGAGCAAATGCGATCGTGTGTGTGCGTTATATTAACCGGGAAGTTTTGGCTGACTCGGATATTCAGATGGAGAGAGGCCACCGCCCAATCTGAGCTGACTGTGGGGCCTTTTCTTAAAAATTCAACCAGGAATGGAATTCTCCTCCTGTATTGAAAGTTCTTGTTTGATGCGGTTGCCAGCAACAGACCCCAGCGAGTAAGCTGCGCGTTTGTGACAATGCATCAAAGTCTACGGCCTGTAGCAAAGGCATATTTTCATGTCTTACTCTGGGAATTAACTGAGCTGCTGATTGCTACAACAGCAAAAAGACTAAACAAGACTTTAATTCATTCCTTTGTGTGTATGAAAATGTTAACCGCATACCTGTGGTACTGTGCTTGGAGGAACTGGAACTCATCCTTGATGCGGTCACAGGAGTCAGAAGTAGTGAACTTGAGAGGTTGACTGGACTGAGAGGATGCCTGCAGAGCAGATCAACATATCCAGTTTTACAAATTGACAAAGACAGTCCAACAATAAACGATTCAAAAAGGTCTGTAATCGATACAATTGTGTTCTGTTGGTTTGGAGGCAGCCGTTTCACCTCTGAGATTAACCCTTTGAGAGGATTGCAAAAATGAAGGTCACCCTAAACAGGACTTTAATGTTCTGTGTATAAACAGAGATATGGAAGGTGACTGTGTTAAATTTGCAGACAAATTGATATGCGACATCGGTCTTAAGAATACCACTGTCCCAACCCTTGTAGGACCAAAGTTGATTGAGGGAAATGTGTTTAAAGGCGGTGAGATTAAAGCAAGCCCATGCAGACCATATGTGAGGTTTATTTAGAAGCTGCATAAGAAGTCTGGTTTATGTATAGACTACACTTAAACCATTAATCCAAAGCTGTAATCCAGGGCTTATCCAGTTCACTAAACCTCATTACTCTCTAAATAAGTGGCACAAAGGCAAGCGGTTTCCAGTGGGATTATGGGACTGAACAGGGAATCACCCAGTTACACACAGGTCAAAACCCTACATCAAAAACAGTGTACTATTGTACTGTGTTTCAAAAGTACAAAAACCTAGTGCCAAAACTATTACCATCATATTTTAAATGCTAAATAATTAATTGAGGAATGTCAGTTTTTTTTTAACAAAAAACTAAACCATAGCTAACAAATTAGAGAACATTTCTGTTATATATAATTTTAAACCAATATCTTTTGTATTTCAAGAATGTTAGTTTATTTGAACAATTCTTGGGAAGTTTGATTTTCTGCCACTTTTCTCAAATTCCTTACAAGGCAATTAAAATAACATTATTAATAAAGTATGTGAGTTATATTTCTTCTTTTATATCATTTTAAAGTGGATGGAATATATATCAGAAAAAATAAGGCATGAAAAAAATGAAAAATAATTGATTTAAAGAATTATCCATGGATAAAACAAACGTAATTAATTTTAAGATTTAATGGTCCAAACGATTACTTAACAATGTTTGTTTCTGTCCAATCGTTTCACATCTGTACATCAGTTATTAATACTGATTAGCATGCTAACTGCTACATGAGCCACACTTGTTTTGTGTTTCCAATGGGGCTTTAGTTGAGGCCTGTACAGAATGGATCTAATGAACCTTTTTCAGGACTTGGCATTAGTTGGTGATGCCTTGTTTTTAGTTTAGCCATAAGTCAAGTTATTACTCATTTTTTTCTTCAAATGATGCCGTTAAATGGCTGTTTAGCTCACTAACTACAAAACTGCAAACTGAAACTCAGCTGAACATTGGCAAGAATGGCGATATTAAATAATTTCAAAGAAAACTATTTTTCCACGCGGTGCTTTTTCAAATGCACCAGTTGTATAAAAGTTAATGTTCGGTACCCTCATATCTATGGTACCTTGTTTGTTTACAGTAAAAACACTAAATTAAGCTAGCCAGCGCAGAACATTATGCTAGCTAACTCTCACAGACCACCGCTAACCCATGAACTTAAATTAGCTGTTTTGACTAAACAGCTAGCTGACGGCAGACTGTGTTTGCGGACAAATACAGAAAATAACTGGTCACGGCTGATTCACTTCGATGCATAAGCCGCTATCCGCCCTTTACTATAAAGGGAAATGCGTCGTGAGGATATGTGGAGACGAATGGCATTGTGAGCTGACAGCTACCTGCAGGCAGCAGAGCTAACGTTGGTATCAGCTGTCGGCTGCTAGCTAGCCGTTAGCTCTGCTTGCTCAGTTAAAGTTGCTCAGTTTCCTACTGCGAGAAGTTCGACCCGCCAACTTACCGAGTGCCTTGATTGGGGAAACATCATGTCAGCAGTGTGATTCGCCGTGTTCCCTTTGGTTTAATCGAATTGCCGGGCTAGCTGGCTAAGCTAACAGGTCCCCAGATATTATTAAATGATTGGAGACGCTATTCGCACTTTGTACTCTGTCATCGTTTAAAATAACGTTAGCTAACGTAAAAGCAGCAAGAGCCGAAGATCGTCGCCTGGTCTTCGCGGTCAGAGAAACCGCCGCCTAAGAGGACGAGCGGGGCTAACTCAAAAATAAAAAGCTCTAAAAAGGAGCACCAGTTATTCTTTTGATTTTTTTTGTGCGGACTAACGTTAACGTTACACCTCCCCGGGGAAACCCTGGATGTTGACACATGAGCCCCTGACTTTCCTCTGCTTTGTGGAGAAGAGCAGCGTCACCCGGAAAAAATAACGAAGCAGCGGAAGAGCGAGCGCCCCCTGCGGCGCGGAGCGGAACTGAGCCGTTCGTCACAGGAGCCAGCGTCCTTTTCCGCATCCATTGATCTTAAATAGTGACTTCATCCATCACGCATGGGAATAGGTAGCAATACTGCTTTGACCAGCGAAGTACTTTAGGTGTTGCTGTAAAAGTACTTAGTTGAGAGAATCGCCCCTTTCAAAAAGGTACATTTTTCATTATATATCATTGTATTTAAAATGTCATTGCTTTTGCTCTCGCACAAAAGCAGAATTATAATCATTCAGAAGGTGGAAGTGGAACACATGTTAACTACTTAATACAGTGGGGAAAGTTTGATCTAGCAGTTTGTGTTTGGTTGTATGATTTTACACAAGTATTAAAATGTATATTATCATTTGAAGGATAGTAAAGTTTAAAGTTGCATAGAATTTAAATATTCAAAGGATACTGTAACTTTCCACCCCTGGGGAATATTGCCTACATTTGTGGCAATATATCAAAGTTCCGGCGCCCTTTTTAATCTGATTCTATGCTACGCTCACATTCATCAAAGGAATCAATGCAATATTGCGATAAATCCAGTTAATACAACAATTCTCTGGTTTGTGTACAGCATGCAGGCTTCTGAATGGGAACATAGAAGGTACATGCATGTTAATAGTTAAAATGAGCATTATCACGCATTTTTGCCTCGATCATACAACCACTGAGACAATTTCAAATGCTATACATAGGGGGGGTTTCAGAAAAAAACCCAACTACAAATCTTCAAATGAACTTTAGTGCACCTCCATTTTTGTTTTTAAATAATCACAACCAGTTTCATATAAAAACTCCCAAATCCTGAATATGTTTCCCTATTTCCACCCATCTTACAACACAAAAAAAGCAGGTGTGTCTAACATTGCACCCCCAAATTGTCTGATCTGGCATTCGCTGCTATCTTTCCATCATTCCATTTTAAATTCCCTCAATGTCTGCTTGACTTGCTTACCCCTCTAATCATCACTTCTGCAGCAGAAAGATTGTGGTATCCAGCATACGTTTACCATCAATAGAATGTATAGATAATCCATACCACATGGTCTCAATCATGCAGCTGTAGCAGCACAGCCAGAAATGTTAACTGAAAAATGCTCCCACTGGGAACAGATGTCTTGCTAAATTTGGCTTAAGGTCGCTGAAATTAAAAAACACTTCCTTTGAGATTTACCGTTATTAAACAAGGAAAAGAAAAACCTGCCAACTTTTTACAGCTGTAACCATAAATATAAAAATCATAAAACCCACTCAACGCACACACCATGAGCAAGTATAGGAACAAATTTATTTCAATTTAAAACAGATATCTTGTCATTATGTTTCTCTCTTAGAAGGCGGCAATGATCATAAGTCATGTTCATGTTTGAATGAGGATCAGGCAACAGTGGTTGAAACAAATACATGAAACACATTAAAAAAAAAATATATATGGCAAGAGTTATGTTAATCAATAATAACCAACTGATTGAGCCCCCTTCATCAAGGGCTTTGCTTCAATGAAAACTCTCTTCACTTCCAACACAAAATAAACAGCACATGCAATTATAATTACAGTTTCTTAAAAAACAGTTTCTTTTAAATCTTCAATCTTAAATACAGAATAAAGTATTTGTGTGTACTTAATCACCTATCCTTTTAGTCTCTGGTGTGTGTTATTTAAAAAGAGGGGAGGTTTGGGGAGGGGGGGCCGACTCAGGTGGTGGTCCTTTGATGATGACCACAGCGTTGGCACTTAGAGAGAGCCTTGCTCTAGAGAGAGTGGGAATGGCACACTCAGTATAATACATCATTTACACTTGGTTTACGTACAAAATAAAGAAAAACAATTTTATTGACCTTCAGGTTTCATTGGAGTGAGGACAAAATAAATTGAGTGGTCCTGAATAGAGTTCTAGTAATGTTTTCTATTGATACAGGAAATAAAAATAAAAAAAGGGAACAAAATTGAAGTTTTAAATACGCACCGACGGGAACTCACACAACCACAGTCAACTGAAAAGGTCAGAATTCTCTGTAACCGCGAAGGGCCAAAACACCAGCTTTCATTATTCAAGGCCAAAAAAGAAAAGTGTGTTGTAGTGAACACAAGAAAACAATCCAAATCTTTCACTTGTCATTGATCCAAACTTACAAGAATCAAAGAAAGAGTTTAAAGTTTGGTACAGACTTTGCTTCCCTCGCTCTAGCTAGTGTATGTGGAGATAAAATGTGTCAAAAAACCAAAACCAAAAAACACTGCGGGACGCCAACACAACACTCTCAGTCAGCCCTTCATCCACTGTTGTAGTGTCAAGTTTGAAAACACATTACTCGTCACTGTTAGTGAGCTGAGCTCAACACATAGTGGAGTCTAACATACAGCTAAATACTTGTGTATCCATACTGCTATATTGTGCCACTTAAATACTAGCATCCTCTTTATGGCAGCCGCCTAACGGTTGGCTGTCAGCTTTCTGCCGCTTAAGGTTAGTGTAATTTTCAGCAGACAAAAAAAAAAAAAGGCAGTTAAACACCACACTTGTTTAGAAATATACATTTTAGCCCCATTAACGTAGTGTCCAAACGGAACATCACTGTTTCCCATTTTTGAAAGATACCGTTCAGTTTTTAGATTGATTCTGTCTTTTCAGGCAGCCTTTAGTTTCTGTTTAAAAAAAAAAAAAAAAGAAGAAGAAAGAAGAGGGATGAACAGTCATCTAAAGGGTTTGACACAAGTGACACGCAGTCCTCATTGTTTTAAAATTGTTTTAAAAGTTGCGTGATAACAACTGTCTGCTGGATACTACTCGCACCTAAGAGAATGAACAGAAGCCGGAATTTGAAAAGTAGGAAATCAATGTTAAAAATGAGAAACAGTCATGAGCAATAAAGTGAAAGTTAATGGGTTAAAACATGCAAAGCCACAAGCACGGTCATGAAGTCAAATACTTTGGGGGGGAAGGGGGCGGGGATATATATATACTTGTCCTCGTAGTAATCTATTTAGTGATAAGTGCTTCTACACAGAGGTATTACAGGTCACACTGTGATACCAAATGCACACAAAGTAGTAAATCATCAAAGGGTCAGATACGCAGAATAAACAAAGAACCGTTTAGTGTTGGAAAAGTCTCTACACACACACCGTATGCTTTCATTTACACCCTGCCTGTACGTCCTATAGCACATACCGCAAGGGATCTCCATTTATTAACAGAGAGTAGTGGATGACTTGTTCAATGTGGTCCTGTACTCCACTCCCCACTGTCTGATGCACTGTGATAGCCCTTAATGATGATGAAAAATAAGTCACCTGTAGAAAAGGTCAATGACCAAAAAAGTATATCTGCACTTCACTGGCACTATCAAAGCAAGCCTCAAAAACTGGAAATCAACAATGCAAAAAAAACAACTGAATTTCTGTGTTAAATTACAAACAGCAAGCATGGACCGCATGGGTCTTCAATCATTGATAAAAAAAAGTCCACCTACGTTCGTACTGTACATTTTTCTAGGTATGCATTACAGCGCTGCGTCTATAAACCGAGAGGAAGTAAAAGTTTCTCTTTTTTCTTAAAGCGAAACAAATATGAGGGCTCCTAAAGAAAACCAAACAGTATCATCATGGATGGATGGAGTTGGGATGAGAAAGTACAACTGGCGATGTCTCAATAAGAAATATAAAGCAGAGATAAAGTCCTTATTATACCAGACATTCAGGTTTTTTTTTTTGTCTTTTTTACAGCAGTTCAGACTCAAGTAGGCTCCGCCATGAGAAAAGGAGCACCAAATAACTCAAAAGCAATCAAATAATCAACACCTTTAAACCTGGTCCATAAATTAGATAAATAAAAAAATGAAAGAAAAAAACAAACAAAAACGAATTACTCTTAAGATGATCTCGTCACCGTACTGTGAAGATTGTGTTACGAGCCCTAGTTAGTGCCCTCGGGGCCGGAGCAGCCGCAGTAGTAGGGAGGAACCTCTTTTCTCTGACTATGCCGATCGTTTCACCATCACTCAGCTCTAAATAGTCGAGTGAAAAAGAAAAAAAAAATCCATAATCCCAGTATTACTACTACCATAAATTCATAGGAAAAAAATTTGTATGCTAACGAAAGAAGTTTATTTTTTTTGTTGTTTTTCTTGTTTTTTTTCGCCAAAGATGGTGTACCACAGAGCGTCTTTGTACAGGAGTGTTTTGTGTATATGTATTTACAAACTAATATACACAAACAACGTTTGCAGATTTCAGAGTGCGATTTCTGTATAAGGTTCATAAGCCTGCCCCTTCCTCTCACCCCTCAACAGCAAGCAATCTATATATAAACAAAGTGACTATACAGTGAAAATATAAAGTAAACAGAAACATCCTGATGCGATGACTGTCACCGTCAGGAAGTGTGTCTGATTGGACGGCTGAGGGACGCAGGTGTGACGCCAGAGATGATACCGCATGGATTCCACTTACACCGCAGGGTGTGGCCGCGTTTCAGTGACAGCTTTTATTTTGTTGAATAAGCTACTTGCAGATATGCTCTGTGGGCCGATAAACACTGATGTCATGCTCCCCTCCACATCAGCTTCCGCCGATCAGAGCAGCGTTTTGTAATACAGGTGGGGGGGTGTGAGAGCCAAGAGCCCCGATGGTCACATGGAAAACTGTCCCTGTGAATCCATGTAGAAAACCTCCGCAGGGAAGCAATGTGATTAAAACTTAAAGAAAACAAAAAGATGCTTTTGTCAAGTAAAGCTTCTGGTTGCTTTTTTTCTACGTCGTCGTTTTGGAAAGTTCAAAAGTTATTATAGATTTTATAACCACTTCTCACCATTACTTTTAGCCATTACTCATTAAATAGAAGTAGACACCGCAACACATTTCTATCATTAAAAACATCATTTTAAATCTCAGCAATTAACAGATTTTGATTAACTATGCGTGGCCCTGTCGGGCTTTTTAACTAAAGGTGTGTTTATTTATGCATTTACTTTATGGTGTATATATTTCTTCTCTTTGCGATTGTGATGCTCACACTGGTGGGTACATTCATAGATGCTCGATGCAGACAGAATCCTCAGACACACGTCCTCTTCTCTCCGGTGGGAAGCTTTCTGTCCAAGTCACTTTGTTGCAAGGAGCACGGCGCCACCTACAGGTTCTCAGTGGGCTTCAGGAGAGATCTTCACCGCCTTCCACACCGATAGGCGCTCGCAAAGGACACTACAGAGGATCTGATCCCACACCGCTGAGCGTTACCTCCAGGAGGGAGACAGGGGTTTGATGTCGCTAGTCAACGCTCTCCGAAATGCACACACAAGTATGTACCGCACCCACACATACACACTATCTCTCTCACAGACACACACCAAAGTCCCGTTTAGTCACTGTACAATCCTTGTGAAAGGTTTGTGTGCCAGATGAAAAAAAATGTGCTAGAGCCGGCAGGCGAGGCCAAATCTGACGCACTCTGAGACCTCAGGGCGCTCTGACACGATGGAGGAAGCGGGCGAGCTTTGGTGAAAGAGGATTTCTGAATGTACTGTATTGAGAAAAATAAATAAAAAAGATAGAAGGGTTCGGTTAGTGTGCGAGAGTGTGAGGGAGAGAAAGCCGGCATGGTGTGCTGTGTGATGCATGTGAACTTGAGCGCACGTTCCCAAAGGAGGTGTGCATTTGTGCAACGGGGAGATGTGCCGGCGTCGCCGCGTGCCGGCCCTCACACCAGATTGTACTCTTTGAGATTGAGCTGTAGGATGGTGTCTTTGACAGCTGCAAACACAAAGCGGATGTTCTCAGTGTCCGTGGCACAAGTAAAGTGAGAGTAGATGATCTTATCGCTGTCAGGGTTTAAGTCCACAAACATCTTGAGGATGAACTCCCGTGCTGCCTGTGCATCTCTCTGGGGACCTGAGAGATGGAAATAGACAATGTTAGTATCACTATATGAAGTGAGCATTAAAAAGAAGACTGGCAGGTCAGCCCGGCACGATGACTGGGAAACAACAAGTCCAGAAAACAAATACTATGGTTGTGTTGCTTTCCTGCCATTGATACCTCTCTGGTGAGGCCTTCTTCCATTGGTGCCGTTGTTTTGGAAGCTCTACTTTACTCCATAAAACTTGGAAAGCAGTGGATTTCTTTTTTGACATTGTTGCACTTCATAAAAAATATGGACCATGTGCACATCAAGTGGGGGTAATATGTCAGAGAAAAGGCTAATCCATTAGGTCCATTTAAATTTAAATGTGATTGCTCTGCTGTGTTTAAGACACAGAAAAGTTGTACAATGGCAGACGAGTGTGCGTGCACCGTGTTTGAGTGTGTGCGTATTTGAGAGAAGTGAATTTCGCTGTGTGGATTCCGTGTTGAATGGTTGGGAGTAGCCTTCTTCTCGAAGCATGTACAGCCTCACCGAGTCCCCTGGCCTGTGCCCAGGAATCTTGTAGCCGGATGTTGCATATTTATTCTAATATCGGAGCACCAGGTCCGCCTACTTTGGTGACCATCGATAAATGCAAAGTTGAGATAAAAGGTCTCAAGGCAAAAGCTCCATATTTATAAGAGACAACACTTTAAAGTTTAAATCCTGCGTCATAGGTGTACATATCAGATATCCAACAGCCTACTGCCAGATTAGCCACCAAAAGAGAGAATCTCACCATCAAACTCTGGGAAATAGTCCACCAAATGTGAGTAGGAGATCTTCTCCTCTAGCAGGTCCTTCTTGTTGAGGAAGAGGATGACGGAGGAGTTTTGAAACCAGGGATAGGTAATGATAGTCCTGAACAAAGCTTTACTCTCCTCCATGCGATTCTGGTGGAGGGAGTAGATGAGAGGAAACAAAAGTCATGCCGTTTAGTTTCAATTCTTGACAAACCTCATAAAAACGATAGTTCTGACGTGAGGAAGTACCATCTGTTTTGAATACACAGGCTAGTAATTCTTTTAAACTGCAAATTTACTTTTTTTTTATTCTTGTAAGCTAAAAACTACAGTATTATATAATTGTACAAGTGAAGAAAGTAGTTTGCACAAAAACATCAGGGCTCAAATGAGCATAAGTGTGTGTGGATTCAGTTCTTAGCAAAGAACAAATCAAAGGAAAAAACGGTGCAGATGTGTCTGGATCTTATTAAAAAAACATCGGCATCAGTAGGATTAAAAAAAGACATATCTTCTTCAGAATTAGGGGTGGGAATCTCTTGGCACCTCACGATTCGATTCCGATTCAGAGGTCAACGATTCGATTCTAAACAGATTATCAATTCTAAACCGATAAAACGATTATCGATGCATCTCGATTTTCTAAATTTTCTCAAATCTGAGTTTGCTACTCAGAGGTTGCTAATCACTTCCTACTTGATTTGATAATTAAAAGAAAATCAACAGATGAATTCTTCTCAAATTTTTTATAAGAGAAAAAAAAAATCTTTGTCACAAATATGATTTTCTATCAGCAATGAAAGAACCAATGCAGCTTGCATTTCAACACAATATGGAAGTAGCCTATGTAAAAAAAATATTAAACAGATTCATTTTTCTTTTAAATGAAGAAAAATATGCTCTTAGTCTCAGACCGGTCCGTATTTGTAAAATACCGGAAAAAAGTCCATATCTGTGAATATCTTGCCAACTTTCAATACGGATCGACTTCTTGGAAAATCGAAATAATGAGGTAAGATATGCGCAGGCTCCTCCATAGTTCGGTAAAGTTGCCAAGATATTCAGATTCAGACTGACGGACCGGTCTGCGAGCTGGACGCATTGCTCTTAATGTGCCGGTAATGATGGTAAATGATGGTTGTAGCTGGTTGTCATCTACGGTCCACTACGATTACCGAAGGGGGGCGTTTGTTTTTTGACGTTTTATCTCATAATTTCTTTTTATTCCCTTACATTAGTGCGGACATGGGCTTCTATAGTTGTGTGAATGCATCACTCCAGCCAATCCAAAAACGGGATTTGTAATCAGATGTAGATACCATGTGACTGGCTCCGCCCCCTTACTGTCAAAAAGAAAAACAGTGAGCGCGTAGAAAACACCTTCAAGCGCGAGCAGAGACTAACCTTCACACTCTGCAAGCGAGCAAATATCTCGCGCGAGATGAACTTTTGCTCGCGAGAGACAAACTTTAAAAAAATGAATCTCTAGAGAGAATCAAGAGAAATCGAAAAATCGAATTTTTCCCCCCACCCCTATTCAGAATGGTTGGTGAATGAGGCCTATGGGGGTTTACTTTGGTTCACTGAACGTTCAAAGTACTTTCATGTCCACGTACCTCGTTGTCGGACTCCACCAGGACCTGGTCGTACTCACTCAGCGCCACGAGGAACATAATAGAGGTGACATTCTCAAAGCAGTGAATCCACTTCCTCCTCTCTGACCTCTGGCCTCCGACATCCACCATCCTGAAGGCAGGATGAAGGTGAGGAGGGTGAAGAATCGAGAAGGGGGAAACACACATAAGTATATTTCTTTATGGCCCGGTTCATGTTCACATTCTCAACGTAACCCAAATGTCTGATAATGGCTTGGAAAGGAAGGTACTTGTCAAAACCTTTTTGAAAAACGGGGGTTTGAATCCATCAGGACGTAATTTATACACTGTAAAAGGTAATACCTTGTGAATAACTTATTTTATCACACTACGAAAATGCTATAATATTTTGTTTTATAGAAAAAAGTGTCGACAGCAACTTTACAATAGAGGAACAGAATTGTTCTCAGGTCCAAATAAAACTCTTCCTGGCACCAACGACAGAAATGAGCAGATATTACATTTATTTTTGGCTGCTGCTATTTTGTGTAAAGAAATATACAGTAAGGTAGTCTGCATTCCTATTAACTATATTTCAAGCAACACAAAACCACCTGATGGATTCAGAGCCAACGTGTGCAGATCTTTATATTTGACAGAAAACACATGTGCAGTGAGAGTATACTTTTGGTCTTTGTAAGTTGGCGGGTCATGCATGCCACAACAAAGATAAAAGCGCCCTGTTTTAGACAGATCCAGGTTCAGTTTAAAAAGCAATGCCACTCAGTTTAGGGAATTGTGCTACAGTAAGTTTGTTGAAAGTGCAGAAGCAGACACACTGCAAGCAACAATTATTTGTGATAATCATATATTTGGATCTTCCCTGCAGACAACAAACAGAGGTCTCAGAGTTGAGCTAGAAGCTAGGTATCATTAAAAAGAAAACACAGTGTAGCAGATTTTCTACCCGACTGTGCTCCTCATCTCCCGACCCCTCGGGGCGTCTGGGACGGCTCTCCTTCCATATCTGGAACAAACTCCCAGAAAGCCGCAGGTCTGCGGAGACGCTCAGCTGCTTCATTCAAGACTGGACTTTCCAGTATTTGCTGCTGCCTTTAATTGAACATATTGATGAAGTGGATGCTTTGGTTTATAAACTGCACTGCAACTTTTGTTCTAATATAAGCTTGTTTACAGAGTGTTTTTACTTATTTGTTTTTGAATTACATTTTTGGTTTCATGGGAAGCATTGTTCATTGAAATGTGCAATACAAATACATTTGCCTTGCCTCATCTCAGAAGGAAATCAATATTCTTGATTGAACCATATTGCTGGAATTCTTAAACTGAGAGGCATTAATGTGGTGGTCATAGATCACGTCTGATACTAGATCGGTCTGAACGTCTGTCTATGCGCTACTGTCAAAGTGGAAGAGGAGAACGCATTCACGGCTCTACTAGACAGCTTTTCAACCTCTCCGGTGCGTGATACAGCGCCACACGCGATCCATTTGTGAAGTTTTGAGACGCACTTGGGAGGACAAATGGGGAAACGGGTGGAACATGAAATGAAGGACACAGATGAGATGGAGCGGAGCAATGGGTACAAAGGATAGGACAGGAGGCAGAGGTGAAATGTCGATGCAAGATACGGAGGGCACCTCGGATGGAAGGATCCTTTTCGTGGTAGAAGGACTCCTCCTAAGTAACCGAATGAGAAACTACAAGTCGCATGATTTATACTTTAGTAATACGATGGCAGTCCTAGAGCTGGCTGGTGGATGTGTGAATCCTTATAGAAAGGTTTCTGCCCCCCTGAGTTTCTCCTCGACAAGGTCACTCTTCAGGGAGTTCAGGTCCCAGTTTCATTAAGCCTCCATTTGGGACAACCGAGTCAGGAAACCTTTCCGGTCAGAAACCTTTGGTGTCAGGCCATTACACAAAGGGCATAGGGACACTTTAATGCGTAATATGCTGTACTTTGGACACACCAGTGCAAACATTAACACCAGGGTGAGACATGGGCTCCTAAGAGGTACCACAGATCTAATTTGATTCACGATACAAGGGTGCCCCCTGGCGGTGGCCCAGTCCGCTGAGGTCCACGGAGACCCGGGGCCAACATAGGCCCTGCAGGACCCTCTGCCCAAAATAACATTTCTCTACACGGAGAGGACGACCTCGTTTCTTCTGCCAGCCGGAGAGAAAAGGAAGGAGAGAGGAGGAGGTGACCTATTTACAGAGACCGGGTACCAGAATGTAGGACTTTGTGAGTTTGTGATATTTGTGTGTTTTTTGGCAGGAGGTAAAAAGAAGGGTGGGACATCAAATGGTAATGACTTTGATTTCTATGATTGCAGGGCAAGGGTTACGGAGTAAGAATGGCATACAGACAATCAAGTAAAAGTCACAGATTATACGTTCTGTCCATTAAATTTGGAGGACAAAAAAAACGACACCAAATGGGTTCATTTGGCACTTTTGACAAAGACAAATACAAGGATGTATGGATTGATGAACAAGGAGGGACTGAGGAGGGACGGGCATCTTTCTACCTGAAAATGATGCTTTGCAAGTCGAAAGGGTACTCTATGATTCCTGTAGTGGGGATGCGCACCCTGAGCACATCCTGCTGAGTGGGAAGATAGCCGGAATCTGCAATACGATCCAGATCGGTAAGATAACTACAGGCAGGCCGGCCGAGGGGGGGAAAAAAGAGAGTTGAAGAGAGAAAAAGAGACAGAAAAACAGTTATATAAAGCGTGACAGGCAATTACCGCAACCCCCCCCCAACTGCAACTCCAGGACGTGTGGGGGAGTCCTGTTGAGGAAGTTTCACAGAAAAGGCCACATCTTAAACATCAGGGTGTTAGTGTTACTGCTCCACCAACACTATCCAAAAACCAACATAAGGATTTGGAGATCAGCTGTTAACTTGAAACCGCTGCTCTAGTTTACGTGATTTTTATTGACAATTTTTCAATGAGTATTTTGTTGGATTACGTTGCAGACAGTGAGGTGGCATCAGTGACAGTGTTTCAGCAGCACATGGATTAAATAAAGAAGGTTTGTACCCATATGACATCCGGGATAACAGGAAGCATGTTCCACTTCATTTTAGTATGTCATTCGAAAATGTTTGAAGACTTTTGAATTAAAACAAATTGTGCCCAGATTTAATATCGACTTCCTATTGAATCCTTGACTACACAAAGCCTTCTTTATCTAGTGGCTGCTCCCCAAACGCTACAGTGCAGCATGTCTGGCTTTAGTTTTGACCCCATGAGTCAGAACCGTTGCACAATTCTTAAACACAGACCACTGATCTCTAGTCAGGTTTACTAATTTGGCTCATTTGATCTAAACAAAACCTGTATTTTTTAGGGGGTACAATAATCCAGCCCATGCTTCACTACTGTGTTAGTATCCTGACATCCGTCAGTGCTTTCTGTCTTCTAGGCACGGTGGTGCTGCAGTCCTGGGGCCATCGGGGTACCTGAAGATGACGTTCTCCAGGTCAAACGGGTACTCTATTATACCCGTGGTGGGAACGCGGACCCGCAGCACATCCTGCTGGGTGGGAACATATCCCTCTGCAGTCACACGGTCTATATCGCTAAGGTAACTGGAAATATACATGAATAGTATGAACACTGAAATGAAGCATTTCTTACTGAGGTTCTTCTTTCTCACATGCACTGCCTAAACACAGATAGCCAATAGTTTTTACCACAACATAAGGAAGTATAAGTACCCTTAACAAAGCAGGCACACCTGCACACGCACACTGACTTGAAGCATCATTAACCTGTAGTACAGCAAGTCAACAACCAGGGGGCCCAATAAGTTAAGCGCTTTTCACCATCTAGCCTGGGGCCACACATTATTAGAACGTAATTATGGCAAAAAACACACAACAGGAGGCTGGCACATTTGGCCAACAAATTACATTATTATTATCATCAGGTTCCCGGTTAGGAGTGCATCTGTCACCACTGGCATTCAGAATATTAAACTAATGATGAAATGAGAGGCTTGATGATGGCTTCAAGGTCACCTGTGCTCTTAGCTGGATGAGACCGCATGAACTAAAATAAATAGCTTACAATTATCACTTCTCTACACAATTCATCAGCATACAAAGTTAAACCAGACACAAAGACTTTAACAGAGGTTTGGGAACCACAACATCATTACTAGGCAATCAATCAATTATATTGCAATTTTGCTGCATCAGAATTTTGCTCTAGAACAGCCAATGTCTACAAAATATTTGATGCAATAAGCTTAGTATTGTTAAGAATCAATAGTTACCAGATCTGATAGTTCTGTATCTGTTCCCAAACCAGCATCACAGACATGCACTCAGAGATTAAGATTAACACATCTCACTCACAAATTGCGTCCCAGTCACACACATACTACAGTTAAATCCTTGATTTCAATACATGGACACAAAAACACACCGACTGAGGAGGACGTACTATTTAGTGGAGTCAGACAGCTGGTACTCTCGGCGGCGGTCGTAAGCCTCCTGGATCCCCGGGTCGGACCACAGGCTCTTGATAGCTGCAATGAAGTGAAAGTCAAACCCGTTGATCTTCTCAATGTCCACCTCCTTCACAAGCATGGCGTTGGACTGGAGAAACACAAGCAATGGAAAAATGTTGAGAGAAATCGAGATGCAAGACAATGATCAACTTGTAACGGTCTCTTGGGACCCGGTAGCTGATAAACCACGTTTTGCACTGGTTCTCCCAAATGAAGGTTTCCGCTACACAGATTCAATGCGGATCTTCCTGTGCAAAGGAATATCTTTCCTAGGAAACAGTCTAAGCAGGAAAACCACAGATGAAGGTTGAAGGACGATAACAGACAGTAGCAAACGCTTGATAGCAGTTTTTGCTGCCAAGGAGGGCACAACTAGTTATTAGGGTTACGGGCTAATTACTACTTCACATACAGCAAAGTAGGTTTGGATAGATTTTTCCATTATTAAAAGGAAATCATTTTGTATTTACTCCAATCTGTGTGTCATTTTAAAATGTTTTTGTATATTTGAACAACATTGTAACACAACCACAACATGTCCATCTAAAAGAGGCTCATTATCCTTGTGTTTCCCTAAAGATTTTGCCTCATACATGTATAAATACATTTTATATACAAGGAACATTAGAAATGCTAATTTCCCTGAAAGCAATCATAAATTCTCTAATCCCACCTCCAAAATAACCGAAGAGAATCTGGAACGGACGACCAGTAAAACATTTCTTTATCACGCAGTCAGTCCTTACCCGATTCTGTTCAAATTTGTAGGGGATCTTGAGGGTCTCAGTGGCGCGGATCATGGCCTGCATGGAGGTGAAGATGTTTTGGTAAACAAGTCGGATGAAGCCTCTCTTGTCTTCGTCCGAGTACCCAGCTCCATGAATGATCCTCATCTGCTTGATGAAGGTGCTCTTGCCACTTTCTCCAGTACCTAAAGAGAACAAGGGCGGCAAATGGTTAGTGAGTGCCGCAAATTTACCGTGTGGCAACGGCCGGTCTGCTTTACTACAGGTTTTCACAAACATGCGCACAACAATCAAAAAAAAAAAAGGCACTTTCTACCTTTACAGAATGAAACAAAATGTTTTAGACCATTCTTCATAAGCCCAGCAGAGCCACTTTCCAGTCATCAAGTCTTAAAACGCTTTCCTGAGGAAGCACAACGTATATATAAAATGGAAATATTTTGTACTTTTGTTGATATTGGTATTTTTGACACCATTTTTCAAGTAGTGCTGGGGAAGTCTTTCATATTATCATGAAAAGGATTTTTTGGCATCTGAGATGCATCAATTTTTGGTGCGTTATTCTTTTCAGCTCAGCATAAGACTTTGTAAACCAAAATTCTTGATCATCAAGATCCATTAATCAGAACTATGTAGGCCTTCAATCAGTCCATTATTTGTGGAAAGTAAAACAAAATACTTGAAATAAATAGAACACAGCTGCAGCCTAATATCTTGAAAAGCGTAAACGTAAAAAATAGGCCCGTTTGTATTTAAATCAAGACTGAAGTCTATATTAAAGCGCTGACATCTTTGTTTTCCTCGGCCACTTACAGCCATCAACTGAACATAACAGTCTGAGAAGAGAGGCTCCAATATTTTGTATTACACATTTACTCCAGCAGAAGTCGAGTTTGGATACTTGATGCACTACGTGAAAGTATTGTAACGGAGTGAGTGATCTATGTCAGTGTGTTGTACTTTGTTCAAGATAAGAACTGTTATCGCGTTTACTGAGTCCAGGAGGTCAGTGAAGGTCTTATGTTGTGAAGCGGTGCATCCTGTCAATCATCCTAGCTACCTATGGGGATGGTCGGCACAGGTGAGGCCGCCTGTGATTGGCAGTGAGGGGAAGGTGGGATGTTTTGATGTGGTCACGCTAGATGTGAGTAGACTAGACAGCGGCTTAGTACGATTTGACGCAGTATCCCCCGGAAGATTGTCAACGGTGCAAAACATTAAAATAACCATTCGTTATTTCCATGTTATTTGTGGTCAAAGCCTCAGAGGGGCAAAAGAGGTTGCGGAGTCTTCCATTAAAAAAAATGACCCCAAAAGTATGTAACGCTGGATTTTTACACAAACATGCTTCTTTTTTTAAGAAGAAGAAGATTTCTCAATTGTGCAAAGACGATCACAGAAAGCAGAGTCTGCAACCAGACAGAGACAGATGCTCCATGAAAGAATTGAAGAAAACTTTCATACTGGTTGATGGGATCCAAAAACACGCTGCAGCCTGTTTGTCTATCCGCCTTTTTTTTTTTAAAGTCTGCATTCATTAGCAGCGCAGGTTTGTAAAAATGAAGCCAGAGACGGTCTTCTGAATCTCAAAATTTGGGTGTCCATCCAAGTCAGTTTTAAACGTCATGAAACCTCGTATAATCATTCTTTGCCCGACTTGAGGATGTTCTCGCACAGTGAATGAATCAAGACTGATTGCAGGAAGAGGATAGATGAGCCGGAGGAAACCACAAGCTAATTTAATGACAACATCCCCTAAACTGCCTCCGTCAAAATATGACAGCAGGGGTCGTTGTCAAAGGGCTGCATTCCTTCAGTGATCCGCTTCTGCCCTTCTGAGTCCATATCTGGCTGGAAGGTCGGCATTTCAAGTGGTGTCAGGTTTCCACATATACACATGTAGTGAGGAACCCCAAAAGAGCCTTTGGAATATAGGCATGTGCTTTGAAAGATATCTTTTTCGCTAACAGCACATTTTTAAGCTTTGCACGGCGACATCGATTGCCAAATGAGCCCCCCCACTTGGCTTGGTCTGTTGGGTTTAACCCACTTTTCACACTATCCCTCCATGTAGAAACATGCCCAGAAACACCACCCTCAGGCCACAGAAAAAGAAAAAAAAGGTGATGAGTGAAATCAAAAGATATCCAGCACATCTATAATATCTGCAAAAAATGAAAGGAATAGACGAGGAGGGAAAAACACACATACACTCATCTCACCACCACCTACATGCAAGGTTTTTGAAGAGCAGCCATATTTCTGTTACTATAGCAACCCCTCCTCTGTCTCCCTCTCTTTTTAGTTCCTGTGTTGTTGTTTTTTTCTCCTTTTTTTTAACCCCTTCATCCACCCCTTCTCTCTCTCTCTCTCTCTCGCTCGCTCCCCTCTTTCATAGCAGACACTAAATATAACTGCGAGCCCTTCAGGCCTGCGCTGTGCTCTCCCTTTTCCTGTGTGCTACAGAGACGAAGGGCCTCGGCTCCACCGATACTTTTAGGGTGGTCTAAGGTCAGTAACAAGTGGTTCCTAACACCAGAGGATCGCAAACATGATTCACTAAAAAAGGCCTTTAGCGTTTCTCCTGGATAAATCGATGCTTTGCAGCCAAAGCTACACACTCAATCTCATGAAATCTGGAATTGTCAAGCCAACAAAGGGAGTCAAGGAGAGCATATTCTTTGTATTGGGCTGCGGCACTAATGTCCTGCTAGTGACTGCAAGCAAGAGGATCACTCTCCGGCTTGATTTATTTCTCGTGACCCCATCACAAGATTTCCCTCTGCTGTGTTCTCTTAACTATCGTATCACTCTTTCACCAGACAACACACTATGAGCCTCTGTCTTCCCTTTTCCTCGCCAGATTGTACCAGTTTTAGTCTTCCTCTTCCTGCGTCCCTCAGTCTCCTCCATCACAGCCCCTCCTCAGCCCCCCGAGGCTAGAAATATGCCTCTCCATTCTCCACCAAGAATTTGATATTCATAACTAGAATCCATCCATTCTTTTTTGGAAATGACCTAAAAAAAAGGGGGTCACCTTTTAATAGCTCACACACTACTTGGGTTTGATAACGCTCTCTGTGCCAGGTAGCTCTATGAGTGTGCGAGAGAAAAAAAAAGACAAAAGAGCTCAGGTAGTGTTCAGTGTACCTTGCACTGATGCACTAACACTGGTCTTTTGCGAGATAAGCGAGAGAAATCTCAATCAAACCCAACAACAGTGTGCATCCAATTATAAACAAAAGATAATATCTAAGATAATTAGTGTGATTGAAACATTATGCAAATGGAGAGCAACAGCAATCAATCTTGTTGACACCTCGCCTGCGTCCTCCGCTGACAGGCTACCTTTCACGAGCCTTTACATGACGCGTCTGATGTCGGTTTGCGACAAAACACCTGATTGACTTGACATACCGCTAAGGCAGCAGTTTGGGTTGATCCCAGATTGTCCATCCATCGTCTGCTCATACCCCAGAAGTCCCTTGTGCTCCCCATGCCGTCCACAAAAGGCCTCATGAAATCCCTGCTAACCGTGGCTTCCCTCCGCAATGCCGGTCACAGATTTCCATTGAACAAGTGATGTGGTTTATCAGCATCATCGTTAACCTGCATGCAAATTTCATGAACAGCCCTTTTAGACAGCGCTTGACAATCCACTCTCAGTGGTTATAAAGAAATTTGCATAGACTCAGAGGTTTAAGTATTATCAAAACCTAAAAGTTGGTGTCAGCCAGATGTTGCCCTTTTTTTTTTTTTTTAAGAGTGCGCTGGGAAGATACAGTATGATCCAGGCAGTCACGAGGCTAACCAAAATGTAGCACTGGTCGAAATCCTTTGCTAAGTTCATCTTAGAAACTGGCCTCTTGCTGGCATACAAAGGAAAGCGATTGAGCCAAGGCAGCCTGGAGCTACACAACACACACACCAGCTGCCTAACCAACTGCGGACACACACGGATCCTGGTCAACCTCAAGACATGGATGTTAGCTTCCCTATGAAGGACCACTTTCTTTCCTTCTTCCTGCGATAACTCGGGCAACATACAGTACAGGAATCCAATAAACATAAAGACAAAAAAAAGGGACGATATCTCACTCGGCTCAACGTGTGCTGCCTGCTGTCAGGATGTGGCCACAACTCTCTTGAGGTCTCTGCATCTGCGGAGTGCTCCATGTGTCGGAGATGTAAATTCAACATACTGATAGCGTGCACTGGGCATTATACGCACACTTTTGTTCATTTAGCCTCTGTAGGACAGCCTTTTCTGTTCCACAGCGAGTACGTGTCGAACGCCGCGCGCGAAGCGTAGGTGTGGGTGAGCAGAAATCCAATCAAATCAAGGCTTTAGAAAAAAGGCCTGGAGTAAGCAGCAGTATTTTAGTCTGCAATACACACCGTGAGGCTGCTGCAAACTAAAAAGAGACGCCGAATCGTAGATGTTGACGTTTCTTAAGCCACGGCACACATCTCAAGAGAATCTCATCATGGAGATGGCACTGACTAAACAGTGTTGTAAATAATTCCACAAGACATTGTACAAGGACAGTTTCTTGTCTATGACAGACAATATTAGAGCCCTTCTTTTGATCACCTAGTGCATTCAGAGATTTAGATTTAATCATTTATCGTCCACAGCCAACAGAAGAATATTAATAGAGATGGGAAGGGGACGTGCTTAGATATTAGTGGGCAAACACGTTGTTTTAATGTTCCAAAACAATGAGGCAAAAGTCCCATTCATTCCCGGGAAGCCTTGCAGGTCTTTAACAGACTTCGTGTTACTGTGGCAGAGTGCGGCTAAAACAACTAATCGATTAAATCTGCTGATAGGAATAGTTGGCGACAAATTGGATCATCAATTAGCGGAGTCTATGTTATGATGCACAACAAGGATCTGTGCTAATGTTGGCACCAAACAAGCCAATGCTTGGGCTTTTGCATCACTCACGATGAATTTCAGGAAATGGTGGAAGCATTTGGAAGATGTGGGAGGTACAGACAATATTACAGAAAGAAAAAAAAAAAGTTAAAAAGGCAGCAGATTCAATTTCAAAAACAGACGAGAAAATCAGAAATCCCGTTAGTATGTTCTGCTTCCGTTATGTAATGGATCCCATCGGTTTTCTTAGAAATGCTCTTGCGGGCTGCGTAGCTACACCTAGGCCTGTCAACATATTGACTC